AGGTCATGCGATCGGCACATTCATAAAGGGATAAAGCATATTCCAGATGATTCACAAAAGGGATTAGAAGGGGAATTGCAGCATAAATTGAAGTTGGAGAATGCTAGACTTATTAAAACTGGTTTACAAAATTGGTTTACCATGTATCGTGTCAAGCTATCGCAGGTTCTTCAATATAGCCTATTTGTTTAAAGGGCCACTCACAATCTCCTGCATCACTTAGTAAACCGATATTGTAAGATAATCTTAGGAAGTCCATCATTGCTCATTTAAGTTTTATCACTCTTAACTACAGAATCTTTGTTCACAAATGAAACGGTTTGCACTAAATGTTCTTATCTATTTCCTGCAATGGACAAATGTTGGTATCTCCTGAACTTCAGCTTCATCATCCACAATTAGCATAAGTAACTTCGCTGAAATATTGCAAAAAAATAAAAACAAAAATGAAGTCATGGCTCATACTGATGCAGCAACTTATCAAATACCAGAGCAAATAACTCCCGCCAATGTTCAAACGTATGTGCTCAGTATCAGGTTCGATCAAATAGTAGGTTACCCAGAGAGGGAGAGATAGAGAGAGTCTTACAACATTTCTTATAGCCCGTTTACCCCTTTTCTGCTTTCCAGTAGCTTCCTTTTGCTCATTCCCCTCCTCTTCTGTTATTGAGAAACAATTTTTTCCAAAATTAGGCGACGTCGCAAGGCACTTGTTAAGCACAATACATAACTTCATCTCAAGTTGCGGAGTACGTCCAGACACCCTCACCTTGTTTCTCAATGCCACTCGACACGCTCATTAAGCAAGTCAAAATCTCGAAATTGTCAAGCTCAGCACAAACTCAAAAGGAAACTAGAGCCTCACCTCAAGACATCACGCACGGAGCCGGAAGATATCTACGAAGAACGAACGAGAAAACAAAAAAAAAAAAGAAAAAGCGAAGGAAATAACCATAACCAAAAGCAAGCAAAGACGCACCGCTTCTCAGCTCGCGCGACAGCGAGCGCGAGTACTCCACAACCGCGTCTCTGGCTTCTCGCTCGAGAGCCTCCACATCGACCGGAGCAGCCTCTCCGCCACCGTCCTCTTCGTCCCCATCGCCTCCGATCTCGACGCCGGAGAACTCGTCGCCGGCGCAGCGGGGGGGCGAGCGCGGCGGGGCGGAGCGAATCGGGGCGCTTCCGCGTGGATTGGCGACGGCGACGGCGAGACGCGAGGACAGAGAAGCGGGAAGGGGGAGAGCGGGAGGCCGAGAGATGGAGGTCTTGGGGAGGAGAGAGCAGGCGCTGAAGGCGAAGAGCTCCAGAGCTGACATTGCTGAGCGAGCGAGCGCGCGGGGGCGGGGGTTTTGGCCGTTGCTTCGCGAGGCGAGATGATGAGACCGGGGGGGTTTATCCACTTTTTTTTCTTCTTTTTTCTTTTTGTTTGTCGCTTTTTTTTTATTTTTCTGATAAACTTTTGGTTTTTTTCACTCTTTTTTTTTCTATTTTACTCTCAAAATGAATTTTTACCTTTTTATATCAAATTTTGCTGTGCACATGTTTTATTTCTATTTATTTTTTTATTATTAAGCATTTGAAATTTATACAATATGAAAATATTTGTCTAAGAATTTATATATAATTATTTGGGATAAATACACTTTTCTCTTTTTTGGTCGAAGGAATAAATACACTGGAACTCATAAAACTTATTATGAAAGTGCAATTGAGTTATAAAACTTTCAAAAAGTGAAATCACGTCCTAAAATTTGTTACAAAAGTGCAATCGAATCCTAAAAATTTCAAAAAGTGCAATCAAGTCATAATACTTATCACGAAAGTGCAATTGAGTTCTGAAATTTTCAAAACGTGTAATCAATAAAAGAACTTGGTTGCACTTTTTTTAAAGTTTCAGGACTCGATTGCACTTTCGTAACAAGTTTTCGAGCTTTCAATGCACTTATCCCTAATTATTTCTTTAATTTTTAAAATTTAACTGATGCTTTACATTTTTACAAAATTATAAAAGTTACGTTTTTCGATTTTTCAAAAGTCCAAACAAACATTTAATCCACGGGGCTACATGCCCAATGATAAAGAAATTGGATCGAGTGGGGATGTTTGAAAATTAGAGTAGGACAGACTAAAAAAAAAAAAAGTCCAAACACACATTTATAGACTTATTAGAAGGATAAAAAGGGAAAAAAACAATAAATCTGTCAAATCCTTTTTCCCGCTAGATATTCCCATCTAAAAAAGGGTTTTTTCCGAAATTTTTTTTGATGCGTTTGTGATTGGTCTATGTTTGAAGACGGTATTTAGGGAGTGATTCGTAGATAGATTATAAACCACGGCTAGCAAGCGGGACGCGATGCTGACAAGGCCATTCGCATTCCAGCCTCACATCGCCCCATCGATGCGGAACATAACGCCCGCTTCCTCCTCGAATCCGCACTTGCCCAGGCCCGAGTCCACGGGAGTCCAAGAAACGGCGACAGGTCAAGAGATCACCTCGAAGGCCCCCGCCGGGCCTGGGCCTGGGCCACGTCGCCCCGGACGAGGTAGAAATGGAAGGAGCGAGTTATGCACGAAGACGTCCGAGACGTGACAGGACCAAGACCAGGCCTTATGAGGGCGTGGGCGAAGGGTGCAGCGGTCGTGAGAAAGACGGGCGGTGGTGGAGCATCCGGTTGCGACGAAGCGAGGGATTCGCAAGACCGGGTTCTGGAGGTGGGGTTGGAAAGGAAATGGACAAAGAGGAGAGAAATCGAAAGAAGCGATGGTGTAGTAGTGATGAGTCAGAAGGTAAATCTCGAATTAAGAAGAAAGAAGAAGCAGCGGCAAAAAGGTAATGGAAAAGGTGTATAGCGTCGCCTGAGAGATTCGAACTCTCGCGGGGAAACCCCATGTACTTAGCAGGCACACGCCTTAACCACTCGGCCAAAGCGACACTTCGGTTATTTAGGATCTTTTCAAATTATGTAGCATTAAAATCCTTTCAATGCGTCCTACGAGTTTCGAACATAAATTTCACGATTTCCTCAAAACCTGAATGATATGTTCAGATTTTACGAAATCGAAAGTAATGGTTTTTGCAAGCGAGAAGGCATAGTAATGCAATGCAATCGGTGATCGAAAAGCAAAGTAAAGATAGTGTGCAAGAAGCACTAGGTCTTAATTCAACCCGAGAACAAGTAAGAACCATCCTAGTCAATTTCATCCGTAGTGCCGTGCTTAATTCTTAACGACTAATGGGTAGGCTTTAGTTCCCATACGCCATCCGGTTCTACCCACAAAAATCAAACCAACTGGGTCAGTTGAAGGTGAAACAGGCTTTGGGACCAAGTTTAAGCAAAAGCTTTTTCAAAACATTGTTCTTTTTTCACACAATATGACCTTTAACCAATGCATTAAGTAAATTCTAAAATTACATATCGATCATCATCGAATCATATCAAAAAGTGCCATCTTATTGCTAGGCTTCAGTCGATCTTATCGAGTCGGCTCAATCCGGCATACACATCCTACACATCCGTCGGTGGTTTGTTGGAATATTCGCTTGCTTACTTTTCAACCAATCAATGGACGGCAAATGAGTTGATTCCAACTCATTTCCCTTTCGCTCAATTGAAACCCAATTCCCTTTCTATTTCGTGACAAAAAATTAGTGAACTTTTTAGCTTCTTACGAAGGTTGTTGGGACTTTCGAGACACGTCACCCTACAACTCCACGAACGGACACTCACAGCATCATCATCCCCACTAAGAGCTGTAATTCAGCACGTAGTGTTTCTCTCTCCGTGGGCCCGCGACGGCCCAACAAGATTTCAACTTTCGGTGGCACTCATATCAAACCCCATGCCCATTTCTGTCATTTCGCCTCCAGCCCAGAGAATCTCCCGTCCTGGTCCTGAATCTCCCGGCGCTCTGACACTCGCTCGGGATTGCGTCAGCACTCACGGGAGCGCCACGTCGACAAGTCGGCGCTCTCTGATTGGACCTCCCTCGTCTTTCTTTATCCTACGTCAGCTCAAAAGGCTAACATGAGCTCCACGTCCCTCCCCACTACGAACTCGCCACGTGGACAGTCCGTCCTTTTCCCGCTGCGTACGTTAGCAGTTTCCTAGGCCAGTGGAGAAAACATAATTCGACTCATTATTTTAAAAAGAGATAATAACACAAATAATTTTGAACTTTGATGCAATATATAATTTAGTTTATGAATTTTTAATTTGTTCAATGTAGTCTTTGAATTTTAGTCTAATGATCAATGTGGTCCATGAACTTTTAATTTATTTAATGTGATCCATGAACTTTTGGTACATATTCAATGTCGTCCCTGAACTTGGATTAATGGAATGACTATATTGAACATTTTCATATAGTTCACGAATTAAATCAAATATATACCAAAAGTTAATGAATGACATTGAACGAATTAAATGTTGAAGGAGTACATTGTATATTGGACAAAAGTTCAAAGACTATACGTGTCGTTTTCTCTTTTAAAAACTCTTGCATAAAATCGACTTATTCCTCTCCATTTCTTACACAAAAGATAAATAATTCGAGAACATTTTCTTAACTTTTACGGTTAATATCGTTTAGAAAAATGAGTTAACAAATAAATATTACGAAAATATTCTTTTATTTAAGTTGAGTATATTAATAATGAAAGCAAAATTCATTGATTCATTTATTCCAAAGGGCAAATGCGGTTAAAATTTAAAATACTGTGAAATTTAAAATCAAAAGAGCCGAAGTATCGTCACTTGGCGCACGCGTCGTGGCAAAAGACCGTTGTACCCCCCGCACGGGAGCTCGAATAACGCCAATTCTGATCCCGTTTGCGGCTACGGACATTTCAACGCCCACCGGACGGCATTCCCAAAGCCACGACCCCCGGCACAACGCCAAAAAGGAAAAGGAAAATTCGAAAAAGGTATATTCGTCAAACCATCTTCGCCGTCGGATCCGAAACGTAGGACCGCGATCCGTCCGTCCATCTCACCCCATCAACTCAACTCCCCCCCATCTCACCAGACTCCTCCTCTCAACAGCTTCCTTTTCTTCTCCGATGCTCTGAGCCACAAAAACGGTGCGCAGCGATTCTGCGGCGAGGAATGGCGTCCATAGCTCTCACATCCTCTTGCTCGCTCGGGTTCGGCGCTCACCGCCCGTCGCTGAGATCGCGCCCCCTCAGGCCGGCCGCCGCCGCGCCGTCGAGCTCCTCCCTCCTCTCCAGATCCGCCGAGAACCGCGCGTTCCGGCTCAAATCCTGCGGCGCCGGTGCCGGCGCCACCCGCCTCCTCTCCCCTCTCCTGAATTTGACCCCCGAATCCGGAGCTGGAGCTCGCCTGGCCGTCAGGGCGGCCGCGTCCGCGTCCGCCCCCGGGGCGGCCGTCTCCCCGCCGCCGCCGACGCCGTGGCAGGGCGCGGCCATGGCGCCCCTCCTCGCCTCCATCGCCACCGGGGTCATCCTCTGGTTCGTCCCCGTCCCGGCCGGCGTCTCGAGGAACGCCTGGCAGCTGCTCGCGATATTCCTGGCGACGATCGTCGGGATCATCACCCAGCCGCTGCCGCTGGGGGCCGTCGCGCTGATGGGGCTCGGCGCGTCCGTCCTCACCAAGACCCTGACGTTCTCTGCCGCCTTCTCCGCTTTCGGGGATCCAATCCCGTGGCTGATCGCTCTCGCTTTCTTCTTCGCTCGTGGATTCATCAAGACCGGCCTGGGAAACAGAATCGCGTACCAGTTCGTTAAGCTCTTCGGCAGCTCTTCTCTAGGATTAGGCTACAGCTTAGTCTTCAGTGAAGCGCTCCTGGCGCCCGCCATTCCCTCGGTCTCTGCCAGAGCGGGAGGGATATTCCTTCCTCTGGTTAAATCGCTCTGCGTCGCATGTGGCTCGAACGTCGGGGACGGGACTGAGCACAAGCTCGGGTCGTGGTTGATGTTGACGTGCTTCCAGACTTCGGTGATTTCCTCGGCGATGTTCTTGACGGCAATGGCGGCGAATCCCTTGAGCGCGACCTTGACGTTCAACACCATTAAGCAGACAATTGGGTGGACTGACTGGGCGAAAGCCGCGATCGTGCCTGGTCTGGTGTCGTTGATTGTAGTGCCTATGCTTCTATACGTGATTTACCCACCCACGGTGAAGAGCAGTCCAGATGCGCCAAAACTTGCGAAGGAGAGGTTAGAGAAGATGGGGCCAATGAGTACAAATGAGAAGATCATGGCAGGGACTCTTCTTCTGACGGTATGATTGTGGGACTTTTACCACGTATTTATTTATATATTTAGCTACTCAGTTCATTAGTTAATCATTGCTAAAGTGACCAAAAGTCTGATGAGCTCTCATGTGCTAGCTTTAGGGAACGGTTGCCTTTTTCTGCGAATACTAATACTAGCCAATTGTTTGAATTTGATAACAATCGAGAAAAGAAATTAGCATCACTATTTTTCATATTGATCAGACAGTGGATGTTCTCTTTTACTGGAGATCGATAACAATTTTTTTAATTTTTAGTATTGCAGCTTTCCACAACCAGTGAAATCCTTATTTATGCTCACACCATAGTAAAGGTTAATCATTTGCAGACTATTACTCTTAGGAACTTTCATCAGGTCAAGTGCAATAAGTCTATCTGTTTGCTAAAATCGGACAGATGGAAAATGGCATTTTGCAGTCTTCCATAAAGTGCGATTGTCGGCATTCAGAGTATCTTTATCACCCAATACTATAAAAGTTTTGCATTAGCTTCAAAATATGCTATTTGGTATTGGACGTGAGAATTACGGTAATTCTGGGTAAGCAGAATTAGTATGGTTCTGTCAACTGCATTTTTTTGATAAGATGGAGGACTCTAAACTATGAGTTTTTCTTTGTGATGGTCATGATATCCACAGTCAACACTGGTGTTCACTGTTAAAGACTAGAATGAACTCGGGGAAGGGACTCTTTTATCATTGTAATATTCCAGAGGAATTACAATTTACCATTGTCATGGCATGCATAAGCTTCACAAATATTGATGATTTCCTCATGCATGAAGGTTCAAATTCTCAGTTGTCTTTTGGCCACAGATTTTCAAATCTTCACTTCCACCTAGTATTGCTAGAAGGGAAATTGTTTTCTTTCTCTTTAACAAGAAAAGTACGAGATTCAGAGGTAATTGGCCCGACTATCCATCTTTCTAATTATAGCTTGAGCCCGTTTGTTAGGTTGTACAACTGAGGTGCCAGTTGATCGAAGCCTTACAGCAGACTCTGGCTATCACTTCAAACATGATGTTTTTTTCTCATCCTACGTGTTGCTTCGCATTTGTGTGCTTTAAAGCTTGAAAAATCACAATTTTTCTGTGTGGCACATATGAGGTTTTTAACATTGCCTGCTCTGGAGATTTACTACGTGTGCATATTGATGGTATTTTGGATTGTCAATCATAATGCAATCAGGAATATCTATGTAATGATATGTTGAGCTTTCTTGTAATAGCATATGTCAAATGGTCATTTAAATTCTTTTAGCAACAAATCTACTCTAGGATACCTTTTCCATAATTCAAGTTTTCTGGACATGCACTTTCAGTAAATCATGTACTGTGTTGATTGCTGCTGTAGAATGCACTAGGATCACTATTCAGTCTTTGATGCTTTTGTTTTCCCTCTTGTCTCTGGCTCTCTTTTGATTTTTCCGCTGTGCATTAGTATTTCATGTTTGTTATTGCTTAGACATGTATTGCAATGCGCTTTGTGGACATACTGGTAATGTGATTGAGAGAAGTTGTTCCAATGAATTGCAGACTCATAGCCCTTAAGCCTCATACGGGTCATCTTTTCTGTTTGTGTTGATGATTGACGCCATAATGGGGCATTGACCTGAAATTTGCTGGTCAAGTCTCCCCATACATATAGTCATTAGGAGATTCACTACTTGAAGATAACAGTTGCTACTCTTATGGACGGTTCTTGTAGTTTTCTTTTTAAATCTTCTCTGGATGATGAGCCTACATATCACTTTGCTCTAAAACTTGTTTCTATTTGTCCGGATTGCTTGTTTATTTGCTCATATGTGCATGGTTATTGAATGAGTTCTTGGGACTGACATTACTTTCAATAGTGGATTGTTCTTATAATTTGTCTTTCCTGTCTACTTGTCTATTTGTCATAGGTTGGGCTTTGGATCTTTGGAGGGATGCTGAATGTTGATGCAGTCACTGCTGCCATTCTTGGATTGTCTGTTCTCCTGATTACAGGTGTTGTCACTTGGAAGGAGTGTTTAGCTGAAGCGGTTGCCTGGGATACCCTTACATGGTTTGCTGCCCTAATAGCTATGGCTGGGTATCTCAACAAATATGGCCTCATTTCTTGGTTCAGCCAAACAGTAGTTAAGGTTGGTTCTTACTTTCCCTTCAGAGCATCGTAATTTTCCTGATTTATCATCAATATATCTATGTTATGCATTTTAAAAATTCTAGGATATCACTCTTCTTATAGTGCTATCATCAATGCAAAAAAGAAGAGATTAAAGAGTCAAATGTAGTACACCACCAACCCCAAATTATTCTGGAAGTTCATTCATGGCTGTTCATGAGTGCAAATGCGCATATGCATTTGCTAATCTATATGAATTCTCCTCTGGTCTCATCCTTTATAGTTTTCTGTTGGGATGCTTACATACTACAGTGGGTTTACATGTGATTTTGTCTGGCTGTGTAATAATCTGCATGCATCATCATTCCTTCCGTTCCTTTTCTACTTTAACTTTATTTGAGAGGTGAATAGTGCATTATTAGTGACCTTAGCTATAGCGCTGACTTGCAAGTTATGTAAGGGATGTTGCCTAGAATTGACATTGCAAGCATTTTGTTTGAGTTGGTACCTTCTTGGCTAGTGGTGCCTACATATTAATAGTTGTATCAACTCGACAAGAAAAAACCTAACAAGCATATGTTGTTATACGATCCGGTGTCTCTTTTTCTTTCTTATGAGAGAGCTTACCCTAGATATATATCTGAGATGTTTCATTTAATGGCATATTGAGGTGCACATGCACTTGGTCAAAGAAAATGAAAAATTTAGCAGAAAGGATAATTCAAGATAATGCTCAGAGCATTGAAATAAGTTTAGATTCTCTCTGGTTGGCTTCATCCTTGTTAATCATACCCTTGGTGATAAATTCTAAGCTTTTTCTTTGGAGCGAATTTATTGGTCTGACAAGAAGGCCCAAGTTGAGCAGCTTAAGGCAGCACGAGCTAGTAATTTTCCTGTAGTCATAATGGCTGTGTTGACAAATGTAGCCTATCCTCTGATTCTGAATGCAAGATGATAATATTTTCAAGCATATGTGGCGTAGGGCTTGCTAATAAAGAGTTGCTGTGCTTTTGCAGTTTGTTGGTGGGCTGGGTCTTTCATGGCAGGCATCATTTGGCATCTTGGTTCTTCTCTATTTCTACTCGCATTACTTCTTTGCCAGTGGAGCCGCTCACATTGGTGCCATGTTCACCGCCTTCTTGTCTGTTGCAAGCGCTCTGGGCACTCCACCCTACTTTGGAGCCATGGTGCTAGCCTTCCTCTCTAACCTCATGGGCGGCCTTACCCACTATGGCATTGGGTCGGCGCCCGTCTTTTACGGTGCTAACTATGTGCCCTTGGCCAAATGGTGGGGCTACGGATTCATTATTTCTGTCATCAACATTATCATTTGGCTCGGAGTCGGAGGCATTTGGTGGAAGGCCATTGGATTGTGGTGAGGAAATAACAATGAGAAGGCCCTCTGCTTCAAAAACGGTTAGAGATTCCTGATTCTGTTTCGCCTCAAGCTGCGATTTTTCCTTTGCTGCCTCGGAGACAGGCTTGTTGATTTTGCTTCCCTTTTTCCATAAATTATTACTCCCATATTTCGATGGTCTCGGTAGACCCTTTGGTGGGGAGGATGGTGCATGAGTTAGGTCTACTTGAAGGCAGAGATTAGAGCTTGTAAGTGAGAATTTTTGACATATTGAAAGGAGAATATTTTTTCCCCAGGACATGACAGCTGCCCAGATGATAATACTTGGATGTCTCTCTTTGATTTCACTATCTATTGATTTACACAATTCTCTCTCCCGCCTAGTTCTTATATCTCGCTTGATCGGATCTCTATATTTCGTGAAGTTTTTTAGGTGTCGGAACCTCCTCATTTGAGACTTGAGAGTAGACTGATATGAATTTGCCTCCTTGTTCCAGTGAAAAGGGTTGAGTCTCGGTTAGAAGCAGTGGCAACAGATTTCTTTAGATCCTTGTGTTGATGGAGAAGCGGATGGCGACTTTTGGTAGAATATGAACCGGAGTGACAAAGAGTTATGAATTGGACTTACCTGAAAATAATTTCTCTTCCTTTTTGGCTAAAAAGTTGAGAAAGAAACAAACTAGGGAGTGCGATTTGGGACCCCTTCCCATGGACAGAGCATTGACTCGTGTGGGACAGGGGGACTCGAGCGCTACTGCCAGCCACACTTGACGAATCTGACATGGACCCAAGATAACAAGCGAAAGAAATAAAAAGGCGCGGATGGACCCATGATGGCATGATCGCTCATTTCAATCATAGCCTCAGCTATCATCGAGATAGAGCAGCAGCACGCTCTTACATGTGATGCGATGATGAAATATTACAAGATGTAGGGTAATTTTTTGGGTTGTTTGGTATCTCTTTTCTTATCATGATTTTAATGGGAAATGTGTTGGAAAAGTCCTAAATTTATTGTATCTGTACAAATTTAGTCATTAATCTTTTGACTTAGAGCCAATTCAGACTAATTTTTGGTGGATATTGTTAATGTGGATACTAGCTGTTTCGAATTTTTTTTTTCATTTTATATTTTCTTTCTTTTTTTTCTCTCTTTTTAACAAATGTAAGACATGACAAAATATTATATGGTCTATAGATCATGTTGATGAAACCTATTTCAATCATTGATCATATGACCCCACGATAGGACCGACGTAATTAATGGTCGAGATGGTATTGATCCACACGATTTATAGACCATGCAATGCTTCTTTGGGGCAGATCAAAGTGCAGGATAGACGAGTACAACCCAACAAACAAGAAAAGGTGGGTTGAGTACAGCAACTTCTATCACAATGAAACTTTGGTATGTAAGGATATCGACTTTCGTATGAACATATTGATAACTTTATAAACGTTTGGTCATGTCAGTGATCACGATGGTTCATGGTATCGATTTCCACCACTTCGATGCTTTAAGCCACCACTTTGTTCGGGTTTTTTGTGAATCTTTGTTGTGGTCATTATCTTTCGAAAAAAGAAAAGGCAAGGCAGAAAGCATATTCGTTCAACAACAATCCTCCGAACAATTAGCTAATCATACAGCGGGAGCACTAATCCTTATTCCTATTTGCGTGCATCGCATAAGTATCTACTATAGGACATTGGATTGATGCCGTGACTCGATCTGTGAGTAAAATCGAGTCAAGCTACTCTCACAATTGCATCAAGTTCATGACCCGACAAAAACATTGTTCGCTGGGAAGATAGGCTGGTCTCAACCCGTCTACCAAAAATGGGGCTAATGTTCAATTTTGGTTAGCCAATTCTAGCTCAATTATTATACCCATTCCTTCCTTAGGCCTAACATAGCCCTGTAACCAATTGTATTTAGCCACCTTCTTCGCCAGGCATGCTCATCTCCTGTCCCACCATTTTCGGTAGGGACTTAATAGGGCAGCTACTACCGTTATTATTGAGTGACCAATGCAAGCTCAATTTGATGACTATTCGAGATTGATTGTCTAATTTCGAGTTGAGCTCGAATTTAAACTATTTTGTATCTTATCAAGTTGAGTACGAGTTTGTCGATACTTAACTCGATAGGCTCTCGAGCCTAGTCAAGTCTAATCGAGCTTTTATTATTAATAATTATAAAATACATGTAAAAAGCTTTTATTATTAATATTCAAGTTTATAAAACTCAAGCTCTGCAATAAACTGATGGTCATCGAGTCAAGTTCAAGCAAGAAAATTAATACTCAATCAAGTTTTGAACAACGAGTATACGAGTTGAGTCGTACTTGAATTTAACAGTTTATGGACTCAGATTATACTCCAAATTTGAGCTCCTATTGCTCCATAGAAATTTGCCGGTTCGAACCAAGCCCTTAATCATGTTATCTGTCATTGTCCTTTTGCTCTTTTTACTGGGAGAGGTTTGAAACATGCCGTACCTGGTCAGGTCAAATCATAAGGAAGCTCTTTTCCTGGGACTTAATGTTCCCACCACCCAATCACTCACACGTGTATGGCCCGTAACACGGCTGCCGACTGCTCATGCACCATGAAGGAGGTTGGTGCATTCGCCGCTGCAGCTTCCTCCGCAGTGAACGCGTGTCGATCACTGTATGGTTTCCTGCCGCAAGCTACGTAGGTGAGGGACAGGGACAGTCTTGACACGAGTCTTTCCCTCCTTAGTTATCAGACATCTCGCTTTATATTCGCGCAGATGCTTCAGTGCCTCGAATAAAAAAATTCGCTTCAACTGAAAAGCGTGCTGCCCAACTTCCTCGGCCTTTCTTGAAAGGCAACTCAGATAAATACTTTCATCTTCATTTGTATTCAATCTTTCTTTCTTTTGTTGCTGGGTTCGTTGTTGAGTTTCAGAGGGGATCATATACGAAGCAGTAATATTCAAGAGACTTCCTTCCTGGGACTTCTTGTGATAGTGACAGAGGTGGTTTGTGTCTTTGCTGTATCCGTTTGATTCTCAAGCGTGTTTCTTTGCATTGCGTTATTGTAAAGCTGATACATAACTCGGAAATGTCGAGATGTTGAAGGATACTAATTGTTTGAGCTCATGCATTACTTTGGTGGCTCCTGTAATCATGTGCTTATCCTTCTTTTTATGGTTGTGTTGGACCCTCTTGGTTTGGCATCACGTGCACATGTTCCTGCTCAAGGCAGATCCTTCGATTATGGGGTTTGCTTTATTTGTCTCTTTTTTCGAAGCCTAATTTTCTTCAACTTTGGACGATTGATGTGAACCATGCGATCTTCTGCAGCTACAGAAATGGAGCCTCTGGAGGGTTCTTCCTTGGGAGCTACCTCCTCTGAGGAAGATGATCCTTTTCCATCAGGAATAGAGAGGAGAATCCCAATATGCATTTTCTTTCGTAATGCGAGGTGATCGTTTTAAGTCATTCAGATTCTAAATTCTTTGTCGTTGCCTGGAAGAAAATGTTTCACCCGCGCACTGTTTTGATGAATAAATGTTTTGCTTCTCTTAGTGTTCTTGTTTTAGTTCTTTGCATGAGCCTACCTCTCACGAGTTCCTTCAAATTATCAATTGTTGGGGAAAATGGCCATGATGTTTGTGCCCAATTTCTTGATTGTTTTTGTTTCGCTTCACACGAAAAACCATAACCATTCTCTCTCTCTTTGTGCCGGTTTCTCAATGACGAGCCGGACTAAGCCTATCTCCCTTTTCTACTCGAGCAGACGCATTTTGAAATTTGATGAACTTGGTCGAGAGATAGCTCAAATAGCATTGCCTGCTGCCCTTGCTTTGACTGCCGACCCTATTGCGTCTCTTGTTGACACAGCTTTCATCGGTCAAATCGGTACTTCCTTCTTGCTCTGCGCTTTTTAAGTTTGCATATGGTACTCTAATATTATGTAAATCAGCATCTTGTTCAGTAAGATATGCTCTCCATATCTGTTACTGTCTCTTTAGGCAAATGCAGACTGTTCATACTTCAATTCTCTTTAGTCTGACTTTGAAGGGGCACATTTTGAACTTGATTGAGCGTAAACTGATATGACCTTAGATGAACAATCCAACTTTATATTTGAAAGCACATACGTACAAGTTTTAGACAATGTTGAAGTGAATTTTCAAGAGGCAGAGATGAAATGACACCCTTCCATTTTATATCCTAATCCTTGAAGTGCTATTGTTTCTTAATTCAAATGTGGGTTTGTACAGATTGGTCTATTCTGTAAAATCTGGTGCTGCTCACTTTTCTTCGTCTCTACAGGTCCTGTGGAACTAGCAGCTGTGGGTGTATCGATTGCGCTGTTCAATCAAGTGTCGCGGATCGCTATATTCCCACTCGTCAGTGTCACCACATCCTTTGTTGCCGAGGAAGAGGCTATCGGAAGTGTTGGCTCCGAAGTGCAGGAGAGCGAATACTTGGAGGCAGGCTCTATGGAAAATGCCGAAAATAAGGAGTTGATACCCCAAAATGGTAATGCATCAGTTGTCCCCAATTGTCAACTTTTACACTTGAAATCTGATAAAAAAATACATTCGCAACTGTTAGATTCTGAACAATTGTTTTGCAATCTATATTCTACGGTGGTATCATATACAGAATCGGGTGATCATCTGTCCGGGTCGACACAGATCAGTAGCTTCGACATATCGAAGTTCAAACAGATGCCCAGAAGAAGACACATCCCATCTGCTTCATCTGCGTTGGTAATTGGCAGCATTCTCGGTCTTCTTCAAACCATTTTTCTCATATCCGGAGCAAAACCGTTGCTGAATTTCATGGGAGTGAGATCTGTAAGTAATGTCCTAGCTTTATAAAATCTTCGTCATCTCTTAATATTGAATGCTTATTTCTTCGCCGCCTCTCTAAACTGCCGCTTGACAGTTTCTTTTCACCCCTCAACAGGATTCCCCGATGCTAACTCCTGCACAACAGTACTTGACATTGAGGTCACTTGGTGCACCAGCAGTCCTCCTCTCACTCGCCATGCAGGGGGTCTTCCGCGGATTTAAAGATACGAAAACGCCTTTGTATGCAACTGGTAGGTCCCTCTTCAATTTCCTCTGATGGTATCATGCTTTCGAATGAACAAACATACTAAATTTCATTTGTTCCAATAATATTAGTACGAGCTCATTCTTGTTTTTTTCCTTTTCCTTTTTTATCGTATCAGTGGTGGGAGATGTAACGAACATAATCTTAGACCCCGTATTCATGTTTGTTTTCCATATGGGCGTCAGCGGTGCGGCTATTGCTCATGTTATATCTCAGTAAGTTGTGTGGATACTATCGAGACTCTTCTGAACTTTGTTAAAAGTCTGATTAAGCCACTCTCATCATATAATATCCCCACAATGTCCTTGCAGGTACGTGATTTCTCTTATTCTGTTGTGGAGACTGATGCAGCAAATTCATCTCTTACCTCCGAGTATCAAACATTTGCAGTTTGGCCGTTTTCTAAAGAATGGTAAGCCCTTGATTGTGCTTTAGCAAATTTTGCTCTCATAGACTAGTCATTTATTGAAATTTCAACTGCTAGTGGCCTCTATTTTCTTGACTAGTCGTTACGTGCATATGTTATGTGTGTACTGTTGACAGTTGCCCGTTTAGCCTTGGGCACTGAACAGTCTGGTCTTCAGAACTGTTCTATCTTGGCTGATAATTGGTACCTCAAATTATATAGTGGACTACTCGATCTGGTAGAAGCATATTGCAGGAAACACTTTGTAAATTTTGTTAAAAACTTGACCGTGCGGGTCCTTCGCTCGCCAAGTCAATGAACAGAAACCGTTAGGATATTTTCAGGTTATGAACGAAAAATGCTTAGCAATTGACCTCACTTCGTTCCATCTATTGTGGTTGCACCAGGTTTTCTGCTATTAATGAGGGTTGTTGCCGTGACGTTCTGTGTGACTCTTGCCGCATCAATGGCGGCTCGCTTGGGGCCGACATCGATGGCTGCATTTCAAGTCTGCTTGCAAGTGTGGTTGACTACGTCGCTCCTCGCTGATGGGCTTGCTGTCGCTGGACAGGTGAGAGTTCTTCCTCTTTTGACCGCAGCTGCTACTGCCACACTTAACTGTTCAACTTCTCTGGTGTAACGATGTAAGCATTCAATAATCAATCTAGTTTTTTTTTGTGACAACATAGGCAATCCTGGCAAGTGCATTTGCAAAGAAGGATTACAACAAGGCCACAGAAACTGCGTCCCGAGTACTGCAGGTTCCCGATTTCTTCCAGAACAATCGAGCATTCTATTACGGTTGTCACATCGGCAGTAGTCTTACAGATTCATCCTGCAGTTGGGACTGCTTCTGGGACTGGCGCTAGCGGTCCTTCTCGGAGTCGGAATGCATTTCGGAGCGAGATTATTTACAAGGGATGTTAGCGTCCTCCACGTAATCAGTATCGGAATACCCGTATGTTGCTTGTTTTAAGAACTTGAAATCTATCTTATAAAGCTGAAGCTGTTTATACTGTTAGTTATCGCCGATGCTAATAAAATTATAGTCTTTGATCAACATCAGTTTGTTGCCGCTACTCAACCCATAAATGCCTTGGCCTTTGTTTTCGACGGCATCAACTTTGGAGCGTCTGATTTTGCATACTCTGCCTACTCCATGGTGAGATTATTCTTTCCCCTTAATTATCGAAGGGAGCACCATCCATTTACTTTGCCAGACATCGTCTCTAACTTTCTACACAATGAATAATTGCGAGTGCCAAAGCAACCGAATTGATGTAGAAGCATACCATTCTTGAACACTCGTGGCTGAATTTCATTCATCATTTTGAAGATTGCATTCATTTTGGAAAAAAAATAGGAGTACAACAGTCCAGTTGAATATTCACACCCTTTAGAAATACAAGCGAAATTGATGCTTGAATAGATTCAATCTGTGTGAGCCAACCGAACCAGATCGCTAGAGTGTGTGTTTGCAGAAAAAGCTACCTGTTCAATTGTTAAAATGAACCAATATCCTTGCTCTTTCTAAACCAAAGATGAACTTTGTAAGTGTTGAATCCTTCTGTTTTTCAGGTTGCGGTCGCGGCAGTCAGCATTCTCTGCTTGTCTATACTTTCGTCCAGTCACGGGTTCATTGGAATCTGGATTGCTCTAACCATTTATATGAGCCTCCGGGCATTCGCCGGATTTTGGAGGTAAATCACCCGAAGCTAACCCCGAATGCTTCTTTTTATTCGAGTCCTGATGTTGTCGTCCTCGACATGTGATTGTTTCCAAGTCGGGGAATGGAGGCATGATTTCACTAGACAATGTTCTAAAGGTGCTTTTGTTGTGCTTCGCCTTCTCCAGGATCGGGACTGGGAAAGGTCCCTGGAATTTTCTCTGGAGCTGAACAAGTACGCATTACACACTCAGGAAAGTCCGGCGGACAAATCGATCCGAAATCCACTGGTGGCTTCGCTGAAAATTCATGTCGCCGCATTGTGACAGTCCCTATCTGTACAACTAAATAGAAATAGAAAGGAGAGAGACGAAAAGGGTCGGCTTCATCTCACATTGGCTAGTGAGGAAGACGGAGAGCCTATCGAAAACAATAATCTGAAAGCGAAGTTATGTGTATAGATTTATGTGCGCAGCGCTGTTAGTTATTAGCCTTATTTCTGGAGGGAGCATCATGTGCGTGTGAGATTTGGTAAGAACCCAAATGACAGCATGTCCAATCTCTGCATTGGGTGTGAAATAGCTCCAGCTTCAAAGGCTATTAGGTTTTGCCCATGATTCTTCTGCTCAAACTACCTTCTGTCAAATCTGTACGTAACTTTCAAAGGAGGAAGAAAAAAATCTTTAGAGAGATTGAAGATGCAAGTCTTGGTTTCTCTGTTGGGGTACTACTCATGTGTGACGATGCTGTGGCTTCGGTTGCTTCTCCCTCCCATGACTGTCTTCCACGTCAAGATAAGACCCCGTTTCACTTCACTTGCAAACCAGGAGTTCCAACCGCAGCAAGAACAAGTCATCGGTACCTAGGTGTCAAAAACCAACCCGAGAGCCCAAGTCGATCCTCGTGCGCGTTAGAAGTTATTAGGTGAAAATAGATTATACGAATATAAAAAGCATTTAAGATCCGTTGTCAAGCGACCTGGAACGATACTTTAACACTCCTCTTACGTGCAAGCCGAATTATGAGTGGCGTACAGAATTTGACTAGCGGGATGGCCGCACATTCGCTAAAGAAATAACAATAGCTATGATATCAGGTTAGAAAGTCCAACCCAAAAAAAGCTTGGACCTTTTAATAGTGCGAAATGGTGTTCTACAAGCCGGAACCTCTGCGGAACGGAAATGATGGGCAGTACCTCTGTGTGTGCCGTCATTTCATCGGCTGAAAAAAGAAAAAAAAGAGGCAGGGAAGAGGGACCGGTGCTGACGACCCTCCCGACGGCCCTCACGTCCCGTTACGGATCATTTGGGATCGAGCCGCGACTATTTCGCACCGCCACCGCCATGTCCCGATCAAAATACCAATAGTCGGGAACTCAGAAACACGTTGCGCGAGCCATCTACAGATTCATTCAAGGCGCGGACCGAAACTGGTAATCTCGTGGAACTTTTCTCCCTTTCCTTTTTCCGGGCGACTCCTTTTGCTGGTATCAATCGCTCGGGGGGCGGGCGGCGGCGTACCTCTGTTCATACGGTGGTCCGGCGCCGCGGAATTCCTTCCTTTTTTTTTTAATTACCGTGGACGCATCGCTTCGCCGTGGTCCAAACCCAAAAAACGCCGCCGTTTCTGTGGGCCTCCGCACATAATATATATATATATATATATGTATACAATCTCGCTCGCCCCTCATGTATCCCCCCCCCCACCACCCCACAGCAAAATCAATCATCAACGCCCAAAAAACTCTTTCTCTCTCTCTTCTCTCTCTCTCTCCTGTTTCTCTCTCTCTCTCTGCTTTCAAAATTTGTAGCAGGCACAGAATTTCCCCGCAAATCCCTCCCGGCTGCGATCGCATGAAATCTCGCCGGCGCTGGCAATGCCCTCCGCATCCCCGTCCGCCTCGTCCGGCCGCCCCGCGGACCTCGTCTCCCGCCTCGCCTCCTCCGACCGGGACGTCCGCCTCCGGGCCCTGAGGGAGGTCAAGAACCAGATCATCGGCAACCGCACCAAGAAGCTCGCCTACATCAAGCTCGGCGCCGTCCCCGCCGTCGCCGCCGCGCTCGCCGGCGCCTCCGACGGCCCCGGCCCCGGCGAGGCCTGCGACCTCCTCGTCCAGTCGGCCGCCGCCCTCGGCAGCTTCGCGTGCGGCGTCGACGCGGGCGTCCAGGCCGTGGTGGACGCCGGCGCGCTGCCGCGGCTTCGCCGGCTCCTCTCCAGCCCGGATGAGAAGGTAGCTGCGGATCTTGGTTTCTTCGTGATTCTAGTTCCCGGAATGAAACTTCGTTGTGTTCATTTTCATTTGCGTCTGGTAGCTGAGGAGATGATGGACGGAGGACGAAACTTGAGTTTGTTTCTTAATTTAACGCGGAAATCGCTCGATTTAAGTAATTCGTACTAACGATGTCTGCCGGAATTGAGTTCTTGTTTGCTTTTTTTTTTTTATGTGAATCTGTTGATTCATTCGATGGAATTCGATAATGTATGCTCGTCTCGCTTGATATTCTCGCATAGTTTCGAGTCTCTTGTGAATATTTTGTCCTATGTTTATTTGACAAATCATCCTTTGTGGAAAATTGCTCATTTTCTAGAAGGTAAACGTGACCCTGTTGGACAATGATATGTCACTTTGGATTCTAAATGAAATATTGTGCACTTGTACTTTAAGCGTTCTCTTATCGAGGTCGTTGCTGACTTTAGAAGCCTCAGTTCTTACACATTCTTGAGGTGAAAGTATGGTACCAACCTCTTGATTTTGATGTCACAATCCTTGTCCTTTCCACCACTTAGCCTATATTCACTTGTTTCTCGGGCATACTGTAATACATCGACCGGTTTGGATGTTAGATGGCCCGGTATAAGTTAGTTAGAGCTGCGTGTTAGGTATCTGACCTGATTCTCTAGCAAAACTTTTAGCCAGGGATCAGGTAAATGCCCATTTGCAATACACTTAAAAATTCTTTCACATGTACCAGACATTTCTACCCCGAGGCTTCATATTCCATGTTTGACTGGGGTTATGGCCATAGTTAAAATGATTTACTTTAGTAATCATACTTTTGTGTAGAAAATCGGAAATTGTAATGGGTGAGAGTTCTACATACAATGTGCAAAGCCGAGATTTTCTATTTCTGGATACACAGTATAGGACAAACCACTGGTGCGTTCTATTGTCGGATAAGATATTGCCACCAGGCCTTTACCTTCCTTTGCCCCAGTATCCTGTTTACTTGTATTGCTTTGAAAGGTCAATTGTTTTTTGGGGGTATCAGAACTTATAGGATCTCCTCCAAACTTTATATGTATTTTCAAACTTTTGACCAGTTTTCATCCTTTTTGCACACTTATAATAACCAGTTCCTGGATCTTCTTTCCTCCATGAATCAAAATATTTATCCAGTTGTTCTGAAGTACATCATGTTCTTGGTTAGTGTGTATCTGACTGTTCTATGGTGCTCCAGGTTGTGGATTCTGGTGCTAGATCACTGAAAATGATTTACCAGTCAAGATTGGCTCCCAAATATGATTTCCTTGACCATCATAATTTGGAATTTCTTCTTTCACTGCTGAATAGCAAGAATGAAAACGTTACTGGACTTGGAGCCAGTATCATCACACATTCCTGTCAGACAAGTACAGAACAGAGGGCACTTCATGAAGCCGGGGTTGTTCAGAAGCTTGTAGAGTTCATAGCAGGTTCAGTAAGTCAAAGAGATCCTAGCTTGGAGTCTTTGACGGCAATAATCAAGAATAACCACGAAGTCACTTCTAAGATTGTGGAATTTGAAAATGGAAGGGCACTGAATCTCATAAATAAATTCACTATTGATAAGTCTCCACGCACAAGGTTACTTGCCTGTGCATGTTTGATTGCTGTAAGTAAGACATCTTCTCGCTATGTGGAAGACATGGGGCTTGAAATTAAATTAATTCATCATTTACTTGAGCTTCTGGAAGATCCTGGGCAAGTTGGAGATGAAGCTTCTTTTGCCTTGTCGAGTTTGATTGAGGAAAAGGAAGATCTACAGAAGCTAGCACTCGAGGCTAATGCTATCAATAAACTTTGCATCCATTTGCAAAATGGACTGTCATGTCCAAAGCGTCTCCAAGGAATATTGCTGGCATTGGCTAATATATGCTCAAAATTGGAGATCTGCCGGTCAAAATTACTGGCTTTGCAGGTATATTATTTGGTGTTGGTGCACAGACTTGCTCATCTGTTGATTAGTTGATGTTACATCTTGATTTCTTTTTTCCATGCATTTTGGGTAGCTCGTGTGACCATTTAAGTGATGAATCGATTTTTTCCTAGACACTAGTCGTATGTCCTCCTTGAATAATTTGATCTGATGCAAAGACATAACTTGTATCCATCATGGAAATTCACTGGCAAAGAAAGGCTTCAGACTTGATATCCATAAGGCTGGACTCAATGGGCACATCCAGTTTAGGCCAATTTTTGCATGCACAGTAGCGAGCAAACATTTGCCATAGGGTAATGCATGTAAAAGGATCTAGGGCATCATTATGATATTTAAGTTTAGAATTTAATATACTGGTCATATTTTGACATACTATTGATTATTAATCAGGGTACAGGGCGTAGTCTTGCATAACGTGATAATTACATGCCCATGCACTATTTTTGTACTTTGTATATCTTGTTGTTTCTACTCTATGATGGTGCCTAATGTAATGGATGGCAAGCATTTGCCAAAGGTTTGATAAGTGTGGATGCAGCAACCAAACTCCATTTAATTTGTTATTAAAAGATGCTTTATTATTGAGTTCAATGCGACACTATTTGCGCATTGATTGGGGGCCAAATGAGATCTGTTGCACTACATCAGTAGGTTTAGATGTTACCTTTTCACTTTGAGGGTTAGTGTGATATGTTAGTATATTACTGGTTTGTAAGATTTACTGTTTCTCAATAGTGCAGGCATTCAACTTGGTAAGTGATGCGCTAAGACATGACTGCACTAATGTACGAGTTGCTGCTTGCATTTGTTTGAGAAGTCTCTCTCGGTCAGTCAAGGTTTGCATTATGAGTTCTAAACTTTGAATTTATACTTGAGTTAGTAATGGTTAATATATGCTCATAAGCATCTTTCAGAATCTGAGTGCAGGTTATTTTATGAACGAGACAGTTATAATTCCATTACTGCAGCTTTTGCATGATCCTTCCATTTCTGCTCAGGTATGAATTATCTAGCATTTCCAGATTTTTTGTCACCTTGCTGATTGTTTACTGGGGCTAACGTGCACTTTCAATTAGCTTTAAATGCTCTTCCATGTTCATGAACCGGCAGTCGACACCATGTTATAACACTACAAGGAAAGGGTTTGGCTTTTAGTTTTGCTCGATTAGAAATTCAGCAGTTAGTTACAGGAAATGCAGTATTGACTCTTTTTACATCTGGAATCTCTTTAGATCTTAAAATTGCCAGCTTAAAGAATTGGCCCTAGAAGTTCATATTCTTGCCATCTTGATTAATTTGTGGTATAAGGTCTTCATGGTAATTTTCTGGAGTTAACAGTTGATTTGGGTGGAGGGTGGGATGTCGTATACCATAGAGGCGTGGGAAGTCAAAGTTGCCTTCTCTAGTTTATGTATTATTCTAGCGTACCGTTCACTTTTATTCTAACAGCAAGACTTATCAGATTGTGTTTCCTAATGGTTTTTTTTTTAATTATTTTGGCTTGAAGATATTTGGTGGCATGGTTTTTGGACCTCGGACAATGCCTTGTCTCAACTCCCCTAAGACCTCTAAGCCAACATGCAGCAGTTTAATATTTTCCATTGTCGTTTTTCAACTGTCGTTGTCAATGTCAAATCAATTTGGTGTCTCTTGAATAAGGAATATGCAATGGAATGTCGTCGTCTTCTTCTTCTTCTTCTTCTTTTTGCTCTTAATATGGCAACTTTGTTGTGCTTACATTTTGCATCGAAGTTTCTGGTATGCTGGTGTATATCGCTTTCTCTTTTGGGTTTCAGCGGGCAGCCCTTGGTGCAATCAGCAATATTGTGGTTGACTTCACAAAACATAAGTCCAATTTTATACATTGTGGAGGAGTTAAGCAGCTTGTTGAGTTGTCAATGGCAATGGATCCAGTAGTGAGGTCACACTCTTTATGGGCTTTGAAGAACTTGACATTCCTTGCTGACAGCAAATATAAGGAAGTAGTTCTGTCAGAACTCACAGCATCCTCACTAGCAAGCCTTATCCGTGGTAATACCTGGAACCTGATTGAATAAATTCTAATTCTAGCATGACAATACATCATTGGCACAAGTCAAATCCTGCCTGCACTTATCTGCAGATCCAGAATCGGCTGTCCAGGAGCAAGCTCTGGCTCTTGTTCGCAATCTTGTTGATGGATGTTTACAGTCTATTGAATATGTATTTGCTGAAAACGGTATTATATTGGATGCTATGGGAAGGCAGCTGCAATATGCTGCAAAAGCTGAAATAGGTATCCAGGTCAGAACTATTTTTTTGCATAATTCTTCATATTCTAGTATCAAATGATTCAAAAGTGTAAACAGAATGTGATCATCAAGCTACTTGCAGAACCAACCACCTAAAGTGACCAGTGGAGAAGTACGTCGAGGCCAATGACCCTAGTTCCAGACAAGTTGACATAGATTTTGTCTTAGACTTGAAATCAAGTGGAATGAGATGAGAACAAGACATTAAACTGAATCGAGAGAATTAACTTGATGTTAGGATTAGTCGTACGAACACAACGAAATGAAATAGAGAGTAAAGGCAAGGAAGAAAAATCGAGACACAAGATTTTATCCTGGTTCACCCTTAAACTAGAGTTACATCCAGTAGAGGATTCCACTATAATTAGCACCTCCCACCTCTCTATTACAATTCTTAATTACAAGAGAAAGAGATTATATATGCTCAGTGGACATTCATGGGCCCAAGTCTAAACTACCATTAAAATACGGGCCCAAACTACCGATAAGAGCAGGACTCCCTTTCTGTCGATGGAGAGTATGAACCACACCCCGACACTTGATGGATTGATGATTTAAGTGGATATACTGAAATCAAGTTCAGATTGTTTGATATGTGTGTCTCGGGCATTTTTATCCTTCTAGGTGAATGTTACTAGCATTTGATAGGTTGGCTCAAAAACTTTTATTCTGGACTCTTCAAAAGACCATAATTTTAAGATTGACTGAAATATTTCCATTGTCTCTTGGGAAGTAGAGTGTTCTATTGGTTCTTTTGTTATCAGCATCCAAGGACACCGTGTTTGGTAGGTTGGAACAACATGCCTGGCATGGCACGAGCCCCTTCATTGTTGTCGGGCTGTGCACTGCAGTCTGTAGCAGTGTTATGTTGCACTGGTCTGGCAACCACGTATGTAGTTGCTGTCCTAAGCTTAGCATTTAATTTCTCTTTCATCAAAGAAACCCTTATCTGCTTAAAAACTGTCTTTAAGTGAGAAAACCATTCTAGTTCTTTTCTTTTCTTTGTTCATTTATTTAAATTCTATTTCTGAGAGCTCCTTTCCTGTATAACTAGTCTTCTATATGAAAAATAGTAGCTTGGTGGATTTTACATTCCATTTTGGAAACCGCTCTTTAATACGGGTTGTCTCAATGCCACGTTTTTTTTGTTTCACCAAAATTGAAGATTCAGTATGAGAATTTCTTGGTGTACAAGTGACCACGAGGAGTTATAATGACACCACTTCTGCATATGGTTGAATCCCAACATGCCTCTTTTACAGGGAATGTATGCACTAAGCAACGTTGCAAGTGGCAGCAAAGTTCATAAGGATGCAGTCATGGAGCAACTGTTTCAACACGGAGGAATGAACACACAACCATTTATCGTGAGATTTTTGCACAGCAACGAGAACCAGTTACGAACAGCATCTGTCTGGGTCCTATTAAATCTCACTACATTCTGTCCTGGTGCCGCTGGTCGGGTTCTAAAATTAAGGAATGCTGGGATAGTTTCGCAATTGAAAAGCATGGCCAATGATCCCTGCCTGGATGTAAAGGTCGTACAAAAGATCTATCACCTTAATGTGCATTAAATGGGCACTTGCTTTCGGTAGTTTGCTGACCATTCCTGTGTCTTTTACTTGGTGCAGCTTCGAGTAAGAACGACACTAAGTCAAATGCATGAATTATGGTGACAGCACGATCTAGTTCTCCATTGTTGGCCCGTAAATTACTGAGAAAAAAGGTATTCTTCCATGACTTTTTCATCTAGATCTTGCTTTAGATGTTCTGTTTGTTTCCCTTCTGTTTTTTTACCAGTCCAGCATTGGTAAATCGAACTGGAATATCACTTAATATTCATGCCTAAGAGTGGTCCTCCATTTTTGTTTGCATTTAAATCCAATGATACCACCTTATTGTCTCTTTGAACTAAATCGTGCGGTTTTGCTTTTGCTTGATGCTGTTGCCCTATTACAATTGTAAATCATTGTCTGAATCGGCATTTCTCTGAAAAAAGTCTAACAGAGCCATCACTAGTTGTCCGCTTAAAGCTATAGAGGGTACACAGTTGATCATGCTTCTGCCTGTCATCATGTTGATCAAGCATTCAACATTTTGCAGGTTTAGCAGATTGCAATTATAGTTTTTCTTCAAAGCAGCACGGGGAGCTTTTATGGTGCCCCGCCAATTACCTGGGTTGCCTTTGGAAGTTCACTGTTCCAAATCTAGTATTTTGAGTCTCGATTTTTTACTGACCACAGTTGTAAACCGACGCTGTCGAGTGTATCATTTGGTCCCTAGAGTGTTTGCAGGTGCTGCATTACATATATATATATGCGGATTACTTCTGTAAATTTAAAAATTTTGAGATGCAACAAACCGTGCTTGGATATTGTCTTCGGGCTGCTATTGTATTGGCAAGTTGGAAATGATCCTTCTAGAGCTCAATGACTTGAGATACTTTCTTTGGCAACAGTCACTTGAGAATTGATCGGAGACCTTTCTCTATTTTTTTCTGGAACCTGAAGTAAAATTCCAGGAAAGGCCTTACCCCGTTATCTTGATTTGCCTCCTTTAATAAGTTATGTTGACCATTTTATGATTTAGGTGAATTAAGCTATCGCTCCACAGTGGGAAAATTACCAAAAAAATCCTAAATCTTTTGCAATTGTGTCAATTCAGTCTATCCGGTCACTTTTGGCTGGTCAACGCTGACGTGGACGCCGGCCGGCTGATATGACAATATTTTAATAATATTTTTTATTATTTTTTGAAATTTTTTTTTTAAAATTTCTTTCTTTTTTTTCCCCCTATCTTCTTCTCCTGTCGTCGGCGACCGGCGAGCGGTTGGGGCCGGCGAGGGCGAGCCTCGTTGTCGCTGGGCGAGGCCTTGCCCAGATCTGGCGAGACCTCGTCGTCGTTGGGCGAGCTCGACCTCGCCCGGCCATGGCGAGGCTCGAGCTTGCCCGGCGACGGTGAGGTTGCCTAGATCTAGCTAGACCTTGCCGTTGCCGGGCGAGCTCGACCTCGCCCGGAGGTTGCCCTCGCCAGTGCTGGCGAAGTGGAACTCGCCAGCCTCAACCTCTTGCCAGACCGGCGACCGGGGAAGAAGATAGGGAAAAAAAAAGAAAGAGAAAAAAATTTAAAAAAATTCCAAAATTTTAAAAAAAAATTATTAAAATATTGCAACGTCAGTCGGCCGGCGTCCACGTCAGCGCCGGCCGGCCAAAAGTGGCTGGATGGACTGAATTGACACAATTGCAAAAGGTTTAAGACTTTTTTGGTAATTTTCCCATCCATAGTAGCATGAGTTTGCGAACACATAGAAACTTCAGTTTCTGAGATCTGTCGAGATGTCTAAATGTTCTTCGAGAAAACGAAGTCTCCTAAGCTTAACCGAAAAAGCGCGAAACTAGCCGGCGGCCCTTTGTTAGTAATCGCCGGTGTTGATTCAGAGTAGAAGAGAGAGGTTACTAAAACAATAAAGGTTGCGAGCTTATCCATCGGCTTATGTGAACTGATTAGATTCGACAACATACGTGTCGCAGCTGAAGTATGCAAATGATTTCCAAGGCGAATGCTAACTGCTCGAAAAAGTTGCGTGGTCCAATCTAGTGTCGAAGTGCAATGTCCGGGTAGCTACCAATCGACCCCTTTAACAATTTAGGGGACCGAGCGCATCAATGTAACTCACACACTCGAGCAGGCCTCGATATCGACTGGTCTATATGAACGCAGGAAAGAAAAATTGGATTATATCGGCAAAAGGAATAGAGAAGCCACATTCCTTCACTAAGCTAAATTGTTGCTGGTTCCAATATATACAACTTTGCAGGCAACAAATTGGATATAAATAGATGGAGAACGAAATCGCGTTTGTCTTGAGGCATGGAGAAACCTGAACCGGGAAAGGTAGCGATGAAACAGGGATCAAACAGTCGCGGATTTAGATCCGAACAGAGCAACCGATCATCAAATCTTCTCGGTATTGGTATCATCTGCAGGCCATATCACGGTCTCAATGAGCCGTTCGCGCATCAACTCCAAGTTCTCGTCGGAGATTTCTTGGTATATTTTGGCATGGTCACATTTCTGCGCACACAATCAACTATGAACATGAGCACTAATCCCACCCTAATTGCATCCCTATGAAATAGCTGAGGCAAATCTTTGGTACCTTGATCCATTTTCCATATAGGTGAAGACGAGTTACCATCACTCTTTCGGCAAGGTCGCGTCTCTCCTGTAAATCGAAGAAAGAAGCCCTATGTCATACATACTTCACATATTGTTTTAAGCATTTGACAGTTTTTGATAACCGAAAGAACATTAACTTCTCAATTTTATAGATAATACATGTCATTCAACGATGCCATTAACTCTCTCTCTCTCTCTCTCTCTCTCTGCAACTCGGCCCAGCCAATTGCATAATGCACATCAAACCATTGCCATTGGCAACAAAATGAGGCAAGTTAATTCCATGTATGATATCCATTTATCATTCGATATACTTTCTAAGATTCAAAGACTACCTTCCCGAGGTTTCGTATGAAACGCTTTCCATCTCCAGGCTTGTTTTCCGCGACGAAACTTGCCATTGGAAAGTTAAAGCAACATCAGAAAAAAGAAATACACGCCACAAATGAAAAATAATAATGTCAACAATAAGCATAACTTCAGAGCATTAGATGAAACTGAGGAAAGTAGATGGTGCCATGTCATTTAGCAAGCGGCTTGTAGTGTCAAGATCTAGTATCTCTAGCATGATTGTGGTGAATAGGGCATTAGTTGGCTGCTGTATCTCCTAGTCCTGTTTGTCAAAGACTTCCCTGTCATTTTTTGGCAACTGATAAGTACAAACAAGTTTGTTGAATTTGCAGATTTTTATTCTCACTTAAGGCAAGCTCATGTTAACTGTATCACATCTCACCGAAAAGAGAGTTATCGTCATCCTTCCGTTAGGACACAGCAATCTAATTGTTAGGTATTGATGCCGATAGATTAAAAAAACAGGATGGAGAGCTAACTTACTTGTAGAACCACCTATACTGTGTCGGGTTCATCTCGTAGAGCTGGTTAAGAACCGTCCTCACAGCTTTATATGTGAAATAGTTGAGCATTTGCTGCAGATAGGAAACACAAATTCCAGCTAACTCACCTCTTAAAACCAAGGCACACAAAACTGGTAAACAGCAGTTATTATGGTTCTTGGACTATGGATATTCACTTAACAGGGCATATCGATTACCCAAATAGACACGCTAAAAGAACATTCAAAAGAAGTTTATTCTTCATAAACTCCGATCGACCCACTTCGAACATAGACACCGACGGTTTTAGTTTGAAAAATACACGCACAAAGTCCAAGATAGTGCATGTACATTGCATTTTGCTGCCCTAGCAAGAATGGAACCAATCGGCCAATAAATCCAAGCGGAAATTGTTGGATTTCCATAGTCCCAGGATACCTCAATGCTGCACAAATATAATTTTGAAGAGCTGCCGAATAAAAGGTATGATCTTTCTAACACATGAAATCCACAGACAAGACATTTGGATACAATCAAAACAACCAAAAGATATGGTAGATACCGGTTCCTTTCGCTCTCCCTAGGATTCAATTTTCGGACATATACCTAACGCACTGAAACCCTGCATCACTAGGTCGAAGGCCTGATGGCATAATTTGCGACATTATAAAGTAAACAGTACAAGCGAAAATTTTCAGCATTTAACAATTCTCACCTAGACATAGATTGATTTTCTCTGTTTCCCCCCAAAAAACATGATTGAGGACCAAATACCAAACATGAAAGGAATCAAGAAACATGTTCTGAATGTTCAGAAATCTCCATGGATAACGTGATTTAAAGAATTCACTAAAATCACAAGCCTCATCTGGAAGTGGTCCCAAACTCTCGCCACATCATGCAGCGCACTGATATCTCAAAAATGGAAAAGACGAAACTCTGAAATGCTTACGGTTTTAACATCCTCGAAAGTGTCTTCGTACTGACCACCCAGCTCGCTGACGACGACAAGCCCTCCTCCTTCCTTGTGCTGTCGCTTCCTCGAACTCCGTGTCAGAGCACTTGTCGAGAGTGCTTTGGCCTCGACTCGCCAATCATGCCACGAATCAAGAAACGAGCTCCCCAGCGAACTCACCCGAGAAAACTGCTTCCTCGCCATCGAATTTGAATCCACCAAGCAGAGGCATGGCGACGTGTGGGACTCAACCACCGACGAACCCACCGCAGACAAAGCCATGCCAACGTCAACAAAACAAAAAATCAAGACTTTCGGTTCTTTGGGTTCTCTTGCAGCAGCAAAACGCAAAAAAAATGCGTGAAGTTTCCGGAGAAAACGAGAGATACCCACTAACAGAATCTTGAGGATCTGCTAGTGGGTATGCAAGGAAAAGACTGGAAATTCGACAGGAGCAGTTAAAAGATTCAAATGGAGTTTGAGAGGATGAAAAGAACGAGTAACTCGAAAGCTGTCCTGGAACAACACACGTCATTCCTTTCCCATTTGTTTTCTCCTTTTTTCTTATTTCTCCCTCTCTCTATCTCTCTCTTTCTTTTTCTTTATTCTTGCTTTGGAGTGCACGAACATCGACCAGACAAAATTATGAGGTCCAGATCTCTCTGCAAGAAGAAGGGGGGGTCCGACCTGGACCGAGGGGGTGCTTCCTCATGCTTCCACGGACTGTTTGTTCTTGGATCGGACGGTTCTTTCCAAATCCAATGGTGGCTCGCTCTGTGTGGAGTCGAACCAGTCAGCTCGAGAGATTGAAATATTTTTTTGCATGAATTTGCATACGGATTCACACCAAGTTACCAACCACATGGGCGGCGGCACCGGCTTCAGACTAATCACGTTCAATTTGTTGGCACTTTAGGATGAAAATGTGTCGCATGCAGGATCTTTTGGGGGGGGTCCTCCTATCTATGTGGGATGCCACTAGTTCATCTGATCAATAGCATATGGAATGCCGACAACATGAATCACGTTGGAAACTTAGGTTTAATTAAAACTGAAAAGAGTGATACTCCGCTTGAAATCATTTTGACTTGATGAAGTAAATATGATGTGCTGCCCCTGATAAGGTGTCGTGTCATGTTGAGAAGCGCAATGGTGTGTCGTTACGTCATTAAGTCGAAAAACTTTATCGAGAGTTTTCGTACGCACGAGAAAGATTGAAGACAACTTTGTGAAATTGAAGGAGAGAAGATGTTTGCCCACTTGAATGTTATTGTCTTATTGCCACTAACCCCGGAGCATGCTAGGTGTTATTTCTTCAATGTATTGGGTATAATTTTCAGAGAGATAATGGACTGGCGGGTCCTTAAATTTTTTTTTTCAATTATTCAATGTCGTTTCTGAAATGTTTTTTGTGCAATTTTCTAAAGCCTGAATTTGTTTAAAACTTTAAATTTCTTTGTAATAATATTATTAACTACCTGATATACAAGTAAAGAATAATTACCATAAAATTGATAAGGAAAGAAATTGGGGTTATTACCATGAAAAACATTGTACCGATACATTTATGATAATTTTACCAAAAACAAAACATCTTGGACGAGAGAGTACGTGATTTTTTATACTTTTCTCTTCTTTTCATAATTTCACGTCCTCTTGGTGACTAACTTGGACGGTGACATGACATCTTGTCACTAACGTTTTTGATTGGAGGACGAAGTTGAACAGACATCCATACAATTTAAGAAGAAAGAAGGCTAAGGAACATTTTAGCACCTTTATCTCTTTCCAAAAATTGTTGCCCTTTGACAATCTCTATTGTTGAAGTTTTCAGTCGAGAAGAACTCATTCGGCTCTCTGAAAACTGTGTTGCAGCTTCACTGTTCAGTGATGGAGATCAGTACCAAACAATCTCGTATCAATCGATTCCGAAGAAAACATTTGATTTCACGACCAGTCTTGATGCGTTGGGCTCAACAACTTCTGGGCTTCCTCTCTGGTATTAACTTATTTTTCAATTTCCCGAAACTTGACCGGCGAAATTGTTGGAATAATACTCACATAAGTCCTCATCAACTGATTAATGAATGTAGACAACATTATAAATTTAGTTTGTCCTCTGTGATAAATTGAGTTTTATACAAGGATAAATTATTCTTTTACGAGTCGAAACGTGTCGGTTACAAGCTGATTGCGTTCGAATTGTTGATTTTGAATCTTTTTTGGTGAATTGAGCGGTGCTTCGTCTGTCGTATAAAAGTTTCGCCCACCCTACAAGTCTTTCTATCAAGAGGGTGCGATGCTTCTACTACCAGCAAATCTATGTGATTAGCCAACATAGCATGTAAATGACCCAATTACTCAATTGCTTTGAGATTGGTGATTGTTACAACTTGATGAGATCTGTCTTCAACTTTAAAAATTCGAACACCTAATAACGTTAATAAGGAAAAGAATCTCGCTAACCAGTACTTCGGGAGCACTTGTTTAACAAGCAATTAAGGGAATCCAACAACTTTCAATGCATTATTTTCCTCGCCTTACGTATAATCATTATCTTGAAAATCGATATGTTTCTATACGAATGTGCTTGAGAAATGTGTCCGAGCATTTGTTAACATAATTTATCCAAAAAACTCCAAAAGTGATATCTGCCATTGATCCCAAAGCGACCCACGTGTGGGATTCAAACAGTATTTCTTTGTCCCTCGTATCAGTGGCTTCAGAAATCAACACGCTCTGGGCACGTAGATTCATGTTCTTGGGTGACTTATCTCAATTTAGATTTTCTCGAACCAAGTGCCATGATGCTCCAGAAGAGATTAAGTAGGTAACTTAAAAATTGAATAATCACTCAAATGGCTTATAAATTTTGGCCAAATATACAATGTGGATCTTAGACTTTAAATTTATTCAACATGATCTCCGAACTTTAACTTAATGTGCAATATTGTCAATGAAATCTTAATTATACTTTTAGTCAATATTCAATTTAATTCATAAACCGTATGAAAATATTCACTGTAGTCATTTCATTAAATCAAGTTCATGGGCAATATTGAACATTTTTTATACAGTCTAAGGATTAAATTGAACACGTATAAAAGGTCAAGGGCCCACATTGAATATATTAATAATCCATGGACGACATTGCACGTTAGGTTAAAATTTAGAATTCAAATCGAATAAATTTCAATTTAAAATTTTATTGGGCTAAAGTGAAGGGATCATTCGTGCCATTTACTCTTAAAAAATTAAAGAAAAAAAATAGATGATGACCATGTGGGACTCATATTGTAAATAAGAAAAGATAAGAAAATGTTATTGATCAGGTTAAGCAATGATGACAAAAAGAGTGCAATTCCCAACTCTTCTGTCGTCTCCCGGCATAGGTTTCATGATGTCTCCCACATGGACAATGGTGTCGATTAACTGAGAGGGGTGAAATGGAGCAGAAACATAGTAAAAAAATTCACTTGACAGACAGGGATGAATTCTTTTTTTTAACTGTCAAACGTCCCTGCGTTGGCACTCAGCAGACACTCCTTTAAGAGATTGTGATCCTACCTAAGCGCATCGTGCACAGAAAGTCATGAAATTCCATCCGAAGCATCATTTTTGTGAGGTCCAAACCCCAAAATTTGCCTCCATCTAATGGTGTTTGGGGGCTTGATTTTCTGCACGTTGCAACCTGCTCGAGAGTGCTGACGTATTGTTGGGCGAGCACAAGTAATCCTTTGCGCGAGGGGACTCGTACGCTTCGGTTCACGACTTACTCTTCCGAACCCAATCGATCACAACTTGGTTTCTCTCGTTAATTCGTTCATTGTCTTTGAGTCATTAGTATAATTCAATTAGGACTCGGTAAAGCGCGGGAAATCACTTTACCTCCACGAACCAGGGACTCCGGACACAGGACTTGGTTACCCTAAATTAAAATAAGCACCCGTGGAATAGTACCAATTTTTTTCTTCATAGGAAAGTTTATCATGCTATCTTTTTTTTTTTCATTTTCTAATATGCAATAATGTTGAGGTCATCAATAGTAAGTTTTGGAGGCAGTACGGTTGCGGTAGAGGGTTCAAAAATTGGAGGGAAGGGGAAGAAAAGAGATGAGATCGAATTTTATTCCCACAATGGCATTTCTACTTACTAAATTTGAAAGATAAATGAAACCCATCTGAAAACATAATTTATGAAAATCGAATTAATCTATCTTAAGAAATGTGTATCTTAATAAAAAAGATACTTGATATTTTGGCGTAATCTGCAAGATAACACTTCATACATATGCTAAATTTCTTAAATCAGATCAGTATAATATAGAACCCACATAATCTAAAGGTCAATACTCACTGGTTTACTAGAATTTTTGTAAGATTGCCGCCTATCTTACCCAAGATATATCCTTCCTTCCTAATATAATTTGGAGAGCACAGCACAGAATTTGAACTCTCTCTCTCTCTCTCTCTCTCTCTCTCTCTCTCTAGCATATTGAAGATCCAATTTTTTACAGATTCAATCAATATGCTTTTATCTGTTGGGTTGATTTCTTAAATCTCTGCTAGAATTTCTTTTCATTCAAAAGGGTGCCTGTGTCTCTGGTTTGTCTCCCAGAGAAAGTTCCCACTTTTGCTCATCATCTTCAGTCAAATCTCAGCATCTTTTCTCTGTACGTAGAATCCATTAGGGTTTGTTGCACAAGCAGTTACTACCCTCTCTCTCTCTGTGTTTCTCTGAGATCCGTCCACTTCTTCCCTTCCCTTTGAAGTACATATTCTCATCAATCCATAAACGCTTTCTGGGTCTTCTTCTTTCTTCTGTTTTTAGTTGGAAACTGTTCTTCCATTCACACCAGAGAGTTTCACTGTTGGGTTTGGCTTCTCTCATTCCACTATGGCGCCTAACAGCAGGAGGAGAGTGAAAAGGAGGAGCACGATGAGAAAACCGAGAAAAGCCCATCACAATCAGGAGAAGGTCGTGCAAGTGAACGGCCAAGAAACGCAAAACCACACGCCTCTCAGTTTCACTTCCTCCACCACAAGCTCGGATCAAAAGCTTGCCAAAATGGGTGATCACAACTCAACCAATGAGAGTCCTATCAGTACCGATTTCTCCTGCTCGACGCCAAAAGGCAAGAGGTTTCGCATACCGAAGATCCGAACGTGCCCGCCCGCGCCGATGAAGAAAAGGGTTTGCGAGTCGAATCGCTCGAGCAGCTTGCAGAGGAGTCCAATCTCATTCTTTGCTTCCCCAGATATCGAGCTCTTCTTCTTTGCTCATCACGGCTTATCTGTTTAAAATGCCGGGCATCTTTTCCGAATCAATCTGATGATCATGTCCCTTTTCGGTGTTTCATGTTTATAGGATATGGTTTTAGCTTGCACAATCAAAAAGTCTTAGGTTTTTCCTGTGTCTTTGTGATCATAGGAATTTGATTTACTTTTTCACGTTTTCTGTTTCTGCTGTACTTGATATGGTGCTGGATTTTATCACAGTAGAAAGTGGGTAATACATATAGTTGTTTCTTCATTTGTGAAAATTTCTGTGCATGTGTATAAATAAGAAACCGTAGATATACCCGAATGCGATGTGTCATGGCTTTTAGGTCTCTACAATCAAAATGGTGTCAGCATAATCTTTTCTTTCCAAGATAGTGTTTCGCCCATAATGGTTGAATGCTTGTGTTCAAATCAGAAGTTTAATAATGACCTAATGAGATCTGTGGGGGCAAATGTAGGGAGAGAGACTTAGATATTCAATTCGACAGGAGAGAAAATACAAGAGGAAGAAAACAATAGAACGGAACAGTGGATTGTCCATTGTCCTGTCCAATGCAAAGGTTGAGATCAGTATGAATATTTGTCAGAGAGGGTGAGGAGGGAAGGTGCGTGATTGTCTGAGCTCGTGCCAACATGAATGAAGAGAATCCAATGAACGTGGACTCGTGCGGGTTCACAATCTCAGCGCTATCATATTAATCGATCCCTCGTGACCCTTCTTTTGTTTTGAGCACTCCGCTCGAGCACCGGAGCGGCGACACGTGAGGTTTGGAGCCGACTATATTGAGAAAACAGGATTCTCGAACCCCCATCCAAATTTCGCAAGCAAGTTCGATGGAACAAGTTGAAATCGTCTAGAGGCTCGTCGTAACATCACATTAAAACCTTGGGTAATCGATTCGCATTCAGTTGCATCTGGTTGTGCTTTGATTGTTTTGCGATGATTGAGCGTGTTTTTGCCGACACATAAGTTTAAAGCTCTCTTCTGCGACAATTCGATCAAGAACGAGTGAAAATAGCTTACTTGAAACAGCTCCACGATATATACCTCTTAGCCACAATGTAAGGTGAACGAATCCCATGATTCATGCTGACAAAATCTTAATGATTTCGAGAGCGACCCTTATAGAAAGACGAATTGGAGAGATGAATTTGGTAAATTTAGGGTGCAGTGTTCAAACTAGTAAAATACGAAATGGCAAGAATCTTCTCAATATTTCACTAGTCATCTTTCAAGGAATGAGATTTCAAGTAACTACGTGGCCAGTTCTAAACTCAATCTCCAACCCCTTTTTCTCAAAAGTTCATCGAATCGAGAAACTTGATTTGGGACACAATTGATTCTCTTGCCATGCCGGAAACGTTCGTACTTTATCTACAAAAGAAATGACTATTTCACAGGCCTTGCACTTCATAAGAATAGAATGTTTTGTAATCATGTTACTTTCTTAGCTATAATTGCAGCTAAAAAAGCAATTACCCAACAGGCTCCGAATACCCAATCCATTTGCCAAAATCTTCTTAAAATATGCCCTCAGTGCTGGGTTTTGTTTTGCCACTTCAAAAAAATATGGAAGCACTTACTTCAGACGGGAACCGAGTTCTACCTCCTCAAAAAAAGGGCAACTATTCTCACTCACTGCGTCAGCCACTCTAAGTGTATACATCACAAGAAACAAAGACTTTTAACACCTCTGTAATGTAAAACCCTTGCAAACATCTCTTGTTCCCAGTAAATAAGGCAAAATTTGTTTGAAATGCTCGAGACTCGGCTTCAGCATCAACTAAAGTAAACATCAACCTGCAAAACATTCTATTCGCAATACGACACATCATATTCAGGTCCTGGCAAGAGCATGTTAGTGCCAAGATAGATAACAGGCAGGCAAGAGTCTCACGAGCACCATGCTAAAAAGAAAATCCGGTACAAATAGAAAAATCAGTTCATCAAAGTCGTCATTATTTTTTCTCAGCTGTGATGACCTAAAATTCAAGCATTAAGAGGATGTCCTGTCTTGACTAAAAGCTAAAATTGCAGTCTAAAGTTCACAACAGAGAGACCTACTCCTGTACACAGACTAAAGGAACAAGGAAGGTTGGGGGAAAATGAGGAAGTAGACATCCACAATCTCACATGCCCATATTCCTCGTCTCCTCCTCAGAACCTCCTTTTATCCAACAAGCACCCACAAACACAAAGAACAAAAGCCAAGAATGAATTGCCGCCCAGCAAATAGATTGCCAAGAATTGCGGGATCGAAACCATGACACCAGCCTTCTTACATATTTAGAGGTGGGCCCAATACCTTGCACCATGGGACCCATGCAGGGTTCTTGAACCCGGCTAGCGAAGACGCTCTCTGGGTTGCTGGCCAAAGCGGTCTCTCTCCCTTTCATTTGAATATGCTGAGGCCTGGAAGTGGCTGTGATTTTGGTACTGGCTGTTCCCATTCACGTAGTCATGACCTCCGTGAGTTCCATGCGCTTGCGACCTTCCTGCCATGTGACTACTAGATGAATTCCAGGTTTCAGAGGAGTCAGGTGCCAAAGGTTCAGAGCCCGATGAACTGGCAGATTGGGAAGACAGAGCCGGACCAGAGTTTGTGCCCTTCTCTTCAGCTGCATCATTCGAAGCATCGTTTTCACTTTTCTTAGCAAAGCGCCCTCCACTTCCCCTGGCTCTTCTCATGGCATGCTGGTGCCGCGACTCATGAAGATACGGCTATAGATCCAATTAAACCAAAACAAGAGAAAGTAACGACACCGTGTTAGAGAACAAGCAATGAAAAGATATCAATTAAGTTTATCCCCACTGAATTAAAAGTTGAGATAGCTGCAAAAGTTGTAACGAAGGTGAAGTGTGCAGTCAGACAATTTCCCGCAAAAAAGAATTTCCTAAAAATAGCATTTAATGACAGTATAGCATGTGCCTAAGGAAGCAAACACGAGCAGAATACCTTCAAATAAAAAAAAAAAGCCTCATAACCAATTTTTATAACTGGCAAAAGCCAAAGGAACTTCCAAATCAACAAGCAAAAAAAAAAAAACAAATGCAATTCACCTTTCTATTCTTGATAAGCTTCTTTTCAAGCTCAGCTTTAGCACGTGCTTGTCTTCGTCTCAAAATCCCCTGAAACTGCTTAGCATTTACATAAACAGGCTCCTGTGCCAGGTCAAGGGGCAGAGGCATCCTAGCATGAGGAATACCGACAAAAGGATAAGCCTGCCCAATCCAAGATCTCTCAGATGGCATAACCCAGAATTCAGATATGTATCTATTGTGTTACAGAGCACCTCATACAACATAAACAAGGGGTGAACAAGGGAGACCTTTGGCACAATTAACAGCAATTTTCAGTGCTCCTTATTAATTGCAATAAACACAATTAAAGATAAACATGGAAAAATTGTTAGAAGTGTAGCAAAGATTTTCTCTCATATGTTCTCCCTTCATCTCACCCTCTAGTAGGAAACTACCAAATATAACTTGACAAATATAAGAAACAAGCACCATAGAGATCCAAAAAGACCTGAAGTCAATATAAATGATTTGAAGCATCACAATGCCTTATGTGTGAGAAGCAAAGCTGAGCATCAATCTTTGATTTCTTTTCTAAATTGACATTTCAAGCTTAACTGCACAATTACCCATATACCCTTGTCCTAGGAAGTATCTACTGTTGACATATGCATATTACCTTACGGAGATTCGTGGAAAGATGTCGCTACTTCAGCAGTAGATATTATACCTACCCAACAAGCTACATTATCTCAACAACACCGCCATCACCAATGGAGCAGCTAGCTAGTTACTTCGCCAGCACCCCCATCACCAAGGACTTATGTTCCTTATCATCTAGTCTTAGCATCAATGTACTTGAATGTCACCTCTATGAATATTATACAATTGACGAAGCAATCTGCAATTTAGGACTGCTTCAATGGAAATGAAGGAAGCGGTCAAAAGCTAAAAGAAAAAACTAATATTAAAAAAGATAGCATAAAGGCCAGCCAGACTTACTACTTCCTCACATATTTCTTCTTGCAATCTACCAGAAGGAACGATCTTTTCGGATTCTTTTTCTAAAAACAATTTGTGATAACTGTGCATGCACCGGAATGAAAGCTAGCGCATAATAGGTCGGTGTTGTATTGAATGAGATTTGAGGGGTACGAACCATTGACTGATGCCCATATGGTGCCATTATCCCCCCATAATATGGATCTTGATAAGGACTAGATGCACATGCCTGAAAAACAGTTACAAGAACGCCAGGGATCTCTTAATAACGCGATAAGCAAGAAACATTCCAACTCTTTCGAAACAACACAGAATTTGACCATACAGAATCCAAACTAGCCAGAACCAAACTCAGAGAGAACAACAAAAAGAAAGGGACTCACAATTGTGTGACCGACAAGTTCTAGCTGGGGAGGTTGTGCAAGGCCATCATCACGCATGGTAAGTATAGGGGGAGCACCATGCCCATTTTGAGGCTCTTGTCCTTGATTTCCTACTGAAACAATGTACACTAGGCATAAATCTAAGATAACGAGAAGATCATGTATGATTTTACTTCAAACAGAACATGCAAGACCTGATGACCAAAGGAATTGAAGTGCGCCATCTGTATCTAGATAAACAATAAATCTTAAAATAAAGCTTCAGCCAGAGTCTTCTGAGATAGAATGAGAGCTGATTAATAACAAGGTACTTTCAGTATCACAAAGAAAGGGAAGAAGGGATGATCTATTTGCATCTTTTAACAGCCTTGCAGCAATTCTAACAATATTTTTAAAGAATTTCAAACGTGAACATGATACATATACAGTGTATGGAGACACAGATCAAGCACAAGAAATGTTCACCCACAACCTAGGGAAAAGCTTATGCCATCATTCCCCAATCCAACAGGCACCATTAATAGATCCCCAGTGGTTCTCTAAATTCAGTTTAAGACAACAAATTCTGCTTCTAGAAAAGCTCCCCATACCGTATAAGAACACATAGATATGTTACAATTAGGAAATAGTCCACAGAAAATAACAAAGACTAGCGAAAGACATAATATCTTTTGACTTTTTAAAAAAAAGGTAAAAGAATTTAAGGAAAGAGAATTGAGACAAAGAGATCTGATTGGATAAACAGAAGGAAAAACTACATCACTGTACTTGCCAGTACTGTTTAAGACTATCTGCATTTGAGCACAAGTAAACAACCTTATGGACTATCTTACCTTTACCAAAAAAAAAAACAACCTTATGGATGATACTAAAATCTATTCTGAATTAATTGCTAATTTTTCAGGTAGACTTTCTATAGTTCTACGGATACCTTAATCATTTGATGAAACCATGTCAACATGAGATGGTTTCGTGCCTGATACACATTAGACCAAGATTTTCCCTCTCCCCACAAGGACCTAAATGCAGGTCCCATAAAACGAAGAGTGTTACCAGATGAAAATCCGACTACAGTAGGACAATATCCAATCTTTCGGAGGAACATGCATGTGTGGACCAATGCAACCTCTCCATAGAAAGTAGACTGCAACTAGTCCCCAATAGGCCGACTGTTTGTGCAGGAGCAAAAACGGCTACGGATGTATTGGTCGCATTATTACATGCAGTCCTAGTTCTACGGATACCTTAATCACATGATGACACCATGTCGACATGAGATGGCTTCACGCCCGATACACATTAGACCGAGATTTTCCCTCTCCCCCCAAGGACCTAAATGCAGGTCCCATAAAACGAAGAGCATTACCAGATGAAAATCTGACTACAGAAGGAGACAATATCCAATCTTTCAGAGGAAAGTGCACATGTGGACCAATTCAACCTCTCCATAGAAAGTAGACTTCAACTAGTCCCCAGTAGGCCAACTGTTTGAGCAGGAGCAAAAACAGCTATGGATGTGTTGCTCGCATTATCACATGCACTCCTAATTAATCATACAGGAAATGGCTGCTGGTGCCTGGTTGAGCAATAATGTATGGGCGGATATGAAAAGTATAACTTACGAAAGGCCTCACCCAATTAAGGTTGAGATAATTGGAACATGAGAGAAGGTTAAAAATACAAATAACATGAGAGGGAAGAGTTAATGCTGCGATAATGACATGAAGCAATGATCCAACCGATCTCCACAGAATCTAGAATGTAAAATGAGTATATACAGTTCCAGGAATGCAATTATGCGACTCTACCTGCTCCTGAGCATGCAGGGTTCCCTGATCCTTTGACATTATCGTCATCGTCATCTTCCTCAACTCTTTCCTCGTTTGACTGTGATTGACCACCATTGGACTCTGAACCACCATTTATGCATCCTAAAGGCGCATGGGTTTCATTTCTTCCTGGATCAGCTGGAGAAGTAGGATTATATCCTATGCCACGCCACCAGGGTTCGGTGAATACTGCACTAGTTTGGATGATATGTGGATGAGCCTCTACCCTGTTTGAACTTTCAGACTTCGGCTGCATAACGCCAGATTCTATTGCTCTCCGACAATATGTTGGATCACAGCCAACCATATAACAGCATTTGAAACCGAGATGGACCTGCTGAGAATATGACAACAAGAATGGGGAAAATCAATGAACAGATAGTGGTTCCATATAAAATGGGAGAAACACTAGCACATATGTATCACAGGCGAACTTTTTCCGTTCATGCAGCCATAATTATTCCACCCCGCAGAACTTGTAGCATTGGTATAGTGGTTCCAACATTTCTTTACTAATTCAAGTTACATCGAAGATCAATTCTCATATCATCTAGTATTGTATCGTATGCATAACACAGTCACTGGCATACACGAGAGATAATTAGCCAAAATTCCACAAACGAAACACATTTCCGCAACAAGATCACACTGAGTTCGTTAAATTCCTCCAAATTTCAAAAGACGTGTTGCTCAGCTACTTTGCAAAGTGTATACAGAAACGGTGTGTCAGCAGAAGATATAATCGAGATCTCTCGAAAATGATCTTGGAAACAAACATTTTTCCCTTTCATCAGCTACAGGAAAAAAAAAAAAAAAACAGTAAACAACTCCCTTTCATCAGCTGCAGGAAAATTAAAATTCACTATCCGTTAGAATCCCCACTTCTCAATGGGGATCTCTGGAAGACAGTCAACGCAATACCACCCCCTGCTCCAACTTGACACTTTCCAAGTCCAGCGACTTCTACCCACTCGCACCAACACTATCCGGCTCGAAAATCGACGCCCACGACACCGCCAATCTCCAGCAAAACCACAGCATCACTTGATCCTAACTCCCTTCCCCCCACTTCTGAAGTCAAACAAAAACAGACCCCGCCCGGCACAGTGTCTCCAACTCGATCCTCCCCCCCCCCCTTCCCCCCCACCCTCTCTCTCTCTCTCTCTCTCCATAACTCATCAGCAACAAAGCAGAGCACAAGCCAAAAGCGCTACTTCACCCTCCCCCAGGAAACAAAACACAGCTCGAACTCGCGACACGACCATCCATCCACACACACCCTCCACAGCGTAACCAACGAGACCCCCGCCCCCGAATCGCAACCCCCCCAAAAAAAAGAAAAAAAACGAGCTCGGAGAAGCTAAAGAACCGCGCGGGCGACTAGCGATTCAGCACCCAGAATCCGCATGCACGAAACCCTAAAACACCCGCATGCAGCAACCCCCACCACCACCACCACCGAAACCCAAGTCGAAAAGAGCGGGATTCCTCTTGAGAATTCCGACGCGGAAACTGAATCCGAACTCACCGGACGGCGGCGGAGGAGAGGCGGAGCCCTGGGATTCCGGCGGCACCCCCGAGCAAGGGTTCGGATTTTCCGGGAGAGAATTCGAGGGGAAAGTCAATCCGGTTTCTCCAGCGATTCTTCGAGGGAAAAAACAGATATGATTCTTTTCTTTTTTTTTCTGTTTTTTTGTAGTGGCTCAGTGTGTGTGGGGTTGTGTTTGTTTACTCTCTAATAACATAATATAAAAAGCGGCTTTCTTTTATTTATTTTTATTCCCTTTTATTCACAAGCGAGAGAAGAGAGAGAGAGAGAGATAGGGGGGGGGGGGGGGCAGGGGGTGATGATTGCATCACCCGACGTGTACCCCTTCGTGTCTCACAAAGCCGTCGTATCCCAGACACGTGGGTGACAGGCCAGCCTTCTACTCATCTTCGTCACCACCACTCCCCCGGTCCCTCCCTCCTATTTTCCAATTTCCCGATTTTCTTTTTTATTTTTTCTTTCTTCTTTCTTTTTCTTTTTCTTTTCCGGATGACCATTTGGTGTGTCTTTTTCGGTCCGTGCTTTCCTCGGTAGGACCCGGTCGGCCCTTTCGAGCCCGCCCGCCCGGCCTGGGAGATTCTTTTTTCCTTTTTTTCTTTTTGATTCGTATTTGAATGAGCGGGTTCCGTAATGAGCTGTATAGGTCGGGATATGCCGAAACGGGTCATTTTTTTTAATCCATATGTGATCAGCTGACTTTGGTATTACGTGGGTTAGTTATGTTCGGTACATGAGTCGTACATGGGTTTAAAATGTTAAAGTCTAAAATAATATGGGTGTTAAAGGGGTTCGCGACTTACTAAACACGAAACCCACCTCTATGGCTCTCTCTTTATTTCTAAATCTGGTTAAATATGGAAGTATTTTAGTAATATGAGTCGAGTTAGGTATGAGTCACTATTTGGATTGGACCATTTTTCGACCCGACACAAACCCCGACCCGACCCATCCAGTTGACGGGTCTAAATAGGGCCGAAAGGCGCCGTTTCGCTCGAGCCTGGCTTGCCCCGATCGAGAGGGACCGCATGATTATTTCAATGGAAGGACTTGAGTTAAACATAATTAAGCACAATCGCAGATATAATCCGTTCCTTGACATGATGTGTTTAGCGTCGTTGACCCAAAAACTTAGGGAAAATAATACGAATAATCCTATGTTCATTGTAGTTCATGAACTATATGTAGTCTCTGAACTTGAATTAATGGTAGTTTAGGGATTACATTGAACACGTACTAAAAATCCAAAGACCACATTAAATAATTTAAAAGTTCATGGAGCACATTGAACATTAAGTTAAAGTTCATGGACAACATTGAACAGATTAAAAGTTTAGGGACCGCATTACACACTGGACCAAAGTTCAAGGACTGTTTGTGTCATTATCCCAAAAACTAACCCACTTCATAGGTATCTAATAACTATCCGTTAGCATTATCTCCACTCCATTAAATAATCACCAAATTTGTTCCAAAAAATATTACGCTCTTCTTCCCATGTAGCCTCCCACCATCATGGACGTGCGTAGCTAATAGTCTAGTTTAAATTGATAAAAGGACAAAAGAAACTTACGTTCGATCATGTGAATTTCACTTTAGATTTTAAGTATTTTATTACAACATATTCCCCCTCGGACAATCATTAAGTCATTGCCCATTCAAGGAAAGAAAAGGATCTTGGATTTCTTCGGTTGGCAATCATTTTTCCCAACTTATGAAAATAGGTATATTGTTTCTAATCATAATTTCCTACATTAGTCGTGTCGTGCTCCTCGACTTAGGGTTTAGACTACTACTAATTAGATTTTCATCATCACAAAGGGGTGCACCCATTCACTTCGAGGTGATAGAGCTAAAAAGTAGTGCAAGTGCCCAAGCCAACCTCACCAAGCTTTGCGCAATGGCACCTACAGATTTAATATTGCAATGATTCGAGCATACGAGACTCATATCCTTCGACATACACCGCTCGAATGTTCTTTTATTATGGAATCGGCCACTCACATGAATCTAAGTCGGATCGTTACGAACGATATCACGGTCGACGTATCATGACCATAGTTCATATCTCCGTAAATGAATTGGGCCGACATTTGCCTCGGTCGTAATAAAGAAAGTTCGACTAATTTCAATAATTCGTCTCGATTTCGATCGCTCCAGGACAATTATGCCAATGAAAATTTGTCAACTTAATGATTTGGGACACAAAGGGAAAACCTGTCCCCGCATGTCAATTTCGAAATGACCGCATCCTTAATTTGAAATTGTAAAGTTCATGGGCTAAATTGAACGTACCGAAATTCTAAAGATCACATTGAATAAATTAAAAGTTTATAAATTATATTACACATTGAGCTAAAGTTCAAAGACTATATTAAATAAATTAAAAATTTAAAAATCACATTATATATTGAGCTAAAAGGTAGAGACCGTTTTGTATCGTTATCCCAATTATAGATACCGTCCGCGGAACGAACCAACTACTCCAACGTCGGTGAGTTTATCAAAACCACCCCCCCCCCCCCCTCCAAATAAAACCTCCCCCAAAAAAACAAACCGGAGACCCACGTGACAGACACGCACTTGACTGGACAAATTACGGGGGGCACGTGTAACGGCAGGCAGGCGCGACGTCACGAATCATGAGACACGTGCAGCTTTTTCGACCGCCCATCCCATCGTTTGTCGTTTTCTTCCTTCTTCTTTGGGGGGGAAATTCATAAAATATGTCGCCTCATGGGGACGCATGTTCGTGGACAGTGCAGCAACCGTCGATTTCGTGAACAGATTGTTCCAATCAGTCGTTTACGGGGGTCTTCTTGTCCACTTTAGATTTACGATGATAAGATATTGCCTAATCCGCGATTAGGCCTGATCATATAACCTAACAGTCCACGGGTCACGAGTTTGTTGGGCAGACAGGCATGGAGAAAGACGTGTAAATATTTAGGCCCTTTCCCCTCCGGGCTGCCCTATGATAGCCACTAACGACAAAGTCGGGAGGAGTTTATTTTATCGGTGAATCGCGGATTCGAAACTTTTGTTTGACGCTTCCTAAATCCAGCCTTTAGATGTCATTATGTTCTTATCAAGTTTACTAGAGAGCGAAAACCGTAAAATCATTAGGTAGACAATATTCTAGCGATCCAGTATTGAAATTACAGGTTGATAACAATCTGCAAAACGATTTCGATGATTGAGCGAGTACCTCAAGACACCTTTTAAGGCAACTGATTAGAAAAAAAAATTTGATTTTCAAATACACTGCTCTCTCGTAGCATCCGTAATTCTCAAGTTTTGGAGCTATTGAGTATGCTTGACGGGTATTTTTGAGGAACTTGTTATAGTCGAATTTTATATTTGCTAGGACTAACGATATCGAGGCATTATGATAATTTTACAAACTTACCAACTATACGCACGTAAATTCATAGAGATTTGGTAAAATCCAAATGCAAGTTGGTAACGTAATGAAGAAATAAATATTGGTAAACTGGAACGTAATTTGGTAAGCTTCATAATGGATACTGTTGACAAATTTTGAAACCAAAAGAGACTTCCATTCCAACATATCATACCAAACTTCACTCTGAAGATGCTCCGTGATACTCCCACCCAACTCGGCATCCCATTTCGCAACCGCCGGTACAGACGGTCAACCATGGCCGCTCCTCGTAAATTTCAGATAAGACACCCCCTCCTTTATCTGCCAAGCAAGTCCGGCCGACACCGACCCAACGTAGCCCACGAAACAAAGGCATTTTCAGCATCTGGAGCGACTCAACAGACAACCTGATGCAGCTGAAAAGATCAAGCCTCCTAATCGGTCGACTTCCATCTTCGAGACTCCCCTTCCTCGCCAAAGCTTCCATCGAGGAGTCGGTCACAAAGAAACAAGACCTGATGCACAGTTCCGTGATGGCCACGCCGGCAAAGGCAATAGTATGTACGGCTTTGTCCGACACAAATGGCAGGTAACCCAAATCTACGCTGGATAATGTCTTGCTAATGATCCCTCCACTATTCAGCAATTGAGATATCCCTCTATCTGTTACCCTCCTACAGCGTCTAAGGGACAAACGCTGAATAGGCGCGCTCGCTTGGCCGAGCGTCAACATACCACTATCTGTTATATCTGCTCCCACTAGATCCAACGTGTTCAGCATTTTAAGAGACGATATGGAATAAAAACTCGAATCTGCTATGCTCCGGCAGCCCGAGAGATCAAGAATCTCCAAGTTACTGGACAACGCCAACTTCTTCACTGTCTCGCTGGTTATGAGATTGCATGATAGAATTCTCAGTTCGGTCAAAGAACACGGGGCCTCGGTCAGATCATGGAAAGCCAAATCAGACATAGACTGGGAGTTGCGCACCTCAAACTTCTTCAAGTTCTTGCAAGAATGAAAAAATGACGCGAAACCAGCATCACTGACTTTTGAAAAGCCAGAGAGCTGTACAGATTCTAGGCCCTTGCAGCCCTCAGAGAGTAGGAAAATACCCATGTCGTTGACTCTTTTAAAAGATGCCTGGCAGTTTTGTCTATTTCGTGAAAGAGAAAGGCTTTTCAATTGTTTGCAAGAGCCCAAAGACTGAATTCCGGCATTGGTCAAATCACTGTGTGGTAGTAGGTCTTTCCATGGCCTATCTTCGAGATCCAACTCCAACAAACAAGGCATGGACTCAGCGATGGTGGTGACAAGCTTGTCTGATATGGTACTCACATGAAGCGATAAGCTTTGAAGCGAGCATGTAGATGGCAGAGAGGGAAACTTAATGACCTCAGGCCAGTTCTCATTTCCTGCGATTTCCTTCACCAGACTGATCATATCATCTTCAAGCGCTGGCTGCAGCTTCAGGACCTTGATACTTTTGGGCCAGCTTCCCGAGTAAAAAGCATACCCGGGGCCTTCTGCGCCTCGAATCTTTAGACAAAGAGACTGTATAATAAGAAACAGAATCAGTTCTAGCACGCAACATGTCCACCAAAGAGAGAGCATACAGGGAGCCATCAGTCCCTCTACACTTCATGTAATACACTGTACCGCAACTCTTGGTCCTTCCAGAGAAGCTTGTCAAAGGTAAGTCTTCAATGACTGAGAAATGAAAGTTAAGAAAACAACCCGGTCCCACTGTATTACCTCCAAGTGTACACAACAGCTTAACATTTGCTGAAAATTCCCAGTGAATTCGTCGAATGTGCCACACTCTGCCCACTCCAACATCAGCACCCTGTCAGAAGTGACACGGAGAGAATATCATACCGCACTGAATTGATCCAGACCAACATGACTTACGTGCCTGCTGAAGTCGTGACTGCAGTTTACTACAAATCTTGGAGGCATACTTCATATAACGAGTATCTAACATTCACCCGAAAAGATGTTAAACCTCGAATTGAGGTCTTTATGGACACTATCAATGTCCAGCAATTGTTCCTCTAAGCATAACTTTAAAGTAAACATAAATCCCCGAAACTCTGCCACGGTAGTAACAATGGAGGGGAAGTGAGCTGTCGATTTAGATTGACAGACGGCACAATTCAAGCACATACACGAGCAGCACGGCGCCTCTGTCTTATCCAATTCAGAAATGCACAAAAGTAAAATCTTGAAAACCCAATGATCGAGCAAGAACAACGGAGACAAAACGATGCTTTCTAGATAAATTATTCCGGGAGGAAGGTAGGTCGGTATACCTCAAATTGGGGCATTTCCGGCCAATCGAGCCAAGAGCGCTCGGCGACATCGCGGCGCAGCATAGCAAGTTCAGCTCGCGAATATGCGGGCCAAGGAAGCCTTCGAGCGCGCAACAATCCACCCGGAGTCGGAGGCAGTTGATCGTGAGGCTCGTGACGCCGCCGCACGCGGAGAGAACGCGACCGAGAGTTCGAACATCCGGCGAGAAGCCCTGCCATTTTTTTTGCGCAGTTACAGATCCGAAATCACAACCAGAAGCCCCGCGCCATGGACTCGATTACACAATCTAGAAATCGATGCCCGTGCGGATGCGGAGAGATAGCTTCGAACTCACCGCGAGCTGGAGCGAGGAGAGAGAGGAGAGGGCGTCAGCGGCGGAGGAGCGTAGGGTTTTGGAGGCGCAGGCGGCGGAGGAGAGGGACTCCAAATCCAGCCGGAGGAGGACGTCGTGGACGAGGAGAGGGGCGGGAAGGGCCTCGAGTCCGCCGCCGCTACTTCCGCCATCGCCGCCGGTCGCCGTCGCCGTCGCCGTCGCCGTCGCCGTCGACTTCTTCGAGCTCGTGCCCCTTGGATCACTGGAATTCGAAGCTTCCATTGGAGGCGTGAAACATTTGATTGGGATTCTTCTCGGGAGCCAGCGAGCGGAGAAAATATTCAGTGGTTACCAAACACCACGTCATCGTCCTACGTGGCGTGCGTGTTCCACCCAAAAGACGACATGTGTCGCGTGACGTGGCAATGGAAGGAAGTCCTTTTGTCTCTCTCCTCTGGCTGGTTGGGGGGAAAGTACTGACCACAGTAAATATTTATTACCTCTGCGCCTCGCTCTCTCTCCTCTCTCCTCTCTCCTTTCTGTAACGTGAAGGAGGTCTTTTGCCTTCTCTCTCTTCTGCAACCCATTCTCTCTTCCTCTCCCGAGCTCACCCGAAGCCCTCCCCTCCTTCTTCTTCTTGGCCTCCGGCCTCGCCTTTCCGACTTCGGCTTCAGAAACCGTCTGGAGAAACCGCCTGCCTCGGGTTCCGATTTCGGGCTCGGACGATTTTGATGGGGAAGTGATTTCCTTTTGGCGCCTAAAAATTGAATCTTGACTTTCCAAACACACTGAAATTCCAGTGCAAACGCTCATCTCATCGGCTTTCGTAGCTTCATCTGCTAAACCCATCTTCTCTCTCGCTCGCTCGCTCTCTCGCTTGTAGCTTTGGGATTCCGGCGACGCCGTCGACGGCCGTGGAGATGTTGTAATGGAGGGGAGAGAGAGGAGTATGGGTGCTCTATTTAAACCCATTTTCTCTCACGCTCGTAGCTTTGGGATTCCGGCGACCGCGGCTATGGAGGATCGGTATTCTGCTTCCATGGGTATCCATGGAATGGCACGCAGGTAAATTTTTCTGTTTTCAGGCAGAGCTTCTTCTTAATCATGATGACGGGATGGTTTGTGAATAGCTTAACAATTTATGCGACTGTTCTAGAACGATTCAGATGAGATGTCATTTGTATTTGTGATCACCAGAAAGAATTTGGTTGGAAGCTTAGGATACTGACTTAAGTCGTCAAAGCTAGAATCGAAGAAACGGTAATGAACTTGTTCAAGTTTTGTTCTGAAAGGAATTATAGTCAGTTCAGTTCATTATAGCCATCTTCAACGTGCAAGGACGCTAACCTGATTCTGCTACTTTCAATATGCAGGCGTTGTTTGGTATATTTGCTGGGCATAGAGGTGTAATCGCTACTGGGTTTGCCGACTTGAGTAAGTATATCATAGATGAAGTGGTGAGAATAGACCAGGATGAAACAGAGACAGTTACCTGAAGACCGATTTGGATTTTTTGAATGAGGAATCACGAGGCAGCTCATGCTGTGTAACTGCGTTGATTAGAAGGGGCAACCACTTCGTGTTTAAGGCTAGAGATTATCAAGCTGTTCTTTGTTGAGCCGGCACTGAAGAGGCTCTTACATCTGATCATAGGCTTTGCAGGGAAGATGGAAAGGAACGGATTAAGGCTCTCACAACATTCTATTCATTCTTTACTTGTAAAAAGATACTGCGCAATTAAGTTCTTTTACCTTAGCCACTTACATTCTGAAATCGCCGGAGTTACCAAACTCTGCTTGTGTAGAAGCTTGTGAGATTTCTATTCATTTTCATGAAATCTAAGATTAATGATCAAGCTATTGTATCATGTATATTATGTTTTATTTCTATGTATACGGAGTGGGTCTATCCATTAATTTCACTTGAAAAAATATTCTTTTCCGTTGTCGCGGCTGTGAAAGTTGTTTAACATACATGATTTATGTCCTAATGCAATGGCTTCCCTTCTTGTCTTGGAGTTTCTGTAAGCACCCATCATGAAGGGAGCTTCAATAGAAAATCGAGTCCCCTCATAGTTGTTCAATAGCATAGCTTAGGATTGTTGTTGATAGTGTAGCTAGAGTCCCCTCATAGTTGTGACTTGCGACGGATGAGTTTTCAAAGCGAGATCTAGATACAAAAAAAAATAAAAATGGATCGTTTTGTATGATTCATGTCGCAATTCATCATCATGCTAGTTTGAGGTGCCATTGGCAACCCCTCTCCCCTCTCTCTCAAATGTTTCTCATGTTTTTCTAGAGGTGGAATCAAGGCATAATGTAGCACGTCTCCAACCAATAAGCGCGAAATAACGTAAAAAGAAAGACCAATCCCAGCACACCAGCGTAGAACATTAGATCCGTGAGGGCGAGGATATACACCACACGAAAAAGAGGACTTCATAGCAGAGCATCTCCTTTTCTAAATCAACTAATTCGAACTACTTCAATAAAATAACATCTCAAGCAAGCTGCAAAAGATCAACAACACTGCAATCAATTCTCTAATAGACAAATCCAATAACCGAACAGCAATAAGTAAAGGGTTCACACTCCAATTTTTTTAAAATATGTCAACGAGTTTATCCAGCATCGATTCAAACTCAAATGCGACAACTTCGCTAACCAAATATGAACGAATCCCAAAAAAATAAAGAAATCAATCCGTCTCGAGTTGATTAATCCTATGAATTTCAAATCAAACGAACAGAACATCTGGCAGAAAGCAGAAAGAACTATCAGAAGCTGAAGCGCTATTGAGAAAAATGGAGAGAAGTTATCTTCTTTTTCTTCTGGGTATGGCAGATTCAGCATATAGAACACTTGAGTTTGCCTATAATTTCCAGCTGACTCGAGATCGGGTCAGCCATGCCCAACTCAGAAAGTGCGAGCAAGCGAGCGAGAGAGAAGATGGGTTTAGCAGATGAAGCTACGAAAGCCGATGAGATGAGCGTTTGCACTGGAATTTCAGTGTGTTTGGAAAGTCAAGATTCAATTTTTAGGCGCCAAAAGGAAATCACTTCCCCATCAAAATCGTCCGAGCCCAAAATCGAAACCCGAGGCAGGCGGTTTCTCCAGACGGTTTCTGAAGCCGAAGTCGGAAAGGCGAGGCCGGAGGCCAAGAAGAAGAAGGAGGGGAGGGCTTCGGGTGAGCTCGGGAGAGGAAGAGAGAATGGGTTGCAGAAGAGAGAGAAGGCAAAAGACCTCCTTCACGTTACAGAAAGGAGAGAGGAGAGAGGAGAGAGAGCGAGAGCGCAGAGGTAATAAATATTTACTGTGGTCAGTACTTTCCCCACCAACCAGCCAGAGGAGAGAGACAAAAGGACTTCCTTCCATTGCCACGTCACGCGACACATGTCGTCTTTTGGGTGGAACACGCACGCCACATAGGACGATGACGTGGTGTTTGGTAACCACTGAATATTTTCTCCAGCGAGAGGGAGTTGCGCGAAAGCTGCTCGGAGAAATTTTTTTTTTTTGATTATTTATCGGGACAAGCACGCCATTAATCCCTGATTTTTTTCTATAAATATTCACCGGAAAAATGACACAAATGACCTTTGAATTTTGGTCAAACTTACAACGTAGTCTCTTGATTTTTGAGTCATTCGATATGGTGTTTGAACTATCGGTGAATGTTTAATGTAGTATTTTCGTTTGCTCAAATGATAAATCGGACGTTATTTAATGACTTGGATTACTAGATTACTATATGCGAAGTTGGACTTTTGAAAATGATGACATCTTTCTATTTATCTACTTTAGAAAAGAGAAAAAAAATTAGGGTGCTAACGTGTCCACCATTATTTGATGATGTAGATTAGTATATATATATGTAACTTTTCCTTTTTGTCCACGGTTCAAGCTCAACGGCTTAGAATTCACATCAATAGATTCTCTTAATTTGAGTTAATGGAAGGATGACATTGAACATTTTCATAATTTAGGGACTAGATTAAATATTTACAAATATTTTAGCGATCACATTGAACAAATTAAAAATGCAGAGACGACATTGCACATTGGACTAAAGTTCAAGAACTATTTGTATCATTTTCTCAATATTCAGTTAAGCTTGTTGGATCACCTTGATTTTTTTATTTGCAGAGTCTTCTTGTCCAGTTTAGATTTATGATAGTAAGATATTGCCTAAACCATGATTAGGCCTGATCATTGACCTAACAATCCACAATTTGAGTCACGAGTTTGTTGGGCAAGCAAGCAATGGAGAAAGACGTGTAATGAGAAAACTCGATCTAGCATGGTCAGGTTGGAGCCGAGCCGAGCCCGGCCCGGCCCGGCCCGATCCGATTATGGTGGCGAGATTGAGAAAAAATTTAGACCCTTTTCGATCCGGACTGCTCAATGATCACCATTAGCGTTAAGTCGGGAGGATTTTATTTTACTGGTGATTGTGGATTTGAAACTTATGTCCACTGCTTTAAAAATCCAGCCTTTAGATGTGGTTAGGTTCTTATAAAGTTTGCTAGAAAGTGAAAACCGTAACATTGCTAGGAAGGCAATATTCTAGTGATCTAGTAACGAAATTACAAGTCGATAGAAATTTACAAAATGATTTAATAATAAATGAGCGAGTACCCCGAGACACTCATTAAGCAACTAAATAAAAAGATTCTCGATTTTTCATACGTTGCTTTCTCAGGGCACGCGTAATTCAAGTTTTGGAACTATTAAGTATGGTGGACAAGTGTTTTTAGGAACTTGTTACATTAGAGTTTTCTGTATGGCTGACATAATGTGCCAGGACTAATGATATTGAGCTGATGTAAATATTTGACAAACTTGCCAAATGCATAAAGATTGGTAAGATCCAAATGCAAGTTGGTAACATAATGAAGAAACAAATATTGGAAAATCGAAATATAAGTTGGTAGGTAGCTTCATAATGGATGATGCTATTGACAAATTTTGAAACCAAAGAGACTTGCATCCCAACAAATCATACCAATACTTTCACTCTCAAGATGCTCCATGATGCTCCCACCCATCCCGGCATCCCATTTCGCAACCGCCCGTACAGACGGTCAGCCACGGCCGTTCCTCGTAAATTTCAGACAAGACACTCCCTCCTTCCTCCGCCAAGCGAGTGTCGCCGACGCCGACCCAACGTAGCCCACGAAACAAAGGCCTTTTCAGCATCTGGAGCGACTCGACAGACAACCCGATGCAGAAGAAAAGATCAAGCCTCCTAATCGGTTGGCTTCCATCTTCGAGACTTCCCTTCCTCGCCAAAGCTTTCCACCGAGGAGTCAAGTCATATCGAAACAAGACCTGAGGCGCAGTTCCGTGATGGCTAATACAAAAAGGGCAACAGCACGCACGGCTTCCTCCGACACATGTCGCAGGTAACCCAAATCTAACCTGTATAGCGTCTTGCTGACGATCCCTCCACTGTTCCGCAGTTGATGGATCCCTTTATCCGTTACCCCCTGACAGTAACTGAGGGACAAACGCCGAATAGGCGCACACCCTTGACCAAGAGTCAACAGACCACTATCTGTTATAGCTGTTCCCGGTAGATCCAACGTGTTCAGCATTTTAAGAGACGATAGGGAACATAAGCCTGAATCTGCTACGCCCCCGGCAGACCAAGAGATCAAGAACCTCCAGGTGACTGCAGAACGCCAACTTCTTCACCGTCTCGCTGGTTATGAGATTGCACGAGTGGATTCTCAGTTCGGTCAAAGAACACGGGGCCTCGGTCAGATCATGGAAAGCCAAATCAGACATATATCTGGAGGAGTGCACCTCAAACTTCTTCAGGTTCTTGCAAGAACGAAAAAATGATGCGAAACCAGCATCGCTGACTTCTGAAGAGCCAGAGAGCCGTACAGATTCTAGGCCCTGCAGCCCTCAGTTTCGAGAGAGGAGGAGAGAGTAGGAAAATGCCCAGGTCGTTGACTCTATTAAAAGTTACCCGGCAGTTGTATTTACTAAAATACGACTGGCAGTTTCGTCTATTTCGTGAAAGAGAGAGGCTTTTCAATTGCTTGCAAGAACCCAAAGACTGAATTCTGTTGGAGTTGGCGAATATTTCGAGGACTCTTGTTTCTCATACTGTCCACGTGAATTTAAGAAAATCGAAGTATAATTCGATGACATGTGACCCCTGCACATGGAATGCGGGGGTTCGGGTTTGCTGACTCATTTGTTGTGGGATCAAAGGGATTTGGATAGGCTTTGGCTTTTGGCCCATTTTAAGTCCTATATATATTGTACTCGTATGAGAGATCATTGTAACGAGTGGTAGTAGTTGTAAAACCTAAATATTATAGTAGAATCCCTTTGTAGGACGTAGTCCTATTCTGGAGTGAACCTGGGTAAACTCGTGTGTCAAATTTTTTATTATCTGTGTGATTGTTCTGATTCGGTTAGGATATAATCCCATCAAATTCCGGCATTGGTCAAATCACCGTGTGGTAGTACGTCTATCCCTGTCCTATCTTCGAGCTCCAACTCCAACAAACAAGGCATGGACTCAGCTATGGTGGTGACAAGCTTGTCTGATATGGTACTCACACGAAGCGATAAGCTTTGAAGCGAGCGTTTAGATGGCAGAGAGGGAGACTTAATGACCGCAGGCCACTTCTCATTTCCTGCGATTTTCTTCACCAGACTGATCATATCACCTTCAAGCGCTGGACGCAGCTTCAGGACCTTGATATTTTTGGGCCAGATTCCCGAGGAAAAAGCATACACAGGGTCTTCTACGCCTCGAATCTTTAGACAAAGAGACTGTATAATAAGGAACAGAATCTGTTCTAGCACGCAACACGTCAACTAAAGAGAGAGCATACAGGGTAGCCATCAGTCCCTCTAGACCTCATGAACTACATTGAATTTTAAGAAAAACAACCTGGTCCTACCCCTACTGTATTACCTCCAAGTGTACACAGCAGCTTAACAATTGATGAACGTTTCCAATGAATTCGTCGGATGAGCCACGCTCTGCCCACTCCAACATCAGCACCCTGTCAGAAGTCACACAAAGACAATATCATACTGCACTGAATTGTTCCAGACCAACGTGGCTTGCATGCCTGCTGAATCCATCACGGCGGCTTAAAACAAATCTTGGAGGCTTACTTCATATTATGAGTATCTAAATATTCACCTAAAAAGATGTTAAACCTTGAACTAAGGTCTCTATGCGGTTTACTACCCCAGAAATGCACCAAAGTAAAATCTTAAAAACCCAGTGAACAAGCACGAACAACAGAGACAAAACAATACTTTCTAGATAAATTATTCAGGGAGAAAGGCAGGTTGATATACCTCAAATTGGGGCATTTGAAGCATTTGAAGACAGATTGTTTTTTTGGTCATACCATATTAGACGGATTTTTTTTGTCATACCATATTAGGCAGATTATGTGTTCAATTTTTTGCCAGAACTAGATTAAATGTTTGAAATGAATTTATTGGATTCTTGAGGCTAAGGGTTGAATCCCAAATTATCCCCTTCCTTGGTTTTTTTTTCCTTTCTAAAGGCTCAGGTCTAAGAAGCGGTGAAAGATTTACTCGAATTCGTTTGATCAGTTTGTGAATCTAACCGGTTGAAAAACCGAGTCAATATTGGATCCAATCGACACTTTCGACTATTTCAATCGAATTCAACTATTGAACCGACCAGTCCAATCCAAACTTTTAAGTAACATTAGAGTCGTCGTCACCTCATCTCTTGCATCACCGCCGCGGCTTCATGCCGCCTTTATCTTTCCCGCCCTCCTTTGCGGCTCCATTAGAAACGCCCCATTTGCTTATTAATCCACAAAAGCTAAGACCACCACCTTCTCCCAAACCGATGCAGAAAAACTGCACTTCGGAAAGGGAAACGACTTAGCTTCCGACACTGAGTTGCGACGAAAAACACAAGGCGAGGCCGACGATCTCACATGCAAATCATTTTTGCCCTCCATGTTGGCGGAAATTGCAGCACTGCCATCGTGAAAATAGGTATGTTATTTCCAACTATAATTTCCTACATTGGTCGTGTCGTGCTCCTCGACTTAGGATTTAGACAGATACTAATTAAATGTTCATCATCCTCGAGTCCGCTGCTGTTACTCCGCCATCCCTGCTGCTCCTTGTCGTCGTCTTCTTCGACCTCGTGCCTCTAGGATCACTGGAATTTGAAGTTTCCATTGGAGGCGTGAACATTTGATTGTGATTCTTCTCGAGAGCCGGTGAGAGGGAGTTGCGCGAAAGTGCTTGTGGAAATTTTTTTGATTATATTTCAGGATAAACGCAGCATTAGTCTTTGATTTTTTTCTATAAATATTCGAGGGAAATTGACACGACGGTCCCTGAATTTAGTTCAATTTATAATGCAATCCATATATATTTAATTCGTTCAATGTCGTCCCTGAACCATCGGTGTATGTTTAATATAGGGAATTAAAACGACACAAACTGTCCATGAACTTTGACTCAATATGCAATTTGGTCCCTGAACTTTTAATTTGTTCAATGAAGTCCTGAACTTTAATCCAATGTTCAATGTGGTCCTTGAACTTTTAGTACATTTTCAATATAGTCCCTAAACTTTATAAAAATGTTCAATTTAGTCCTTTCATTAATTCAAGTTTAGGGACTATATTGTACATTTTCATATAATTCAGGGACTAAATTGAACATGTACTAAAAGTTTAGGGACCACATTGAATAAATTAAAAGTAGAAGGACCACATTGAACATTGGGCTAAAGTTTAGGGACTACATTGAATAAATTAAAAGTTTTGGGACCAAATTGCACATTAAACCAAAGTTCAGGGACTGTTTGTGTCATTATCCCTTTAATATAAGTCATTTCGTTTGCTCAAATTACAAATTGGACGTTATTTAATGACGTACGTGAATTATTATATGCTAAGTTGGACTTTCGAAAATGATGAATTGACATCTCCCTCTTTTTATCCATCTATTTTAGAAAAAGAAAAAAAAATAGTGTTAACCAGAAGGGAAATCGTTTATAATTTACAAGGAACGGCAATCATTTTCATTTTCAGACATCATGAACGAACCGGAAGGGCCCTTAACGAGCGGTTCACAATGTGATTTGCTAATGGTGAGCTATGAAGGTGAAGAGATGAAGAAAGTGGAGAGAGTGACATCTCCTGTTTTGTTTGGAGAGAGAGAGAGAAATGAAGGGAGAAAGATATAACAAGTTGAGATCGAGCACTTCGATCTGAAATCCGACCAAAGTTGGAATACAAACTAAATCGGGTGATTTCAAGCGTGGAGCTTACATGGAATTCGCATTATCGGCGGTCCATAATATCACATGATTAGCATCCCATGCAGGCTAAGCACTTCCCCACTTTTTAGAGCTCCCTGTTTCAGCACAGTGAAGGTCAATGCTGCTCCAGAACATGGTACTTGCACTCGAACCCGTAAATATGCACGTTTCTAGTCGAAGATTATAGATACAGAAACCTCATTTTTCCTTTGGGCAAAACAAAGAAAACCCTTCTTAAATAGCACTTCATTGTAATCTGTAGACAATCCTATTGACAGGGGCATGAGATTCTTTCCACCTAACTGCATTATTATCAGATCCTTTGGTTACACTGCTTTTACACTCCAAATTGAAAGAAGGAAAACCCCAGTAAAAGAAAAGAACAAGCCGGCCAAGTGATCCTTAAAGTGCGGGCCATCCGATAATCTACCATCATATATGATCATCGTGTTCCTGAAATACATCAGAGTCCTCTACGTTATCAGGTTGCTGAAATGCAGAGTCCTCTATCTTTTCGCCCGAGTCCCCATCTTGCTCTTCAGAGGCTTCAGCACCTCCTGTATCTGAGCTTGATTTGCTACCATCTGTGAAATTGTGGTTGGGCTCCGTCACATTGACTACCGTAGGCTGCTTCTCCATCATGCCAGAGAGAGCCAACCTCGGAGACCACTCAATAACATCGTCAATTATGTTAAATACCCGCTTCTGGTACCTGTAATAGAAGAAGTATAATCTTGAGACCGATGAAAATACAAGGCCATGCTATAGAAACCCAAGGAATGAACAGCACAGAAAAGTTTCCTGCAGGAACCACAATATGTATAAGCCTTTCCAAGGTCAATTTTTTCATTATATTTCTAGAATTAACTGATGGTAGTAGCCTTCCTATGCCCTCTCAGCAAGGAAGTGCGTCCATGTGTTCTAATTCAATCTTGAACGACCGCTTTATTAAAGACATTGGTCAAAAGCGCTTTCAAATATCCCAATCTTAAGAGCTCTCTCCTTTAAATGTTGATCCTTCAAGAGGAATGCAGAGAAGAAAATTAATGAGGCAGTACTTTCAGGTTCCAACAGGAACAGAGCCAACTTCGCTTTTGCTAAGGCAGAAAACAATCGGTCCTTGAAACAAGAACAGCTACTAACCTGGCTCTAGCAGCCTCATCAGGGGCGTGATGCCTAAGCAACAAGATGACCACCACTGCTACCATTGCATAAAAGAGCCTGGTTGTCCACTTTGGTCGCTCCTCCTCATCTTTCTTGGGCCAGAAACGGAATAGTTCTCCAAGAGTTGCTTCCTCAGCAAGAATATTAGGGAAAAACCAAACACGCTTTCCAAGGATGATATACAATGCACCAAATATTGCAGCTCTAACTGCACATCAAAATAATAATATCTTGACTTTCAAAGGCATTAAAATTGTTGGCCTCACGGATAGAAAAGCTTTCACATCTAAAGTAAGGAGTGCAACAACAGAGATGCACTGATGGACCTGAAAATTTTAAGAAAGCTATGCACACACAAACAAAAAGAGTGCGAGTGTTTTTTCTCCTGCCTATGTAGAGGCTCTGAAGAACAAATGGAGGCACTGTTGAATCTGAATTAAGAAAGGCTATTCCAGGATTCGATATCATCACTGAACTGATTTAGGGGCCCACATCACTCATCTAACAAAGCCTAGTGAAATTAAGTATAGAAAACAGAAACGAGGATTATCATCATACAACTTGTTCTCTTTAACTCATATCAAGAAAAGGACAGCCAGAATTGACAGCTATCGAACTTCCTCTTTCTGTTGGCCAAAATTTCAAAATCAAACGCAGTCCATTGATCAAATGGGATCATCAAAATCTTATAATAGCTAAAGAACGAAAGGAAGTGCCAGTCCAAGGATGGTTAAATCCCAAATGGGCATGCAGAAAAAAAATGCTACCTAGTCGGCCCAAGAGAGCGACTCAAGAAAGGCATATATCCCAAACTTTATTTTCGGTACTGTCAACCAATACTCGCAGAGGTTGGCAAAGTTTCCGCCTGAAAGTATAAAGTAGAGACCAAAACAAGCACACATCAAGTTGAAAAATTTGAAAACCTTCGTCACTTTGTTGATAATTGTACACGAGACTTACAGCATCAGACTAGATGCCTAGGGAAAAGGCAAACCAACCATTAAGTCCCTGGTCATGGGTAACACTCAAGTAACCACATTTAAGAAACCTATTCACAAAGTAGAAGGTGGTTCACCTCTAAAGGAAGTTAAATCAGAAGCCTGTTTGTTTAAACTTAAGAAAAGCAAGCGGAACTTTTTTTTAATTTCGCAACAAAGTTTTAATTATTTAAATTTCCGAAAAACATTAAAATATTACATGTGAATCTTCATGTCAATATTCGTAAATTATAAAAGTTCCAGGTGTTTCGGGCTAAGAAAAAGTCAAAGTTCATCCACCGTCAAGATTTAAATTAAACAAAAAGTAAAAAGTACACGTCTATCCAGGCAAGCTGCACATTTTCCCTTCAAAGATGGGCAAACGGGTTCTATTCGGTCATAACCATTAATCCTTCTTAAAGGTTGGTATCAATCTCGGCCCTTATATACCAAACGTGAAGTCAAGCACTATCATTGACAACTATAAAATTTTTAAGGTCATAGGAGGGTGTTTTTATCAAGATATTGGATGAAAAGAAAGGAAAACAAAACCAAAAATAAAGTTTCTCATTCGATTTTGAAGTACACTTCCATGACATCATTCAAAAATTCAGTACAAATGCTAAAAGTTTCAACGAGAACTTTGTTATTCTAAAGGCAAAGCCTTGAACATGACAAAACCAGGCTCCATTCATCCCAACTGAAAAAATCAAACAACAAATAAGGCCAAATCATCGGTGCTACCATCAGCAGAAGTTGCCAATTACAAATTTAAGACCATAGAAAAGCAATCTACTTTAGTAAAATCTATATATACTACGTGGCTTACATCTTAACCGCCCAACAGCATAACATAAGTTAGAGGTAAATCACAAAAGCACATCAGCTATGAATAACTTACCGAACAAAAGGGATAGTATTAGCAGCAGGACCCCGGCACAGGAGTAGAGTATTAGTATCTTGCACTGATGGGGATACACTGGAAATAAACATATTGCCAGGGTTAAAACAGGCCAGGAGAATGAGAGAAGCGTCTGCCATAATGGATGCCGTTTCTCAAATGTCCAGGCAAAGAAGGCATCATTGTCAGAAAATACATGCTCCTGCCAAAGTATGATTTATCGTATCAAATTATGAACTCAGATCTGCATAACAAGATAAGCCTGTATGATTCCCCTGCAAGCAATGAAGCCAGTAATGCCACGGTATGCTGAATTCAATCAAGTGATATTTGCGTGCCTTGCACAATACTTATAGTGAATTAGTTCAGAAAACTTAAGAGACGCATGGTACTAATTCATTCAACTGAATATGCCGTCGTAAGTGACAAGACTAATTGACTCTAAGGCAGGCAATCGAGCTCTACAACCCCTAATCTGTTTGAATGATTTACCTTATCCCAGTTCTAAAAACCATTATGAACTTAACAAGTCCAACTTCTAAAATCTCCAAAAGTACATCAATATGTGAAGTCCTTCCTTCATAGTACTTTAGCTATTTTATAAACTCTTGCCAGTAACTTCACATACTAAAAGCAAACCAATAGATCTGCATTAAAAGAATTTTAAAGATCATTACATTCAGCCAGTCAAAGGGATTAATGAAATATAGAGAAATCTTACATGATACATCTCTAAATGTGCTGGCCAGGTGGACAACTTTTTCTTCCCTGGACGGACAGTTTTCACCACACGGTCACATCGAATCAATAGCTTTTTTCTCAATAAAGCATTCCCAATATCTTCAACTTCTAAATTTTGGTCCGACCCCAAGATATCTTTAAGTTCTGGATGGTTTTTCAGAAAAGTAACGAAATCCTTCCCTCTAAAATATTCCACGCGCGTCTCCTGTAAGACTGCCCACCTAGATTCCAGATCCTTATGATCCCTCACCTTCTCAGCAAACAACTCAAATACATCCCTCTTTGCAGCCTGTTTCTGGAAAAGCAAAGTTTGAGCATAGATAATGAATAATGAATAATGCCGGTGCATCAAATAAGCACTCGTGTGATGAAGTCTTTTGAACAAGCCACCCAAGTTTGCCCAGAGGAAAGGAGGTCCACTAGCTAATTAATCCCACAGTCACAATCGAAAAGCACCAAATAGTCAAGTAAGCAACAAGTAGATTAAGTCATGGAGACGCAATCTACACCTGAATTCCTCGAATTTTTCAAGCCGCATTACGAGTCAATATTTTCCCTCTGCAATAGCCAACTAGCTTGTCAGCTGGTGGTATCGGATCAAAATTGTAACTGCAACTTTCCTGGCCGGCGTTCAACTTCGGACAGCAACGTTCATATACAAATTACAGGGTGAGATGATTAATCTCCGAAAGCCAACCCCCCCCCGGGCCCAAAGAAGAAGTCGCCATAACGAGGCATCAGTCGGATTCGATTCAAACATTTCTAGGTCAAGGAAAGACAATTCACCGAGCTAAATTGGGTTACTTTCGGGATAATCAAAAGATTTCTATCCGATTACCATTCACAACAGCAGCACGTCGTACATCTAGAGCTCCATTGGCAGGCACTGGAAACACGTACCGACGCATGAATTCACAACTAAACGCCACGGACGAGACAGCGATTGCGGCACGCATAAAGCCGACGCCTTTCCGCGCCGAATCGGCCTCAAGAGAGGAGCAAATGCCCCTCCCAATACACGCAAAAAACCAGCGCGCGAGTGCACACAAAAACCCTAGATCGAGAGAGAGAGAGAGAGAGAGAGAGAGAGAGCAAACCCCAGGAGGAGTGTCGGGATTAGGGTCCCGGCTGCCGCCGCCGCCGGGAACGGCCGCCGACGTCCGCCGCGTCCTCTTCTTCTCCGCTCCGCCCGATTTCTTCATCGTCTCCTCCTCTGTTTCAGCTTCAGCTCTCTCCCTCTGTGATGCGTCCCCAATTTCTAGAGAGAGAGAGAGACAGGTGGAGAAGGTGTGTTCCTCAATTGGCTTTTTGGGCCCCCAAATCTTGTACATGCACTTTTGTATCCAATCTGATCCGTGCTATTATTTGGCACCAAATTAAAACTGAAAGAATTCAATTTGGCAAGAGATCAAACTGAAACTTGAGCAAGGAATTAATTACTTTTCCATAAGTGAAAAATCAGGAGATCTCACCAGCAATAATGACACCCCCCCCCTTGCAATTACCATAACAATCTCCATTCACAGCGAAACATTCGATTCGAGCCGTTTCTACCCGATGCCCGCCTCGAGACATCGAAATTGAGGCTAGCGAGTTGATCGTCGATTTGACCTCAAAAAAAAAAAAATTTGGTCGCAGCTTTGTAGACATGCCCGCCTGTGACTCTCTCCACACGAGGCAGCAGCTCCCGAGAGCATGAGTCGATAAAGAAGTTTGCTTACGACATAATGGGACTTGTGATCTTGAAAAATATTAGGCTTGCCAAACGGGTGGAACGGGTTGGGTCAAAAATGGTATGACCTAAATAGACTTATTTCTATGCAGAGCAAATCTAGTGACTCATATCTAACCCGACTCATACCCAATCAAATACTTGACTCGACTCGTATTGCTTAAACCATTTTATATTTAACCTAATTTATGAAGATCCATATCCAAACTGAGGTGAGAGCGCGGAAAAAGCGTGTGCCGGATTGAATGAGAGCGAGAGAAAATGAAAAGAGAGTTGTAGAGGTAGGTTGAGCTGAGTTGTAAACCTATATATGATTCAATTTAACACCCGTGTTACGTTTTATCCCATGTACTGAATATAATTAATCTATATAACAACTCAGCCAATTATATATGAATTTTCTATACATGGGTTAAGAAATGAGTGCATGACTCAATTTTGACATATATAAAAAAAATATGTAGATGGGCACGAGTACTTTGTCCACTGATGTTTTGTTAATTTTTTTTTGTCGCAGAATTTTTAATAGTTCAAATTAATCATTTATGCAAGAATGGTGAGGTCCGATCGCGTTTCAAGAAACAGTGGTTCAACAAAAAATTTAAAATGAACGAATCCAAATTCAAATATAAACGAAACGACAAATCTCAATGAATTAACAATGTCGTTTAGGACAAGGCCCAATCGACCAGGATTGAATTTTCTGGGCCCATCCCCGGAAAATAAAAAATGCATGTACCAATACAAATACTACAGGGCTAGTTCAAGTCAATTCGAGTCAGAGCATTTTCTTTTGTGTATATATATATATTCAGTATTAAATTTCAAAAGTATAACGTGAAATTATGAAATAAAAAAAATAGCATTATATAACTTAAGAATTGATATACTTCATCAGATGAATTTTACTCTTGGAAATTTAAAAGAGCGCACGTGTTTAGGTCCGGTAGAGATACGAGAGCCGTAAGTGTAGTTTGTGAAACTCATTTAAAACCCATCGTGGCAATGCGAAGCGCTCAGGCGGAGTAACCACTTTTTCAACGTGATTTGCGAGATTATGAACAAATTTAAGCCATTTGATGCTTGATCATTGATTTCTAAATATTCGAATAGTCCAAATGTCCAATGAAGGATTGAATATTTTATCCTTAAGAGTTGGAAAACATCAATTGTTTTGAATATTTATTTGATTAGAATAGAATATTGAAAAAGTTTGGTATGCGAAGCTCGAAATCCGAATCCCCCGACCAACAATGGAGCTAACTTCTTAGGTGTTGGCACCCTAGGAAAGTCAACTTTGATGCCAAAGAACTAAAGCCCAATAAGAATTGACCCCGTTGACTGCCCATCAACCGTAGCTTTAAGCATGATATTAACTGGAGCCAATATCGATGAGGAAGTGAAGAAGTCTCCTAAGCCAGGTCGCAGTGACAAAGCAGAGTCACTGACTATGTAAAAGTCAAGGTCGATCATAAGTATTGACTGGTTAATAGAACATGTCTCGTGTGAATAAGGAAGGAGTAAAACAATATGTTTGATCAGCACGCGTTGTTTGATGTCGACTACGGATACAGTCGATGATCAAACACCCACATCGACTGCGAGAAGCTAGTATAATTAAGTCGACAAGGCGAGAATAGTTTCCGACTGATAGTCGAGTCGATGTTTGTCGAGTCGATGGCAGGAGTGGAGAAGCATTGATATCAACTCGAAAATTTTGGCTGAAATCAAATCGATTGCAACGATGAAACTGCAAGAACGGTTATTGCAATCAAACTCTTGGCCGGAACTGTTACGAAAGACATTGATTGATATTTGCAGTCAAAGAATTATTACAGTTTAGTAAAATCATTATTGCGGTCAAGCTCTTGAGACAGGAAAGCTTATACCATTTGAATTGTATGTGGTCGATTTATTTTCACTTTAGCTAAAACATGAAGAAAACGATGCCGTTTTGGCTAAAACATGAAGGATGAGACTAAAACGGCTTCGGCCAGAGGGCTAACGACCCTCGCTGACCACTGGCAAACCATCCCCACTATCACCGGGCCTTAGACCCTCACCGTTTTGCATCTTCCTTCTTCTTCTTTTTTTTAATCAATTTTTTAATATTTCACCTTTAGTCTAATTTAAGTAATATTTAAATAAAGATCGTATTTAGACCAAATGACGTCATTTTAGCTTCATCATTCGTGTTTAGCCACGTCAGTGTCACGTAAGATAGAGAGAAAAAAAAAAAGAAGCCTAGTTAGCATGATATGTTAACCAAATTGGACGAAGTAATGGAAGAACTCGATTACACTAATTTGACAAGTTTTAGACTTGATTGCATTTTTTTTTATAAGTTTTATGACTCAATTGTATTTTCATGATAAATTTTAGGACTACCGGTACACTTATCCCAATAAATATGTAAAAAATTAATGTGTAAAGGACTCGATGCGTTTGGTCGACTGGATAAAAGCCAGGATAGGATATGTTTTATCCTATCTTGTGTTTGGTGGTAGTCCAGGATAGGATAAGGTCGGATATAGACCGGATATAGCCCGGATAAAAAAATCCGGCGGAGGGGTGGGATAGACCCGGATAGGATTTCTAATGCCTATTTTTCCAGAAACCCTACGCTCCACTCACCATCATCTTCATCCCCACACCTTGTGTGCTTTCACCAAAAAAAATTCTCGGCTTTTTTTCCTTCATTGACTCCTCCGGACCCGTGAATAGCAAAAAAAAAAAAATTTATCATATCCGACTTTAAATCCGTAGTCCACCAAACAGTGGACATGATATGAAGAAATCCCAGGATTTCTTATCCTATCCTATCCTATCCAGTCCTATCCTGTTTAGAAATCCGGACGACCAAACGCAGCCTAAAGGGCCATGCTTTCTTCAATTAGGCTAGACAGTGATTGGTTAGAGGAGTTCGAAGCAGACGCAATGGATGGATGATGAAGATGGGCGATCGAAATTATATAAGTAAGAACTTTTTCAAGGATTGGTTGAGTGGCATGTCCGATTGGGAATAGTCGCGTGCTCGAAGAGTCTCGAACGTTGCATTGATATAAAGAAGAGTTTTTGTAAGCAAAGAAAAGTTTCTATATCGAATGATAATCATTAGGGGTGTGTAAAAGAATCAGGAACCGCTCGGACCTCTCGGAACTAGATCGGACCGCCCAGGACCAACGGTTCCCATGGAACTGGTCCGGTTCCCGATATCAATTTATTGGAACAAGTGAGTACCGATCCGATTCCATGTTCCAGGCGTGGAACCGTCCACCTGTCCACTCGGACCGGACCAGTAAATATATATATATTTATTTAAAAAAGTCTAGAAGTGAAAGTGAGCCTTTGCCCTTTAATTTTATCTTTCCTGCCTCCTGTTCGCAACGTTCTACATTCACTCTGTCTCTCCCACTCTTTGCGACTGATCCCTCTCCCTCTGTAATTTTCTCTCTTTTTTCTCGCATTTTCCCTCACTTTCTTGCGGTTTCCCCTGCATTTTCCCTCTCTTTCTCGCATGCCAATCCTTGGATGGAACGAGCTGAGGCATCTTAGTAAACTTCAATCTCGTTTGTCATCTTCCCTTGCGATTTCCCTTCCTATAGTCGGCGAAAGCTTTCTCTCTCACGCTGTAGTTTCCCTTCGGCTTCTTTGGATACCATGACCACAGGATTGAGGAGCAGCGTTCGGCATTTCCTCCGAGCTACGTTTGGAGTGCGCTATTTCAATCTCGACGGAGTTTCCCGCGCGGGTGTTGGTAATGTGAGGAGTTTGATTGGTTGAAGTGTTTTGAGCTCCGGGAGGGGTGGTTTCAGAGAAGGACAAGTGGAGATGGCAAAGCGAACCTTTGCTTCTTAGCATGTGTTGTATTATTTGATGAATGCAATTTTATAGGGATTGGAGACCGGTTTCATGAATCCATTTATAAATCGGACCAGACCGGCGGTCCGATTTCAAGCAGATTTATGAAACTAACGGGCGGTTTCCGGTACTGATCCTTAATGAACGGTTCCCGATGTCAAAGTAGGAACCGCTCACCTGGACTATTCTCACCCCCTAATAATCGTGGATTATAAAATAATTGGATAAAGTTGACATGCTACTCCCAGTCTCCATCCATGGACAATCTCACGAGATAGGATAACCAAGAAAAAATCAATAGGAGGGAATGCTTAGCACGTAAGGAGAACGAAGAGAAGACGGCGCTCTGACTTTTTGATGCACTTCTAGAAAGAATCTCGTCATTGGATCCTTGGATGCCAAGCCGCGGGAAGAATTAAATGCGAGAGAAGAGGATGGTGGCGGACGTTATCGGAGAGACATCTCTCCATCTGTCCATCTCCAGAACCAGTCGCGTCTCGCAGTGAGCGCAGAGATTCTCGTTCCTCTCGTCTTCTGCTGCTCCCTCTCTCTCTCTCTCTCTCGTCCTCGTCGTCGTTTCACGCTTTGCTTCTCGCTTCGGCTTCACCCATTCCACGTTCCTTTCTCCTCTTCCTCTTCTCCTCGTTCTGGTTCTTGTTCTTGTTCTTGTTCTTGGCCGCCAGTCGGGTCTTTTATGCATCTCCCACTTCCGGCGGACGTTTTTTTTTTTTTATCCTCTTCTCCCTACTTCTGCGGAGATTCGTTGCGTGAGACCTCCCCTGTTCGTTTCTTTTCCCCGTCCTTTCTAAATTTGCCTCTGTGCCCATCCTCCACTCGAGAGGATAACGATAACGATGGGGATTTCGTCCCATCATTTGTACTAATCCCACCGAGCCACATTTCTTTAAAAATAAAAAAAAAACGCCCCACGCCCCCTTTTCCTTCGAATCTGGAATTTTTCCTGACCAGCTGAAAAATTCCAGAGCTCAAATTCGTCCGACCCATTTCCTCGTTTGATCCCTTGTGAGGAAGACAGAGAGAATCCGAGCAAAAAGATTGGATCTTGGATTTTCCCTTTTGCCCTTCTTTTCCCCTCACATTCCCGGGTCATCAGGAAATCCGACAGAAATCGCATTCCGACAGGACGCCGGTGGATTCGACGTGTTCTTGATTCATGGGCAACTGTTGCGCAGCTCCCGCTACTTCGTCGTCCCCGAAACGGAGGGGCCAGAAGAACAGGAACAGGCCCAACCCGTTCTCCACCGAGTTCTACACCGCCAACCCGAGGCCCGAGAGCAAGCTCGTGGTGCTGCGAGACCCGACGGGCGGCGACATCTCGGCGAAATACGACTTGGGTCGCGAGCTGGGTCGTGGCGAGTTTGGGGTCACGTACCTGTGCACGGACGTGTCGACCGTCGAGAGGCTCGCGTGCAAGTCCATATCGAAGAGGAAGCTGAGGACGGCGGTGGACGTGGAGGATGTGAGGAGGGAGGTCCAGATCATGAAGCACTTGCCGGAGGACCCCAACATTGTGTCGCTGAACGCCACTTACGAGGACGACGAGGCGGTTCACATAGTGATGGAGCTGTGCGAGGGCGGAGAGCTGTTCGACAGGATCGTGGCCAGAGGGCATTACACCGAGAGGGCTGCTGCGAATGTGATGAGGACCATCGTTGAAGTTGTTCAGGTTTGCGTGTGTGTGTGTGTTCTGCTGGTGATTGTGATTCTGGTTTCGTAGAATTTTGAGGGCTTTATAGGTGTTTGGATGATTTCTTGTGCTTGTGATTGCTTATTGTAAGTTTGAGCATCATTGATTGGTCATGTGTAATGAAGATGGGTTGGATTAAACTACGTTTGTGCAGTGGCGAATTCAGAAACTTAAGGTTGAGTGGCGAGGTAAAAGAATTTCTTAAATTCCCTTGGTTGGGGACATAACATTTTGCATGAAATTTTGTTAATTATAGTGCACGGTTACAGAAAATTGTACTAATAATGGAGTGGCCAGGAGGGTGGCAGGCTCGGGTAACCCCCCTCGGTCTGTCATTGATTATAGGATTGGTGATTTTGGCTGTGTGTTGAATCAGTCACTTTTTGGTCTGATTGTGTTCGGTATCTTAGGTGGGTCAGAGCATTCTAGTTATTGGTTTCTGCCTGCTGATGGCTTTAAGACTCGAAAGAAAAATTGTCAGCATGTTACTTCTTGTGGCTGGTTACTACTTCTTTATTTGTGCTTTTATCATTTGGGGCAGTAAAATATGCATTTTCGCCTGCTGTTTGCGAGTGCTAAGAAGGTTTCTTTGGCCTTTGAAAGTCCACATTGACAATGATACTTCTTTGTTTGCTCAATTAATTTTGCTGAGTTGATCGGACCCTTTCATTCGATGGGCTTGGTTACTTCTCACTGGATATTTTGGCTGATTCTTTGTACTCTCTGTTCTTCACTGATTATGGCCAGCCTCGCTGCTGGTAGATCGTCCCCCTTTTGGTTAATTTATTCCCCACTGTCATCTAATTTTCTGATTGACTTTTTCGGTTGCAGATGTGCCATAGGCATGGAGTGATACATCGAGATCTCAAACCAGAGAATTTTCTCTTCGCCAATAAGAAAGAAAATTCCCCGCTTAAGGCAATTGATTTCGGATTATCAGTATTTTTCAAACCTGGTATTGTAATTTCAGCTTATGGAGTTGGTTCTTTGTTTCGTTTTGCATCATCTCCAGGGGACAATAATGAAACTGACAAAACCCACCACCACAGCCACCAACACTAACTCATGCACTCCTCTGACATTGATTTGTCCTTTTGACATGGTTTTGATGTCATATTATAATCAATTAAGTGCCTGAAGCATTCTGTTCGTGCAGGCGAGAGATTCGACGAGATAGTGGGAAGTCCTTATTACATGGCTCCAGAAGTTTTAAGACGAAATTACGGCCCAGAGGTTGACATCTGGAGTGCTGGAGTGATACTATATATTTTGCTTTGTGGTGTTCCTCCTTTCTGGGCAGGTCAGTTTGTTTTTTTTTTAATTAGTTTTAACGCTGGAGAGTTCAGGCATAATATATTGAAAAGGTTGGAGAGGTAGTATTTGTTTCTAGAGCCCATGTTTTGACTCAATCTGACAATACCGATTAGTTGTTAATCTAAATTGTTAGTTTATTTGCTCTTGGCATTTTAGAGTGGTTCTCATCCGAAAGAACATGTTATATTTTGACCCAGAAACTGAGCAAGGGGTGGCTGAAGCAATTATCCGTTCTGTCGTCGACTTCAAAAGAGACCCTTGGCCTAAAGTTTCGGATGGTGCAAAAGACCTTATAAAGAAAATGCTTAATCCTTATCCTGGCCAGCGGCTTACTGCTCAGCAAGTGCTTGGTATTGTTAGTTTGGTCTGACCGCTCGTATTTTCTTTCCTCTGATCATAGATATCCTAAGAAATATGAATTCTTCATGTATTTCTGGCAGATCATCCTTGGATGCGAAATGCTAAGAAGGCTCCTAATGTTTACCTGGGTGAAACTGTGAAGACTAGGCTGAAGCAATTTTCTGTCATGAACAAGCTCAAGAAAAGAGCTTTGCGGGTAAATTTCTGCTGCAGTTCTTGCTATGTTAAGTTACACTAGAACTGATGCTTAAAAATATTGATTATTTCTATATTATTTTCTCCGACTAGATGTATTATTTTGGTTCACTTGTAGAGTGCTCATTATTTATGTAGGTCGTGGCTGAGCACTTGACGGGGGATGAGGTAGCTGGCATAAAAGATGCATTTGAAATGATGGACACCGGCAAAAGGGGGAAAATAACCCTTGACGAGCTTCGGACCGGGTTGCAAAAACTGGACCAACAAATTCCTGACTCAGAACTACAAATTTTGATGGATGCGGTAAGTACTTATTTCACTTGTAGACCTTCATGTCCTCTCTAGGCTTGTGAATATTTGGAGTTCATGTAGCTTTATGATAAGGATGTTTACTAGTCTTGATATAGGCTATGAAAAACTGGAATGGTGAGAAACACAATTTCTTCAAAATTCCAAACTTTAGAGATTCTTATGGGTGCTCCAGTGTGTTGCAAAATCTATTATTATTCTGTGAAGAGAGACTCTTTCTGAATCTTGTTCTGGATAAACTATGACCTACAGTGTATTGCTTCTCCTAACCTTCGAAATGACAAAAATGTTAAGGGCTTTTGAAACTCTCGATCAGTATCATTCAGAAAATGCCTTTCTATGTTAGCAGCATCTAAAATGTTCTGGTTGTTCTCTTCCTCCGGACTGGCTTTGCGAAATCACGGTCAGAGAAGATTCAATGTAGTCAACCCAATGTCATTCAGGGTTGCTTATGCACGGAATATTGAAAGGAAAGAGTGCGAACTTCATGCTAATCCAAAAGGAATGAAGGAAGTCGATGATAACAAGTTCTCTCACCCAAATGAGCATCATGTGCAAGGTCTTCTTTCATACCTAATCATGGCAATTTTCTTCTGCACAGGCTGACGTTGATCACGATAGGACTTTGAATTACGGGGAGTTTGTTGCCATTTCAGTTCACCTAAAAAAGATGGCGAACGATGACCATCTACATGAAGCTTTTGCATTCTTTGACCAAAACAAGAGCGGATACATAGAGATTGAAGACCTGAGAAATGCTTTAAAAGAGGATGACGATGACACCACCGGTGAGGAAGTTATCAATGCCATAATGCACGACGTAGACACAGACAAGGTTAGCGAGTACTATTTTCTTTAAAGAAGTAACAGCATACTTTACTATTCAATTGCGTTTCCCACTGAATTCAGCTTTCAAAGTATCCCGTTTTAAGAGAGCACTTATAAAGTTGACACTTTTGCGTTTCCAGCATTCGTTTGCTTTTTTCTTTTACTATTTTTATTGAGTGCATAATTTCTGCAGACTCAATGTATCAAGTCGTGATTGTTAATTTGCAGGATGGAAGGATAAGTTACGAGGAGTTTGCCATGATGATGAAAGCGGGCACGGATTGGAGAAAAGCATCCAGGCAATATTCAAGGGAAAGGTTCAACAGTCTCAGCTCGAAGTTGATGCGAGATGGGTCGTTAAATTTACCCAGCGAGAGTAGATGATGAAGAAGCTAGCTTAAAAGTTTTCAAGTATACTAACTTAGAGAAGCTGTTTTCCTGACGCGTCCTTGCATTGCTGCTCTACGGGTTGAGTGGCTTCCATGTTAGCTATCTTTTGGGAGATCTGTTAGTTTTCAGGTTAGTTACAGGAGAAGAGATCTTAGGTTTAGGAGTCAGCGAAGAGGTTTTTTTCAGGGCGGCGAGAATCGGATGTAAATACTGAAGTTAGTTGGTCAAGAGCAAATTGGTCGCAAATTTTGCTTCATTTTGCCTACTAAAATTGCCCATCTACCTGTGTTGGGTAGATCTTTTGCTTGTCCTAGAACATGAGTGTTTTGACTCTCTGATCAAAAGAAGAAAGCTTCTCAGACTGTATACAAGCTTTTCTTGCGTGAATTGTGTTCTTTTTGCCGAGTTCTTCATCACAGACCCTCCTAGTCCGTGCATCCTGAGACTAAACCGCCCGAAGCCTCAACCATTACCACTAGACTGCTTGCTCAGTGGCTCAAATCTTTGTGAGCTTGCTGATATTTTCGACATGCAAATGCACACAACTGATCAGACAGTGGCATGGTGCATCCAATTCGGCCGAATAACGATTCGTGCGCACGATGTATCGGGTTTCAACGTGGTAAGGAGGTATTTCATTAGTGCGTGCGAGATGATTGGTTTGTACTGATATTCTTCATGAGAATTCAATCAAAGCCTCTTTCTTAACGACAAAGTAGACCCTTCACAACCTTCAAAAACAATACATGAATCAGAAGAGATTGCCAAGTGAGATCCCAAGAAAGATACCAAGTGCGTACGTTACGGATATCACATGACTGTCCAATCCCATTGACTCGGTACAAATGCGTACAATTCTTCTTTTTTTTTCCTCCTTTTGCCTTTTCTCAAGTTCTAGAAATGATCAAATTCAGCTCACTTGTGGCATGCGTTATCAGTGGGTATCGTGACAGAAACCGCGGCATACTTCTTCTTGGCCTCCGGGTCCCGGGGTTCGGCTCGTCGTCGGCCATGGCCACCATGGAGACGGCACACAGCCCCGGCTGCGGCGGCGAACACAAAGTCTCTTCTCTTCGCGTTGCTCCTATCCTCCTTAGAGTTGACTTTGACTTCCAAGGAGGCCGGCCTCTCCAAATCATGGGCCTTGGCCACGACGGGGCCGCGGCGGGAGCTCCTTAAGGCATGTTTGGTTAGGGATGACGATGATGGAAGGGAAAATTATTGAAAAAGTCATAAATCTATTATACGGAAGCCAATTCAGTCTTAAACCTTTCGATTGTGCCAATTTAATCCTAAATTTTTTGATGATTTGTCAACGTAGTCCTTCCGACCAAATATCTAAATAATAGGTTTATAACTAAATTGACAAATTTTCAAAATATTTAGGACTAAGTTGATACAAAAAAAAAAAGGTTTATGACTAAATTGGCAAATCATCAAAAGGTTAGGACTAAATCAGTATAATTGAAATGTTTATGACTGAATTGACTACCGTTCGATAAGTTTATGACTTTTTGGACAATTTTTCCCGACGATGGAGTGGTCAAGAATGAAGGCTCATGGTCATGGAAGCCATTAGTGCAAGAAAAGTTGGCGACACACATTGAAAATGCAATGTTGCAATACGCACTACGGTCTTTGTTGGAAATTGATTGAATTTTTTGCTTGTGAGTTACATTGTCAAATTGCCTTATCCTAGGGAACGCTAAAACCAATGGTGTTTCGCCACGTGGAATTTTATCCCTCGGGTGGGTCCAACTAATGGTCCTTTTTTTTTATTTCCTTTTTGCTAGTGCCGGACATACACAGTAATTAATAGTAAGATCATACCACCTTTCATCTCCACTGAACTTTAATCAATAATTTGGTCCCTTTGAAATCAAAAGTTCACGAAGATGAAATTATGGACCGAGCCGTTTTCATAAAAAAAATTATTTAGTCCCGACCCTAGTAATGTGCCAATATCAGCACCAATAATTTATTGAATTATACAAAATTTAAGATGGAGTTGTTACATTTTGAATGTTGGTGGAATCATCGCCAGCCTAGAATTTTAGGGAGCTTTAGGTAGCATCTTTATCTTATTTATGAACTCGGTGAAATATTCAACTTTTGAACCTTCAACTCTAGCTGTGGAGTTGCCTAAAAACTGGCTCAACGGGACGGGACCTCCTACTTTTTTGAAGGATTCATTTGATCGTACTTTGAAAACTTTCAATCGATTAGGGACGATAGATATCGGCAGAAAACGATCCCTCTAATGGAAAGAGATGCAAAGCAAATGCAACCCCTCGTGGCTAGATTGTCGGCGATCAATTATTTCGAAAAACTATCAAACGATGCTGAGTGCAGCTAAACCAAGTCGTTACGCGTCGTGCTTAGCAAATTGCGTCTTTCCACGTCAAGCATAATGAGGCGTGTTACTAGACCGACTTTCTTTCGAGATTAGTCTCGATAGGGAAGGCCCCCAAAAAAGAGGCCGACATATGAATGAGACGGCGCGTTATTAACTTCAGTAGGTGCATGATTCAAGCCTATCAGACGTCACATTATTTAGCGGCGCATACAATTAAACTCTTGAACCTCATCTCAATTGACCAAAGAACCGTCTTTCCTAAAACCTTACCCAAAACCGGCAAAAAAGAACCGTCTTTCCTACAAACATAGAGGTTGTAAATTCAAACCCTTCATTTTAAAGGCCCAACCCCAACCCAATCCAATTGCACCCGTAGCCTCCTTTTGCCTTTTCTTCTTGGGTGGGGCCCGCCATGGCTGACCAAATTTTGCATTCTGCATTTACGTCAATTAAGTCCATTTGACCAAATTTTAGCCCTCAACATCAACGATATCTGATCAAAATTGATCGGATAAATTAAATGAGCGCATATACGAAAGGTTTAGGGCCGAATTTACATAATTAAATTACAATCCCCAGCTGGGAGACCACACCACGTGTTTGGATAATTCAGATAACCTCTTTTCCCCCTTTTGAACGTTACCCTGATGATTTTGCTTTTCATTCATGATGGCACCTAACTCCGTTTGGCCCCCGCATTTCACTGGCGACGGCACGCGGCGCGCGCGAGCAACTCGGGGAAGCCGCTGGTCCCGGTCACAGAGGATCAGCGCTCGGTGGGGCGGCCTGACACGAGCAGTTGAACGGCGGCCGGCGGGAGGGAATGAATGGGATCGGGGCAAAGTCCTCCGGTCAAATCATCGGCGAGCATAACGGTCAGCCCCCGGACGTACTTTCTGTGGGTTCCGCCCGACGTTTTCCGCGGGACAAAACAGGAACGACACGCCGTACAAAAGAGCTTCGTGAAAAGCACCGGCGTGGAACCCGCCGGCGACTTTGTCGTCGAACCGGTCGGATCGTACCGCTACTGCTCACGTTTTAGCCTGGAGAAATCAACGGTTCACGTGAAATTCAGGCTCGAAAATCTCATCATACTCCTGTCCAATCAATCATCTCAGAAGGACAGTATTTTTCACTGACACGAATGCTCCCCCCTCTTTTTTTAACCAAATGTTTTTTTTTTCAATCTTTCCTTTTTGAACTATCGGGGTTCTTGACTTTTTCTCTTTTGTCCTTACTTTATATGATATGCTACTTCGAGTGCTAGTTCGTTCATTAGTTTATGGTAAAAAAATCGAGTTAGGTCAGTGATTTTGAAAAAGGGTTCAACTCAAATTGACTTGAGGAGGAGTTTAGCTCACTTACTCGTTGACCCAAGAGCGATTAAGGATGAATTGGAGGGTGATTTGAAGCTGGTTTAGTTTGAACTTAGCAGGTTTTTTGAAATTGATTTTCGAACTTTATGACTTCGGAATTAGGTTCCCCGTTTACCAACTCTATAGGATTAGATATGCCCTAACGGGCACCTAGAACATTCGGACTTCGAAAATTTAGGGTTCATTGTATAATCTTATGAACGGGATAATTAACTAAAAAAGTTCTAAATTTATTGTACGGCGGCCAATTCAGTCCAAAACTTTTACTTTTTAATGATATGCCAAATTAATCATTCCAGCCAATTTTGACCGAATGTCGCCGATGTAAACACTAGCCGTCTTATGCAGCACGATGAGTGTTGAAGTTAACAATTTTTTAGATTTTTTTTTACTTTCTTCTCTTTCTTTTTTCTTTCCACGTGCATCAAACATTTTCTCTTACGACAAGGAAGTTTAGTTGAGGAGGATAAATCTCGAGCTCATGAAGGATCCGATTAATCTCATGGATTGAGTAAAGCGCGAGTTATGAACGATCCAACGAACCCTTTATTGTCATGGAAAACGTGAGACCACGTAATACGAGAAAATCGAGGAAATGGGTCGCCAGAATCGATAAACATCTCATTGATTTTCAACAATAGGCAAATAGATAGGAGTTTTGGACAACAGATAGAGAATCGAAACGATCCCGGGTATCGTGTCATCAAACACCCCGCTATTCAAATAAGATCAATAGTGGGGAATCAAATCAAAATCAAACAAGAAGCACGTGCTAATAGGTAAATGTGCACAAAATAAGTTACCATGACTAGTAGCTAGCCCTAATCGAAAGTACATTTTTTCAAAACTCAAACTAATATTCCTCGGCATAAGCCCAAACGAATAGTTCAAAACCCACGAATTGGAGGATTTTAGCCGACACGAGTAAACAAAATTAAAAAAAAAAAAAGAGGAGAAAATTACAAGTTTGTATTTTTTTATTATTTTAAAAATTTTTGGGACTTGTCAAATCGGGGAGGACTTCGAATTGCTAGGGAAGACGACAAGAGGGCGCACGTTGGCGCGGAGGAAGAACAAAAGACGGATACAAACACAAAAGTCTCGCAGCGTACGACAAAACAGTGCTTTGTTTTTTTTTTTGGTAATCGAGGTGTCTGCGTGCGCACTCGACTATTCTCGGGAAAGACAAAGAACCCACCGCCACGCCTTCACTTAAATCACAAGTGCTCAGCTGGGGAATCGAACCTGGGATCAGTGTGCCTAACCACACAATCCCAAATACGCCCTAACCAACTGAGCTACCCATGGGTGGGTACAAAATAGTGCTTTGTCCCTTCGCCTAAAAACCAACTTCTTATCGACGGAACCACCGACCTCTCATGGATACTTCCATTTGCCCCGGCAATTTGTTAATAATTTATGTCATGGAATCCTCCAAATTTAAAATTTTTGAACGGGAGGACAACTGGGTTTTGGAATTTGAGTTCGATTAAAAACCATTTCATTGGGCACTTGCTTTAAAAGAAATTGGCGAGCAGGTTTTTTGCTCGTCCTACCTGCAACACCTGCAACGATCATATCGTGAAATCTAGAGAGTCCTAGCTTGTTGGAAAAAGGTTTAATAGAAAGGGGATTTAGCTAATTGGGGACATTGGGTGTAAATGTAGTAAGTACGAAATTCGTATCGAGATTTTTTTTTGTACAATTATTTGTTCGCTGGCAAGTCTTGATTTGAACGGAGATGTACCCACGTTTTGTTGGGGGAGAAAAGACCGTATTTTTATGACTCCGTGAAAGTTGTTAGGTCCTCTTATGATATTCGGGAGCTCGTCACAATCGTTCGTTGCATGTGAAATGGCATCGAGATTATACAAAAAAGGAGGTCAATGATCATGATAAGTCGCGGGAGCATAAAAAATAAAAATGCATACTTTGACAGGACAGAACGAAATTACCTAATGGCCTATGAATTCGAGCTGCGCTTGCCATGGCTGACCTGATTTTTTTGGGGCTTCGATAAGCTCGGCCCAAGCCACCGAGCTTGTAATTAATTTTCGGTCAGGCCGGCTTGATCTTTAAGGCATCGAGTGCCTGAAGCTCGAACGGCTCGGATCGGCCGAGATACATAAGAAACACTATTAGATGCACACCCCGGGTTCTGGTCTCTTGGGAGGGGGAGGGGGGGAAGACCTTACCATGTATCCCATTCTAAACAAGAGCAATGGGGATGCCATTGAATTTCTTTCTCATGCAAACCACTTAGCACTTCAAAAAAGAAAACTTATACATACACATGATGTTCTATTCTATGCTTTGAAAGCGCGCGGGAAACAGTAAGTGGAGAGAAAATGCCAATGCATCAAAATTTTCTACTCCTCCTACCAAAAATCTGAAAGTATTCCCCGTTCCAATACCAATTTCAATCCTGCCCTTTTCCCTCTCTCTCATCGAATACTCGATTATCAGCTAGCATCGGACTTGTTAATCCACTTCACACGAGCCATGAGATCAAGCGGGACCCACATAAGATTCGCGCGAGATAGTACACTTCGCACGAGCCGTCGGATCAGGCGGGATCGGGGTTCAAATATGGAAAGACAGAGAGTCGCCGAATGGACGTGAGAGGATCGAGAGAATCAGAGAGGGAGAGAGAGGGGGAGGGAAGGTGAGGGGAATGAGCCATTTTTTGACAGCGACGGCCATGAACGAGGTGGAGAATCTGCGCTCCCTTTCATTGATTGAACTCACACCAATTTGACCCGACCGAGCACAAACTCCTTCACCGGCACGGCGTAAAAAGGAACCAAAAGATCGCGATTCCCATCCCCTCATTAATACCCGCGTGAAGGGGCAAATGGACACTGCCTCACCCCCACCATCCCCATCTCTCTCTCTCTCTCTCTCTATTTTGAATGTAAAAAAATTATTTGTCGAATGGATCTTGGTAATGGAATTCATCGAGCAATGCTTGACTAGTAACCTTTTTTCGATTTCCGAAATATTAATTTGGATAAGGGCAGTTTTTTTTTTCTTTCCTGCCGGATTGTCAAGACACCTGCAGAGTAATTGGATACCGGGAATTTCATAATGTCAAGATTGGATTTCTTTTATGATATGGATAAGGGCAGCAGAAGTTCTAAAACTTTCAAAAAATGCAATCATGTCATAAAATTTGTTAAATTTGTGCAATCAAGTTTTTCTATTAATTCCGTCCAATTTGACTAATGGAAAATGCTGACGTGGCTTTTTTTTTATTATTTTCACTCTTCTACATGGCGTCCTTATGGCATTAAGGTTAACTCAAGCACTTAAGCGACATCGTTTTGATTCGAATCCTAATTTTTACACCAAACCTTAATTAAATTAGGTTTAAAAAATCTAAAAGTATTTTTTAAAAAACAAATTAACAAAATAGAAAAAAGTAAAAAAAAACATATAAAAAGTAAAAAAAAAAAAAACATCGGTCGAAGCAGGGCCCTCCGCCCCATCGTCGGTGGGGCATCGGCGATGGCCAGCGACCCTTGTGACCACATGCGACGACATCCTTTTTAGCACTTTTTACAAGTTTTATGACTCAATTGCACATTCATTATAAGTTTTAAAACTTTCAATGCACTTATCCCTTCATGATATGTGTAATCCATATGCTCGACGGAAAGAGAAGAATAAGAAGAAGGACATCCTTTTTAGTAGCCCCATTCCTCTTTAGATGGATATGGTCACAAAGACATACCACTATATACACTATTGCACATCGTGCTTGGTTTAGTGATTCTCCACCCTAAGCTCATATTCAAAATGTCTCGAGTCAGCCCGGATGCATGAATAAATTAGATAAAGAAAAAGAAAACTTAACCCTCGTAAAAAAAAATGAAAATATTCAACACGACTTTCAAGTGCAAGCATTACCAAGTTAAGGCCCAGCAATGTCCTCACGACACTGAAAAACACATCAAATCCGACATTGCTTAAGCCCTGCTCAACTTCTCAAGAACCCCAAGAACAGCCTCAAAAATGGCAATACGGAAGAACAGGGTCCAAGGAGAAAAGATTATCTAGTGCCCCCCCAAGCGAAAAACGGCAGCTTTCATTTGAAATCCCTGTTCTGACAACGCATAACGAGGTTGCACGCTCATTAATTTACACGCTAACCCCTCTCTCTCTCTCTCTCTCTCTCTCTCTCACTCTCTCTGTGGCGCTATTTACTTCTCGCAGATTCTGCATGTCCAGTTTTCTTCGACTTTTCCTCCTCCAACCACCAATCTCTGCAACACCCGAAAAAGTTGTAGCAAAAAACAGAGGAGCAGAAATGGACAAGGGACCAACCAAATTCGTATAAGGTCCCTGCGTAATGTCTCCCTCGCGCTCCCCCTCCTCCTCTCTCTGCTTTTTGCTTGGCTTCTTTCCGAAACCAAGAATGGAACTTCGTGCACTCGCAGTAGTATCGGTTGTGTAGTGCGCACGCGCTTTTTTTGCGCTTCCGGGTCTTTGCTTTTCCGTCCAAAACGCTGCTTTTTGGGAGCGAGTCACTTGGTCGGCGACACCCTTTGAAGCAGGAGTGCTGAAAAGGCAAGAAACTCGGTTGGTTGTGTTGAGGAAAAGGGGCTGCCGTTTGGAGGGGATTGTTAGCTGATGAAGTTCAACATGTCCACCGCGGCGAGGAGACAGAAATGGCAACATTACCCGACACCCCCGACGCCGAGGATCCTCCAACTGCCGGGCAGGCCACGCCGGAGGCCGCCGAGGGCGGCGAGGACAGCCGCTGGAGAATCGAGAAGCAGGGACCGGACGGGGAAGCTGGAGGCCCTGTTCGACCAGGAGCGCAAGTTCTTGGGAGGCGGCGCGGGCGTGCCTATAGTGCTTTTGGCGCACCCCGATGAGAGGAGAGAGAGGGTCGAGGATGGAGGAGAGAACGAGTACGAGGAGGGCGGTGGCGGTGGCCGCGGCGAGGCGGTGGTGGAGGAGGAGACGTGGAGGTTTCAGGCGGAGGTCTTGAGGGCAGAGTGTAACTTGTTGAGGATGGAGAAAGAGATCGCTCTGAAGAAACTGGATAGGACGAGGATCAACATGGAGAGGTCTCTCAAATGTGCTATTCAAACTTTGATCCATGTGAGTCTCTCTCTCTCTGTCTCTCTCTCTCTCTCGTTCTGGTTCGTTCATTTGGTAAAGTTGAAAATGTGGAGAGAGAGAGAGAGTAACTTGACACATTTGATCAGTTCTTTTGATCAACGTGGCTCTCTCTCTCTCTCTCTCTCTCTTTGATCAACGTGGCTCTCTCTCTCTCTCTCTCTCTCTCTCTCTCTCTCTCTCTCGTTCATTTGGTAAAGTTGAAAATGTGGAGAGAGAGTAACATGGCACATTTGATCAGTTCTTGAAACTTCAGATGATTTCTGGATAACTGATTACAAGCAACTACATAACATTTTTTCATAATGTATAGTTAACAATGAGTGCTTTTGACCTGGTTTTTGTGTTTCTCATAGATATATTGGTCGATTGATTTGTAGGGGAAGAAAAAAGTCTTTGAAGGAGACAGTTTGAGGGCAGTTTTTGACGGGGAGATAATAGAGCATTTGGTTGGGAAGCTCAAAGAGCTGAGAAAGAGCCTGAAGGTCAAGGATTTCGGCGCTCGAAACTGCAGCAATTTCGACGAGCAAGTGAACGTTCTGCAGAGAAGGTTAAAGAAGCTCGGTGGCACGTCGTCATCCAAAGACAAACCCGTGAACGAGATTAGGAAGATTGTGGAAGCAAGCTTGTCGACTGATTTCAACTGGGGAGTAGACGAGAATGGAACTCCTGATCACGATCACGATCACGATCACAAAGTAATCTTCGCTCTCTGTTTCCTCCTAATTCTCTCTGAAGTTGTCTTATTCTCTGAGTACTCGAATTGGGCTTCGTAAGCGCATTAGATTATGGACCGGCGAAGAGACAAATGTGGATTCGCCTCAGCGCAGGCTGACAGTCTATTCAATGTGTAGGTCGATGTCTTGACGACGAAAATGGAAGAATTGTCGAAGGACATGCTCTTGGAGAGGATGGAGGAGGAGTACGGCTCGATGCTCTCTGCAGCCAACAGATCCGTGGCCAGTTCGGCATCCACTTCCAAGCGAAGCGAATGGCCTTCTTCAGCCGCCTTGATCTGTCAACCCAACCAGGTAAATTATCCAATCCTCTTTGTTTCGCCAAAACATGGTATGACAGAGTTATTCTTGTTAGGCAACAAAATCAAGCTTTAGCTCATAATGCCTGAAAGCGCTTCAAATGCCGGCGTTGTCAGTTGTATCGAGCTTTAAAATGTTGCTGTTCTCGCAGGAGATAGTGTCCCGCATCGACGGTGTGTGCTCGGGGCATTGCAAGTCCGTAGTTAGGAGGATCATAGAGCAGGTCCGAGTGGAGACAGAGCAATGGTCTCAAATGCAGGAGATGCTTGCACAGGTAAGAAGCGAAATGGAACAGTTGCAGGCGTCTCGAGACTTCTGGGAAGACCGAGCTCTCAAATCCGATGCTCATATGCAGTCACTATGCTCAGCGGTAAGAATCCTATGCGCCGATCCTTGAGTTTTCATCTCCCTATTACGTTTTTCATGCTCCTCACGTTGAAATAGACTGACGCAATTACATGTCAAAAATTTGGGGGGGGAGGGGAGATCCCTCTGAGATTTGGTTGTTCTTCTTTGTTGCTCCGTGCTGCTTGTTCCACGTACATTTTACCGCAATTCACCATTGATAAGAAATATCTACCATATCAAGGATAAGTTCAGTTTCTGCAAGTCGTGCTAATGTTCACGATGCAACGAGTGCACTTGTAGCATCCGTTTAACCGGCACACTTTTAGGACGGAAGCGATTTGCGCGAGCGGTGATCAAACCTGAAGAGTTGTGTTTTGTTGCTTTATCAGGTGCAAGAATGGAGACAGAGAGCTCTCTCTTCTGAGGCCGAGGCGAACGAGCTGCGACAGCGAGCATCCGAGCTTCAGGAAGAGATCCAGAGGTCGAGGAAAGAGCGAGACAAGGCGAGGCATTTGCCGCAGAACGAGACGGAGAAGCGGGTCCTGATCTGTCGCCTGAAGGAAAACCGCCACGATCACCTCCACGAGTGCAAGCAGAACGAGGCTCTGGGCGATAGGAGAAGGAAAGTGCACACGAGCACCAGCAGGCTCGCGGCGGCTCCGAAGCTGTACCCATTTCGAGATATCGGCAATTCATCGCCAATGTCGAGGCAAAGTAGCAAATGATAAGTCATTGTTCCCTGCACACGGTTGACTAAAGTTGGAGCTTTTTGAAGAGATCATCAGCTTTGAGCTTCCCGTTACCTCGTCTGCAGTTGCATGAGCAAGCTTTCAACCTTACCATGTTTGCTCGAATGAGATGACGAATTGCCATAAGCCCTTTCTTTGAATTCTTATCCATCATTGGTGATGAGTATTATAACACCCCAAGTTGGTGAAAGGATTAGATTTGCGTGGTTTTGCAAGGTGTCTTATTATTATTCGAGCGTCGTGCATGAACATTATCCCCACTAAAGCATGGGTCTTTAATCGGGTCCTTGTTAAGCATACTTCATGAGAAAAGGTTACTTTCAAAGCATTGAACACAGATGTAATGGGAAAAATCGATCACCTGAAGCTCTGAGGAAGGTTACTTATGGTCTATAGATTTTAAGGAAGAAGGAAGCAATGAAAACTGTGATTAGGAAGCTAAAAAATAAGAATGCAGCAAAGAATTTCTTATTCTGGAAATGGACAATGTGCAAGGGAAATTATGGGAAAAAGTGCAGAAAAAATCTTAAACCTATTGCGCTCGAGCCAATTCAGTCATAAATCTTTTAAGTGTACCAAGTGAGTCCTAAACCTTTTGACGATTTATCGATATAGTTCATTCGATCAATTTTGGTTGAAAATCGCTGACATGGACGCTAGCCGCTCTATGTGATACGACCGGCGTTGACGCGGACAAAGTTTTACAATTTTTTAATATTTGTTTAATTTTTTTGAATTTTTCTACTACTTTTTTGTTTTTTAATTTCTATTTTCTTTCTCTTTCATCTCAATTGTGGACCGGCAAAGTCGCCAACCCTTGCCGTGAGGGCCAACACCCTTGTCGGCCACAGGCAAAGGTTGCGACGCCCTTGTGGGTGGCTGGTGAGGGCATCTTGGTAATACCCCAGACTAGGGAAGGACGCCTCGAGCCCTTAGCTAACAAATAAAGAGCGATATGAGACATTATATTGACTCCAAATATATTGGATAAGCAAGAAAAATGGCAAAATTCTCAATTTAAAACGGTTTTATTTGACGAATGTACTTGAGGCACCTGTTAAGTATATATAATTAAAAATATTTCGATTTGCGTAACATTAATTACACAAAACAAGAAAAAGACCGTGCATCAACGAGCACCCGCGTTAAGAAAAAACCTTAAACAAAATTAGGAAAAACCTCTTGGAGATCGAACCCAAGAGGATTAAGGCACGTGATGAACTTAATTGAAGTTGACCCCAAAAAAACAAAACTCAATTGACGACGTGGCATCTCCCTATTGGACAGTTCTAGCAGACGATTTGCACGGTGGATGTAGACGAGCGGACCCCCCTTTCCCACCGAGGTATATAGCGCCGCCGCGGTGGTGGTGGAACCTCCATCGCCGTTTCATCTTTCAAGTCTCACCGAGGTCAGTCTCTCTCTCTCTCTCTCTCTCTCTCTCTCTCGCTACGTAGGATCTAGGGTTTGCAGTTCGCGTTTCGTCGTTTGATTCACGGATTAGGGCAAAACCTGACGTCCTGGAGAATTTACGGATCGGGCTCTTTTTTGGTCAACGCGACAACAATCGGTTCGTTTCTGTGGATTTCGACCCGAAAATACCGTTCCGATTTAACTCGGCTAGGGCATGGCGTTGTGATCTGGTTGAGCGTTTCCGTTTATCATCCATGTGTTTGTTTGGTGCTGCGTGTGGACATGTGCATATCGGAGAGCGCTTTTGGATTTGATGAAGAAGTGTGTGAACTGGGAGGATGATTGCTGCAGCTGGCGGGTTAATTGCTCTATGTTGGGTTTTCTCCAGTTTCATAGACACGTTCTTCTGTGGGTAGAACATGAAATGAACAGTGCTGAGCTCTGTCCATGGTTTTTTTTTTTTTATATGCTCTCTTTTGCAATTATGGTTTACATAGCGAATTCCCATCTCTGAAAGCGCGAGGACGAAAATGGCCTGGCATGATGGAATGATATGAGGTTGCAGTGGGATGGGTGATCGAATGGAACGGAATGGGACGAGTATTACATTTTTTAATAACCGGCCTTTGCAGAGTAACAATGTCAGAATTTGAAGTTTTTATTAGAAATTTGTGGAAGTCAATGTCAACACGTGAAGGCCACTCGTAAAGACTCCAGAAAGAGAGAATGAGAGAGCGGGGGGGGGTTGGGCTAGGTTGGGTATTATGTTGGGTACTTGGCTGCAATAGTGTATCGGAAGGAATGCAAATTCCTCGTACAAATAGTTATCACGTTCGAACAGCCCTTTTCTGTTCAAGAAATCATGTTGCAGAAAAGGGAATGGGAACAGAAATTGCAATTCATTCTAGACTCATTGCCTCAACTATAGGTGTATTCACAAAGAACTGAACTGGACTGCCCACATGTGGTTGGGGTTACTCCAGGCTCTGGGTTTGGTCGTCAAACATGAAAGTAGATCTGATTTATTTACTTAATAGCAACCCCATCTCATATTCTTGTTCGCTAGTTTGTTTTGACAGACTTCCTTGCTCGCTTGGTTAATTACCTATCGTGGCCACCACATTTTTGTGACATTCTCATTTTCTGAAATTAATGCAGTTGTAACATGGCAGCCAAGTACATCATAGGCTCTCTGCTTGGGTCTTTTGCAGTTGCTTATGCATGCGATGCAATCATTTCTGATAAGAAAATTTTTGGAGGTAATTGTGCAACTCTCTGGAAAATCGGATTCGCGTAAAGGATGCAGTCACCGTATCTGAAGTGTAAATACCTTTCCAGGTACCACCCCAGGAACTGTTTCAAATAAAGAATGGTGGGAGGAAACTGACAAGAAGTTCCAAGCATGGCCTCGCACTGCAGGGCCTCCAGTCGTGATGAACCCCATTAGCCGCCAAAACTTTATCGTGAAGCCCTCCGAATCTTGAAGGTGCATGTTTACCCCATGAGTTGTCAATGTCAACCTGTTTTGTTGATTGGAGATCACTCTAAGTTTTATGCTTTACAATTCTCAATCATTTGCTCAGAGGATTTCTCTTTATTGATGCAGTCAGCACTTGCTGGTCTAGCGGATCTCATTCTGAATCATGCCGAATTCAATAAACTAGATTGGCACTCTTCTTTTGGATTTGGGAATTTGTTCCCGTCTTTTCATTTCCATAATTAGTTGGCTTTAAATGCATCATAATTTCTATTTCCATTCTCTTGGAGAAATTGCGACTAGAAATTACTTTTTTGACCTCACTCAAACAAGTGATAGTGGGTTGCCATTTGTCCTGCTCTGGTGATATTAGTTCATACAATAATGAAACCTGATAATTGGCAGCTCTGATTTATTTCATCTCAGGTGCGCGTTGTATGATCTTTGTTTCCATGCAGTTGAGAGTATCTGTTTTGCTTCGCTGAATGCTACCACTCTGCCTGCATGAGTTATTTGATGGAACTGGTGTGACAAAGCACAAACTAAGATGTTTGGAAAACTTTGGTGTGTTAAAAGGATTCGTGGAACTTTGCAATAGATGGAATTTGCTGCACAGGTGCAGAATCACGATCCATGGTCATCATATTTAAACTGTCAGAATCTACCATCTGAAATGTTTTACTTTACACCAACTATATTTGATAATGAGTTGTTTATTCACTTGATGAGAATGAACTTTAGGAGATGCTCAAACTTTTGAATCTTTGTTCTATTTGCGTATCTTTTCTTCTTCTAGTATCTGTTGCTGCCAAGCCCACGTGATAAGTTTATCCCGACTCTAGTGGATATCCAATGGGGAGCATCTAGTTCTTACTATCCTGGAACTGTTAAGGCTCTTTTTTTTTTTTTCAAGAGTCTGTTGCATTTCGATCAGCCAGCATGATGTTTGCCAGTATAAGAGCATCAGATCATCGATTGAATACAGAATTAAGGTTCTTCCATTTGCCAGGAAGAGCCTTGGTAATGAATTTTAGGTCTCCAGCACGACCATGTACTACGGGAGTGCCAAATCCTAGGCCAGAGGCAAATGACCTTCGGCCTTCGCTCTTATGCAAGTGTTCTGGACAACCACTTTGAGTTGGCCAATCTCTCCGCTCTCATAAGCTTCTGGTTCTCTACTTCTGGTCCATAACCTGTTCCTTTTGAAATGACGGATAAATGCGTAGTTTTCTTGTTAAGTGAAAAGGTTGGGAGGGACAAATGCTAGAGTAGAAAGTTTAAACCATGCATAGTTTTCCAATCCTAAAGCCTCATTCCTCTTTTAAGTTGCTGTGCGATGAAGAAAGATCATTGAAGTCATCGAGAGCTCATTTTTTATCTCGTTGGAAGTCGAAGAAGAACGACATGGAACATTTGGAGTCCATGCCTTCGAGTCCGAAGCTGAACACAGAACTCCATGAGACGTTAAATGCTGCTGCCAGAAAAATCATATGTTGAACGTGTGACGCCCCATAACGTCACGTGCCATACGTGTCGTTTCAAAATTATTATTATTATTATTTTTTTTGAAAGAAAGCCAAATGGAAAATGTGTTCGTGAAGGGGAAGTAAAAGACGGGAAAGAAGAAGAGAGTGGACGTGAAGAACAGAAGGAAGAGAAATGTTCTGCAGCTCTTATCTCCCAAAAAATTTCACCATAATTAAATGTATTTTGGGGTCACATTTATTTACTTGAGTTAAAGGCTATAATAGCAAGTAACTATGGTTATATCTAGATAATAACTTACTAGGGTTAAAATGCAATAGGTCATCTGGTCATGCATAATGTCATATTTTAATTAGGCATGTGACAATTAATTATGGTGAAATTTTGGGAGATGAGAGCTGCAGAACATTTCTCTTCCTCCTGTTCTTCACGTCCACTCTCTTCTTCTTTCCCGTCTTTTACTTCCCCTTCACGAACACATTTTCCATTTGGCTTTCTTTCAAAAAATAATAATAATAATAATAATTTTGAAATGACACATATCACACGTGACGTTCTGGGGCATCACAGAACGTGTTGTTTTTGCGATACGGCACGCGATGCGGGCATCGATCTGAGAAGGCACAGCACACACCGTCGTCCACCGTCGGACTCTTCCCGATCAAATTGCGAGCAGCTTCAGCTAAGCGTGGAAACATTACTGATATTCCTACGGGAGTTTCTGGAGCGGTGTGTCCTGCGTTAGGCACGCCATAAAGGGATGTCAAATATTCATTCCTACGTGATTCTCCAAGTATATTAATTATCTCTCCAGGGTGATAATAGTTTCGTGAACGAAGTACTGTTATTAGTTATTACTGATAATAGTTAAAAGAAAATTTGCAATTTTCAATGCAGCATCTCGTATTAGTTATTAGTTATTAGTTATTACTCATAACCACCGTCTTGAAAAGCGATTAACTTTTCATTTATTTTATAATCACAATTCTCAATTTGTAATCGGAGCTCTTGTTTTTTGAGAGAGCGCCCGTTGAGTCTACTACATAACAACACCAGCAATATCGATTGCATTCTTCTACGATGGTCGACAGTCTTCACGACGTCGGCCGCGCTGCTCCGGTCTTTCCGTCAAGTCCGTAGCTCCAGTTGCTATCCAAGACTCTTTCTCTGCTCACTTTGCAAAACAGACATCACGGGAAAATTGTCCAAAAAATCCTCATCTTATTGTACAGCGGCCAATTCAGTCCTAAACTTTTCAATAGGTTCTTATTTCCGTGGCAGTGGAGCGAACGGGCAGCTAAGAATTAATCTGAACAAACGGAGACACGACTGCTCTGTCTTCTTTTTTGTGCTCTCTGCCCACTCCCTCACACTTGCACCCCAATCTTTTACCATCGCCGTGTTCTTTTTTTGTTTCATCAAGTCTCACTTGCTTTGTTTCCCTCGGCTGCAAGTCCCTTCGGTCTAGCAGGGTGGCCCCTGTTTTCAGCTGACTTAATCACTTCAATCAGCCCAAAACGCTCAGCCATTTCGATTCCCTTTGGATCTCTGTTGCATTTGGTCCTTTTCTCTAGCTACAGTCTACGACAGTCCAACCCCAACTGCTCCCACCGAGTTTGGCCTCTGGTTTGTCCTCCTCAAGTCCTAGTTCAAACCTTGTTTATTTCTCAGTTCGAATTGTGACTAGAATGGTGGCCGGTTCAGAGGCCAAATGATGTACAAAAATGTGAGAATGAAATGGGGTGTCCAGAGGGTGTGGACAGGTGAGAAAAGGAATGCCCGGAGAAAAGGTTGAGCTTAATGTGACTTCAATTGATGCCGGTGCTCCGGCGTACTCGTTAATTTGAATTCTTGATATCGAGTCCGTGATCCTAAAACCACGAGATGCCTCTGGTTGCTAAGTGTAAAGAAATGTAGTAAGAAATGCGAGTGCGAGACCGTGCGAAATTTACGTTTTAGTTTAGGAGTCAAAATCTATTGTTGACGGCGAATTATGTCCCTAAATTTTTATTGAACTCGTGAATGATCTTTTAGATGAAACTTTAGATGTCAACAAATGGGAGAAGAGGAAGGGCGTGGCAGAAGGTGGAAGGTAATGATATTTACACTTTAACGAATTATCAATGTAATCTTTTCAGCTAATTTTGACTGGAAATTATTGACGTGACAATGCAATCAGCGCCAGCCGTCCTGCATGGCGCGGACGTGGACTCTTGAGGAAGTATAGTCGAATAAAAAAGAAAGTAAAGAAAAAATTAAAATCAATTAAAAAATTATCAACGTTAGCGCCAGCCGCGCTACGTAAGATGGGTGGCATTGACTAGACTGCTACGTCAGCAATTTTCTGTTAAAATTTGCCGGAAGGACTGCGTGGGTAATTCTTTAAAAGGTTTATAACTAAATTGTCAAAATGTTTAGGACTCAAAAAATTGATATAATTAAAAGTTTCGAGATTGCTGTACAATACAAGAGGTTTGTGACTTTTTGGATAATTTTCCTCAAACATCACCATCGGACTCGCCGCTCACGGAAGACCAGATCCCGAAATTCCGCCGCCAAAGAACACCAGACGCCCCGGATGCGTCTTGGACCCATTGAGCTCGCCAAGCGCTATTCGTTAACATAGGTGGTATATCTCTTTTGGCCAGAATGATTGCCGAGTCAGTTGTACTGAAATGAAAAGCATTGCATCGCAAGTGATCAACGATCCTCCCCAATAGACACACGGCGTTATCGTCCTTTACCGATGCCTTTTTTCTTTCTTTCAGGAAATGATGTTGATAAGTGCGGTCACGAGTACAAAATTGCATTTTTCTCGCACCTTCAGACGTGACACACTTTGAATTCTCGCAGCTTCAGATGAAAGCGATGTCACCGTTCGAGTTTTGGTTCGTGTTTACAACCGGAGATCACCGATATGTACTAATCTCCGGTAGGTTTTCGGGATCATCCCTTCATTGAATCATGGAAAGGTGAAAAGAAAAGAAAAGAAATCATGATATGAATCGTGGTCATGAATCAATCCATATCTCTAATCACTTCCTACTCACCCTTTTTTCGTACGTAACCATATAACTAGGCTCACTTGCGTGATGCATTGTTTCCGTCCCAAAACTAATATAGCGAAAACGGCAATGGCAATTCTTAATTTCTTACCATTTGATCACTTACGGTTTTGTCACTCGACTGTTATAATCCGGGGTTTAAGTATGTTAGCTTTCGTATTTGTGGTATTTTGATCCCTAGACTCTTATTTACATTTTGCCCTACAACAGTTGATCACGGCAGACAATCCAAACGTCACTCGATAACATTCATTTTTCTATACGAAAATTCGACTCCAAATTCTATACAAATGAGGGCTGAGACCCGAAATCGAGCAGAATATAACTGCGAAAAGCTAATCATAAAGCTTTGTGGAACATGTTTGGTCATTTCCCAAATGATATGAGCGATATTCCAGAAAGGTATACTGATACAAGCAGTAATGGCCAGCGATGTGGACATGTGCTGGGAGAGATGCTTTCGAAGCACGCGTCAGCTCATCATCCAATCGTCGAAGATGGTCGTGAAAGCACGCCTCCAACTGCATCAATCACTTTCATACCAACACAAGAACGATGTCATCATCCAACCAAACGACGACGTGGCCGCGACATCACCGTAAGTCTGTAACATAGTTCATTCGATATAGCCACGGCGATTCGCGTATATGAACCACTGTACAGGCGCAATCTTTCGCACTGCGTTCGAAAACCAATGGCCCACCACATCTTCCCCTTCTTCCCAGAAGATGGGTTCTTCTTGACTAGCGTGTTGATGTTTCGCGAAGCGGATTCCTGACGTTGCTTCCAAGGTTTCGCACTCAGTTACCACGTTGTTCACGTGCATGTTGTGAATGTGAACAGGGCTGCTGCGCGGAGTACACATGCTTGACTTGGACTCGGATGGATGACGACTGGTGAGTTCATACGGTATCGATCATCTTTCCGGTGTCTTTCCCTAGGGCTTATGAAAGATCACACATCATGCCACACATCATCATCTTCTGTCTCCTTGCTAGGGTTAGGAAGGATCGTGCATCATATGCTACACATGGGCCTCCGACCAACGGATGCTTGAATGAAGAAGCAAAAGGAAGCTGATTTGATTCTATCTACGAAAATGTCGCTCGGTTTCGAGTGACCGTTATAAATTCTATATTAGTACATGATTACTAATGCACATTATAGTTTTGGGGCAAGAGTGCGAAGGTCCGGCCTCCTGGGAGACGTATCATACGCTGTGCAAGATCCATTGACCGGTTCTATATAAGCGTTGCGACATCCGAATCCTGAGCGGAAGTTCTCTGAAGCTTCGATCAACTACGCCAACCTCGGAGATTGTTCACCGTCTTATTCTTTATATTAAAGTATAAAGGGGGTGCTGTTTTCGAGGGTAGTAATTTATCCTAGTACTGATAAACGACAGCAGCTGCTTCATCTGTTGTTGTACTAATCAGATTCCAAAGAAAGAAATTATAAAATCGCATGGTTTCTGACCACATAGGTTGTCCGTGAAAATCAACGAGTCTTGTCGTGGGCCTCATTGTTTGAAAATAGAAAGGTGGATTTTCACGTGTGTATCTCTTCGTCTTCTGTCCTCCATTTTCTTTAAATGAATTTTCTACATGCATATGCTTTATTTGTCTTGCCCTGTGCTCCACCATAAGTGGCTAAAAAATCTTGACCCCATGTTCCCAATAAAGTCAAAAATCGGAGTTTTTCGGTTAAATAAAGAGAGAAAAAAAAAAGAACACCAAAATTTGTGTTAGTTTGTTTAAAGGAAAACTATTTCCGGAAAATTATTTTATGACTTCCTGGTGTTTGGATGACGGATAACTAATCGATTTACTGAAAACATTTTTCGAGGATTGAAAACAATAAGGTTAGATTGGAGGAAAACGACTCTCTCTCTTGGCAAGAAGTAAATCATTTTCTCTAAACCACCAAATAAATGAAAACTAACCATTTTCCTTGAAAATGATTTCTATAGAAATGGTTTCTTTCATCATGGAAATGTTAGTGAAACAAACGCACCTTTTATTTATGCATAAACATTTGCACCGTGAAAACTAGCATATCTCTTAGATGCTTGTCCTTCAATAGAGAGTTTTTAGTTGGATCAAACGTTCAGTGAACATTGATCAAAAAATAAATGTTCGATGAACATTCGAAAGTTATTAGGAAAGAATTGTCCAAAAAGTCCTAAACTTACTTTAGGACTAAATTGATCGTCATACAATAAGTTAGTTTAGGACTTCTCTAATGATTTTCTCCAATTATTAGTGTTGAACTTGAAGAGAAATGTTTACGTGATTGTTTTGAATTTACTGTGAGAACAACAACCTATTTTGAATCACAAAAAAATTAATAACAAATAATTAGAAATTACTAGGGCCTACTTCGACCTATCTAAATGGGTCACAAACCCATTATTAACTCATATATTATTAAATGGGACATAAATTGGATAGTTATATTTTGTAAATGGGTCACAAATGGGATTAAACATAGTGTGGGTGTTAAATGGGCCGTAAATGGGTTTACAAGTTATTTAAACTTGACTCATCTCTCCTGCCTTCACTCAATCTCGCGCTCGCTCACTCACTCCGCACTCTAATCTCAATTTGGGTATAAGTTTTCTTAGATTTAGTTAAATATGGAAGTGTTTTAACAATGTGGGACCGGGTTGGGTGTGGATTGGGTCAGATATGGGTCATTAGATTTGCATTACATGAAAATGAGTCAAAACAGGTTAAATGGTCTATTTGGGTCGAACAGTTTTCGACCTGACCCGATTCACCCGTTTGACAAGTTTAGGTCTGCTCCTTCAAGAATTTGTGGCTTACAACATGTTGTAATTTTAACAGCAACCTAAATACTATTATGCTAGCAAAATCCTTTTCAAAAAATGTAAAAAAAAAAGGTTGTAAATGATGTTTCACGGAACAAGTGCAAATATCTATGGATTGCTCGTTGACCCCAAAAAACTCCTTCAATTCCTTCCTTTTCAAGAGTGACAATCTATCGACCGAAAAAAATACGTGTGACAATCTCAGTGGACTCCTGTGTATTCTCCCCCGCAAACACACACCATACACAGGCAGGATATATACTCTCCTTCATCATCACCACGTACCATCTCCTCAGAGAAAGCATTGACATCTCCTTTTTTCTTAGTGGAGACCATACTGTCGAGACAAGGACATCCATTCTTGAAACTTTTTACCTAACGTGAGACCACAATAAATACAACCTCTCTCTCTCTCTCTCTAATGTCGGACCCGCCATGGTTGATGCCGTCTTTTCACTACACCCACCGAAAAGCTTCCTGCCACATGGATATTTAACTAGTGATCGAGGATTCCGAAAGCCGAGCCTGCTCGTCGATTCAAATCCCATCTCCCGATGACCGAGAATCCTCGATAATCTATAAACCAGCCCGAGAGACAGGATTGTACCCGGACACCCTAATCCAAATCCGAAAAATCTCGGTCATGCAAGATCGGTCACCGTTTCTTGGCGTGTGATTGAGCAGCGTGTCGTGGTTCTCTTGGTGTATGATTGAGCAGCGTGTCCTGGCTCGGACAGCCTAGACTGTTCGGTACTATTCACATACTTCGATTACACCCCTTGCCAAACTCCCTCTCGATCCAAAAGGAGGGACCACCACCATAACCAAATCATCCTGGGAATCCTGCTCGACCACTTAATAAATAGAGAGCCACTCCCCAAGCACCATATTTTATCATTTAGTCCTTCCGAACAAAGCACCAAGTAGTCATCCTTTGCGTGTCACTTTAACACCGAGTCCCAACCTCTCTGTGCAACACAACCTTACGGTGTGTCTTGCAAGCAACAAAAACTTCTACTTCTCCCTATCGATCTCTCCACTTCAGAAGTCCTCTTAAATAGCCTCATTAGTTCAAGAAAAAATTGCAGATACACACACACACACACACACACACACACACCTTTCATGGCTTCTCTGGTATTTTCCTTCAACAGCCCTAAGTGCACTCTCTCCTCCACTGATGAAACCCTAACGCTCAAACGCACTCACCACCCCAGCAATCTCGACTTCAAAACCCACCACATGCTTCTCAAGAACCAACCCTTTTTGCCAGGAACGACGGCGACGACAAAAAACTCGAGAGCACTCTTCAGATGCTCCTCTTCTCCTTCAACCACCATAAGCATACACGAGCTCGACGAGACCCAAGAAACCCTAGACGTTCAGCACGAGGACGACCGGCCACTAAGCCAAGTGTGGCGAGAAGTACAGGGTTGCAACGACTGGGAAGGACTGTTAGACCCCATGAACTCCCACGTGCGGCAAGAGATCATCCGGTACGGCGAGTTCGCGCAGGCATGCTATGACTCTTTTGACTTCGACCCGAACTCCAAGTATTGTGGGACTTGCAAGTATCAAGGGTCTCATTTCTTCGAGAAACTCGACATGAACCACTTTGGCTATCAAATTAGCCGGTACTTGTATGCGACGTCGAACATCAACCTACCCAACTTCTTCCAGCACTCGAGGCTGAGCAAGGTGTGGAGCACCTATGCCAACTGGATGGGGTACATCGCTGTAGCCAGTGACGAGGAGGAGATCCGGCGTCTCGGGAGGCGCGATATCGTCATCGCATGGCGGGGCACGGTGACCTACCTTGAGTGGATCTATGACCTCAAGGACATCCTCCACCCGGCCCATTTCAAAGACGATCCCACGATCAAGATTGAGGCCGGGTTCTATGACTTGTACACCAAGAAAGAGAAGAACTGTCATTTCTGCTCCTTCTCCGCTCGTGAACAGATCCTAGCGGAAGTCAAAAGGCTCCTAGATTACTATCGAGACGAGGAAATTAGCATCACTATCACCGGCCACAGCCTCGGGTCTGCCCTGGCCATAATAAGCGCCTACGACATCGCCGAGATGGGGGTCAACGTCGTCAATGACGGCGGCGAGATGAAAAAAGTACCGATCACTGTGTATTCCTTCTCGGGGCCTCGGGTTGGGAATCTGAAGTTCAAAGAACGGTGCGAGGAGCTCGGGGTCAAGGTCCTAAGGGTTACTAACGTTCACGACATGGTGCCGACTGTGCCCGGGATCATTGCGAACGAGAAGATGCAATTCCAAAAGTACTTAGAGGAGGCCTTATCGTTCCCATGGAGTTATGCACACGTCGGGGTTGAGCTCGCGTTGGATCACACACACTCGCCGTTCTTGAAGTCGACTAACGACCCGAGTTGTGCGCACAACCTCGAGGCTCTCCTTCACTTGGTGGACGGTTACCACGGCAAGGAGCTCCGGTTCAGGCTGGTCACCAAGAGGGACATTGCCCTAGTGAACAAGAGCTGCGACTTCTTGAAGGGCAAATACGGGGTCCCGTCATACTGGCGGCAGGACGAGAACAAAGGGATGGTGCGGAGCAGCGACGGCCGGTGGGTGGTGCCGGAGCGACTAGTGGACGCCCACCCGCCCGACACCGCGCACCACCTCGCGCAGGTGCTGGGGGTCGCGAACCTTCCGTTGGAAGCCGCATGATGATGCTTGGTCCGGCCCATAATTCGGTGGTGACCGCGAACAAATCAAGGGGGGTCGTGTCAATGTCGTGTTGTGTTCACATGTACTCATGTAAGAGTACGTAAAGTATATATTTGGTAAAAATATGATAGAAGGGCTAATTATTGAGCCCCGTTTCTTTCACGTGGTTTTGACACCCGCAAGGAAAAATCAATGTACATTCCATCAGCAACTAGAACAGTCTGTTAAACAATAATAAAGCTCTCTTCGTTATTCTCACTGTGTTGTGGAAATTGGGATCTCTATACTTAGGTTTCTATATACTCTTTCTTGTGATTTTGAACGCCGCGATTCCTTTTAGCTATGCAGTAGCGAGTTTCGAAATCGAATGCGCAACCCGAATCACTTCCAAGTGTTTCGAACCATTCTATTCCCTTCTAAATCGATAAGGTTGTACGCTTAGTATTGGTATCTCGGTCGAGATGGCTCTTAATCATCCTACTTTGGAGGTGATTTTCCTAGTTTGGATGGACAAATTTGGTTGCTGTCTACATTGTCCATGGTGAGACTTTTTCTTTCTAACGAGGGAAAAAGGAAAATATCTATTTCAAGAAGGATGCATCATTTGCGTCGGAGCTTTCCCCACTTTTCCCCAACACGTTGAGGAGCGCATCAAGCTGTCGCGAGAAAGCTTAATGCAGTCTTGTCACTTTTTAGCCAGCAATCAGAATTTTGCACCGTGAGATTTCGAAATGAATGGAGGTCAATATTGCTGTGGTTGTGATTGGCTCACTGGGAAAAAAAATCTATAATAGTTCGATTCATGTCAAGAGAGATTCTCCGAATCATTGGTGTAGTGTTGCCTAACTCAGGCATGCTTCGTCTGGATGGACTTGCTATCTATGTCAGCTTCTTGGTAGAGCTATGATGTCAGGCTTACCAATTTCGAACCTTCAAGTTGCAGGTTATGTCGGGCTAACTACGGCTTAATTCGTATATTTCTTTACAAGTGGGATCGATTTTACGATAACGTCAGGAGGGGTCACTAGAGTTGGCGGCTCCTCGCCGTTCTTTTTATTGATCGAAACAAAGAATGAAGTGGAAGGGCTTTTAACTCTTGAACATGTGAACACGACTGTGGGAAGATGGAAGATTTGTTGAAGATCATCATAGTCTTCGCCAATAGATTTTAACCTCGGATCTTTATCAAACTCGAGAGATCGCCGGTCATGTTAAATTGAGCACCACAACTTTTTGTAAACCCAACACTTTACATCCTGAAATTTCAAAAACCTAGACTTTGCATTGTTATATCTTTTTGATTTAAATTGGCACAATCGAAAAGTTTAAGACTAAATTGGTGAACCATTTAAATGTTTATGATTAAATTGGCACAATTGAAAGGTGCAAGGTTTTTCGGACAATTTTCCCTTACTTTGAAGGATGCAAAGCATCGATTTCGAAATTGAAGGGTGCATACTACAACTAAGAGAAACTTCGAGGACCATTTTTGTGATTTACCTATTCAAACTGGATTCAAAGTTTAAGTGCTACAAGCTAGAAACTAGTGCTGTTGATCAGTGTTCTTCTAGCTCATCATAGAGAGAGAGAGAGAGAGAGAGTCGTTTTTGCCATGTGGTTCCCGCCCTAGTTCTGATCACAACTTGTGATTACGGACCACCTTGTGTTTTCCCTCACGCTAGTCCAGAATTCACTTGTCCTTACAAAGACACGTCCCAATCCAAATCCATATCAGTTCGATTCATCCGCAAATCCTAAGATATCAAGAATATCACCTCGTACCGTTCCTCAAAATTTGCCTCTACCATCCGATCGGAAACGGGTATTCCCGTCGAGGTTATGGGATTCACGAAGGAAAAATATCACTTTCGCCAACTTTGTTAATCGCAATTTCAAGATAACGCAAAGGGAAACCTTCCGTTTTTCCTCCCGAAAGCTTGAAATTTTACGTCGGTCTACGAACTCAGGCGGATCCCTCGAGATTTACTTTCTTTGATGGTTTAATTTTCTTGTAATTGAAATCGATTGTCTTCCTTTGTATTTGCTAAACAGATTGGCATCATTATTTGAATTTTTTGGGGTCAAAAAATTGCAAATAAAAAAGAAGTGTCACATACTGCTCAATCAATTGCTGGACGGTAACGTCTGTCTTGCTGCAACCAATTGTCATGTCAAAGGGAACTTCAATCCCTGTTTTGGTACTGCGAGGGGAACCCAAAATTCACTCCCTTGAAGCAGCTTCCTCATTGATTGCATATGGGTGATCATATCACGACCTTACATTCCCTATCTCCCACAGGAAATCTCCAAAAAGGAAACTTTGAAAAGTCACGAAACTTATCCATGAAACGATATTTTTGTGATTCAATTATCTTTTCAGCACTTTAAAAAATCTATTTCGGCGAAACCTCGTAATAAAAAAATTTTGTTTTATAATATTGTACAGTCACCATCATATTGTAGGGAATCCCATATTAGAAAAGACCAAAGCAACAAAGGTCTAGGATTGCACGACCTAAACATAGTGTGTTGAACTCTAAGGCTAGTGTCGTGTTTTCCTCCAATCACTCTTTTGATCGGTGGGTCACGATTATGGATATCGTCCACCTTTATACTTTATTAATATTGTAGATACCTGATGTGATAACCATAACATGTAACCCATCAATTAAAAGGATGGTCGGAGAAAAATATAGCCGTTGAATAAACAATTCTGTATAAAGATAACCTTAAAAGATTAAAAAGCTTTTACCTATCTAATTATAGAGATTAGATGATCGATGGCGCTTTAATTTCTTCGATAATTTCTAGAGTTGGTTTTAAATGAACATTAGATGATCGATGGTGCTTTAATTTCTTTGGTAATTTCTAGAGTTGGTTTTAAATGAACATGTGACCATTGATTAACTCACAGATCCTTATATTAGATAGCTATTTGACAATGCCTCAAATTATTCAATCCTATACATTTCCCAGCTTTTATTTTGTCACGCACTATATTCGAGCCTTTTCACTCAATTAGTTCCTATAAAATCACGCATACCATCTTGCCCACATGCATCGAGTAAGGCTCTCCACATGGTGGCAGGCTTAGCCCCCGAAATTAATGAATAGGTGAAGCTCTAAATTGAACACATGATCTGCTAAATCCTGCATCTAGTAAGGCTCTCCAAGTGTCTATTATCATATATAGATGTAATGTTAGTTTTACTATATGGCATAGGGATATAACAGTCACAATTCATCACTAAACTCGACCTTGATTCATGCCTAGCTATCTTGCGTCATTTCATACCCAGTATCTAAAACTGTGTATTAATTAATTGAATAGCAGAAGGTATACTCTATTAATTTATAAAATTATAAAATGTGATTAGATAGAGTAAGTGGACATTTATATAAGGAGGTCGTATTAATGGCCAATATGCTTACTCAATTTCGAGATTAGTATCAGTATGTATATCCAATATCACCCTTTTGGTTGGTTCGTAGGGATAACCATTTCATTCTCGACCTATTAAAGGTTATTCTACTTTGTTCGGTCAGATTTATATTTACCAATCGAATTATCATTTCCTCTCTCTTGTTGTTCTGTATTACTCAATTACTATACGTAACTTATAATTACAATTTTGCAATCCAAACGTACCTCAACTGACATGAGGTGAAAAAGTATGCTCCAAAATCGGCCAATTGGTAAAAAAAAAAACGGAGTAGTGTATCTTTTTCTTTCAGCTAATCACTTGATGTTTAATGTCATCGCTGAACTTATTAGTTTTAATTTGATTTTGAGCCAAATATTGGTTGAAACAAAGATTCGATAATGATTTATTAGCTTAATTTTTTAATTCAATTTGTACAATAACAAGAAGAATTCAGAACTTAATACACGGTTAGGGACGTGCCCCATCATATGATTATGAAAAAAATGTTAATAGACCAAAGATAGGAAGTGGACCACGAGAGAGTGAAAAGGAATGTTCAGTAATTGTGTAGAGCTACAATTCCTATCAACAATTTAGGCTGCTTCCCATTAATTTTGTTGATTGTGGCTATCTCAATCCTATCTCCACTGCATTCTCGTGCCCACCATCTATTCGATTGATTGATTACTATAAAAGGCGCATTACACACGTGCACAAATGGAATTACAAAAAACTTATGTGATTGATGATATAGCATAGTTGTGATAAGGACTGTTTAAATTACTATTTTTGTTATTGGTAGCTAATATAGTGTCGTTATTCATTTTACTAGGCATATGATTATTGTTGATTTTTTTTGTAATTTTTTTATATTGACCTCTTTATAATATAAAAAGAGATATATCACAAGCAAAGATGCAATAATGGTTCTTTTTTATGTCATCAATTTGAAGAAAGGACATGGCCCTCCTAAACTGTTCTAATTTCTAGAAAAGTGTCTTTTGGTTATTCGGTCCATGTAATTGGGCCATATTTTTCTTGGATTTCGGAGGAAACTTCCTCCAGCCAAACGTCAGATTGGCAAATTAGAGATATCTCTTTGAAGATCGTCGTAAAAGGAAAGAAGATATATATGCTTATAGTGCTAATACTAGACAAGAGTGGGGCAATGTTCCCACTACCCCCTTCTTGCTTTCCAGCTCCGGCGATAAAGGCCCTTTGCTCACTAGTTCCAGCGGATTTTCTTTCAAAGACTACATTTTATTTCCGATTAAATTTGCATGTGAAAAATGCTCATATTCCTAACCCAGCAGTTAGAAGTCGGGAAATTGCCTCCGATTAAGGATGGAGGCTGTGTTTTCCTCCATCCCGAGCCTTGATTGATGGTTACAAACGCGGACATCATCCATATTTAATTTTGGGATGTTTGCGTTCGTAACATATCAATCGGAAGCCTAGTTGGATCGTGCAGCCAACCGGGAATGAAAACAAATATATATGGTCCACATAAAACGTTTATATTAACACTTCCCTTTGCATACAAGTCGGGGCTATAGACATCAGATATGACAGAACGTGAGTGTAATCGCATCAAACAGATAAGTGGCTGCAGATTACGA